CCATTACCATTGGCGGACACGGACCAAGGAGTTAATAAACTCCTTAACCTTATACGTTAACTTATTTATCTGTACTCCTTGACGCGGACGAGGAGAACGGGGGTGTCGGAAAGGAATGAAGAGGACGAGGGAAATGTCAGATTCTAAAGTACCGTTCCTTGTCTATGGCCACAAAATTGGTCTAATTTTTTACTATGAAGATTCCATGCCGCGGCTGTGGTAAAAATTTGTTGCTTCACGTCAGCCTGTCGGCTGTATTTTAATTATTATTCAAAACAAAGGGATTTTTTATATCTTTATTATTTTTGACTATTTGCCAAATTAAAATTATGGAATTCATTGGTGAGTTGTCCAGAGTGTTAATTTTCATTGTGCTAGTGCCTGCGTAGTTTTTGTTCTAGCAATTTTGTTAACTCACGTTTTACTGTTGTTTACTAGCGTCTGAAAAAGGTGATTCGACTGAGAATCGAGATCCTAATTCTCTTCTATCAAATGGATCGTCAAAAAATGGTGTGGACATCAAACAAGAGCTAGACATTGATAAATCACACATGGAAGCCCCCGCAGAGTGTACTCCGTGCACCTCAGAGACTTCCGAAGATACAGAAATTTGTGAGATACCAGAACAGGTTGAATTTACTGTAGTTTTTAGCAAACTCAAACATGACATTACATTTGCTTATGATGCAACAGTATCCGATCTTAAAGCGCATTTGGAAAGGGTATGTGGAGTGCCGCAATCAGCTCAAAAACTAATTATTAAAGGAATGGCCCGAGATACGATGACATTGAGGAATGCTGGAGTAGTCAAAGGTGGAAAAGTGATGCTTGTGGGCTCTAAAATGGATGACATTCTAGCTGTTAAAAGTGCACCAAAGGTATATGAATTATTTCTCCCCAGTCTACTTTTTTGCAGTTACATTTAATAGTATGTTCTAATCAAATCAATTTTTAGGAAATATTAGAAGAAAAAGCAAGTAGCCAGTCTAGTAAAGAACCTCTTTGCATGCAGAAAATCCACAGGAAAGTTTTAGATAAAGGCATTCCACCTGATGCCATGCCTGGAGTCAAAGGAGTCAAGGTACCTTTAAAAAAATCACAAATATTTACCCAATATTTTTATGGTTAGATTTTATACAACTATTACTTTTTATTATCAGGAGCAACTGCCCCCTATTCCATTGAGTGGAATGTTAAATAAACACGGAGGAAAGGTGAGGCTCACCTTTAAACCAGAGCAGGATCAGTTGTGGCTGGGGACAAAAGAACGCACAGAGAAACTTGCCATGGCTTCAATAAAAGGTACTTTGTTTCAAGAATTTTAGAAGTGAATGTAAACAAAAACCTTACCTGCCAATTAGCTATCAATCAAACTATAAGCAGAATATTTTCAATAACCATAATAAATTGCAATGTTTGTTGTTGATTTTACTACAATGAATGGTAATGCATTTAAGATATAGTGTGTTTCAATAGGCCATAGCTATTAATATTTTTAAAATGAAGCTATAGAATATTTTTCCCTATTATGTAATTATTAATACTTTTACAATTACAACAGAACAAATTTTATTGAAATTATCAATTTATAGACTTGTATTTAAACAAATCAAAAATTTTGGTTTAGGTATCACATCAGAACCAATCAAAGACCATGAAGAATATCACATTATGGTAAGTAATAATATATTACCAGATCAGTAGGCCTATTTGTTAACTGCGTTTGACCAATGAAGTGACAACCACCAAACTATTTAGTGATCCACTACTGCTGACGCCACTAAGACACTTGTTTTGAAAAGCATCAATAGACATGCAATTTTCTCTTTAGTTATACACTGTATATTTTAATTTACTATTTGTATTTTATTATTATTTGTATTTTAATGTCAAAAAAGTTAGAGAATAGACCGACAGACTATATTCACTGTTTAACATTGAGTTTTGTTAAAATTGAGCAATTTAACAATTAAAATTAATGTATTGATAAACTGCCAAGATAACAAAGCCTGGATACAAAATAAACTTCCTGCTATTTTACTCTGCAATTTTATAATACTTGTGTTTCTGTAGTACTATTGTGATAAAATTGATTTATTTCAATATCTTAAGATTTTTTACTAGATATTGTCTCAGTCCAGCTACGGTATTCAACTACAGTCCTACATTATCAAAGTGAATGCTCTGACTGTTCCACTAAGAGCTTTATGCATGTGTCAAATTTCTTCTTGTACAGTACTACACCACCTTATCTTACCACCAGTTAACTAATGCTGGTTCAATTCAAGCTTTAAATACAATGGTCATCACAAAAATTTACCCTCCCTGTTGTTGCGCTATTGCTCTTTATAATTTCAAAGCTAAGTGTTTTGGAGTATGTTTTGTTAATGTCCAGGGTCCCATAAGATGTATGACTTCCCATAAATCTTAACGCACATGAGGATACTTAATAAGCATTTTTAAAGTAAGCACTGTTTAGTGCTGGTTCATCAATGTGTCAGTATTCACTTTGGCACAATTTAATTTGTAACCAGGTGTTTGCAACAGAGTAATTGTTATTGACCATTCTTACTTTATTGATTATCACTGTAATTTTGATAAAATTTACCTGGAATTATGGATGCTACTGAAACTGAATCGACCCAAATTGTAGCTTTGCTGTGAGGTGGTTTCGGTCAACGTATTGTTCAAAGATTACATATCAGTCTATCTGCAGTTCAGAGCGCTTACCAGAGGTTTCAAGAGTCTGGGCAGTACTGTAGAAGAACATCATCTGGAAGACAAAGAGTCACCACTCAAAGAGATGTCTTTACGCTTTATTGTGCCACAGCTCTAAGAAATTGGCATCTTTAGCTATAAGTGACGGTCCAGTGAGAAGAAGACTTACTGAATACAATATAAGAGCACTCAAGTCAGCAACAGGACCAAAACTGACCATAACTCATCGCCAAGTCAGACTTCAGTTTGCTAGGGAACATTTTGAATGGACTATAGACTAATGGGCTTTTGCTTTGAATGACTTACCGGACTAAGTAACGTTCACCTAGCCTTGTCATTACATTACGGCGCCCATCAGAGCCGTATAAAGTCATTCAAATCGAAAGCCCATTAGTCTATAGTCCATTCAAAATGTTCCCTAGCAAACTGAAGTCTGACTTGGCGATGAGTTACGGTCAGTTTTGGTCCTGTTGCTGACTGATAAGAAAAACACAGTTACGGTGGAGGCCCTACAATATTTTAGGCAGGATATCTTTGACAGCACGTACAGAGCTGGTGTTTATCAGTGGGTGCTCTCTAACTGCTCCACGTTACATAAAGGCGATCCTAGAAGATCGCGTCGTGCCATATGCAGTCTACATCGGAGATTACTTCTAGTTAATGCATGATAATGCACAAACACACGTAGCGCGTATTGTTACTCAGTATTTGGAAGAGGTTGGCTTTGGGGTTATGCAGTGGCCAGCAAGAACATTGGACTTAAATCCTATACAGAACATGTGGGATACGCTAAAGGAAGGTTAGAGCTCGAGAACCCGCCCCCACAATCTTGGAAGCTTTGGAAACCGCCATAAGTGGGACCGAATTCCTCAAGGAAGCGTCACCATTTTAATAAGGCAATGAAAGGCGAATGCAGCTAGTGGTTAGTTAATAGGGGGGAACATCGAATATTGACATGAAAGTTTTGTTCCAATAACGTGTAAGATTAAAAGTGTTCAATACGAACCTTTTAATAAGGTTATTGCGATTACTTATTTTTTATTAAAATGTAAAAAAGACGTTGTATAGTAAAATTACGATTTTAATACAAATTGATTCATTCAAAATATGAAAACGTGATATTTCGTGTAAAATTAAGGTGGACCGATTTTTGTGATGACCAATGTATATAAGATCTCAGTTGATTCTTTATACGTAAAAAAATCATTAGATAAAACCTCTAAGTGCTTCAATAAAAATATTTTTGTTTAGCCTTTCTGCACTTGAATATGATGAATGATTTAAATTTTTCCAGTGTCTTCAATTGGGCCCAACAATGGCCTCCTGCTACTGGGTATACTGGGTGCCAGCTCAGTACATAGAAGCCATAAAAGATGCCGTACTTGGAGTGTGGCAATTTTTCTAAATATCTCAACCAAATCTCTACAACTAAATGTCTATCTCCCCATAATGCTAATTGGGTAGTTGCAATATGGAAATTAAACTGTGTATTAAATTCTTTTCTGGTACAATGTAATAGTACCATTACTTTTGTGATAACATTTTGCCATGTCAATTAAAATTGTCCATTCAGAAACTGGCATCTATCTGGTCAAATGAGAAATTATTTATTGTTATTGTAAGTTTGCATTTTGTGCATTTGGGTTCAATAAGCTGTACAATCATGCTAATATGTTAAGGATATTCAAAGAATGTCAACTTTGAAAATAGGAACATCCATGAAGAGCTTATTGCCCCTTTCAAGTTTCAAACCTGATCTCTATTATGTGAACTTTACAATATTGAGTCACTTGAGTGGAGGATTGGGCAGAATCATATTGCAAAAACGACTGTCTAATATTTCTATTGATGTTTAGTGTTATGTGGTCATTGTAGTAAATCTAAATTTATGTATTTAAATTATATAATGCAAATTGGTATTGACACCAATCCTTCACTGAATACTTTTGATATAGAATTAGTGAAATAAAATGTTTTAAACAAGATTTATGTTTGACTAGACCGCCCCCATCGTCCTCACTTAAACTTTGGGATTCAACATCTCCCTAAGATACACGTACTTGTGTGGCGCGACCACCAGTCAATAATAGCAGTTTGCGAGTAAAATAGATAACTCAAGAGTATAAAATTTTATTTAGCATCAAGAATGAAATAAATAGATAGGTACATTTTTTGTCTTAATATTAAAGTAGTTCCACTACATACATGGCACATAATAATGTAAAATTGTAAATAATAAAATACACAATAGTGTAAGATATAAAAAGGTACAAGTTACAATTTGGTCACTAGATAATGTAAAAATTAAAAATATATTTTGTACTTATAATCACATAAGAATTGCTTCAGTCATCCATATTCAGATTGCACTGTCATAGAGAATTCTCCCTTGGGAATAGTAGTTGCATGATACCATATTCGAGTATCCAATAAAACTGCAATAAAAAAACATGTTATGCATATGTAATTTAAAAAAATTGGAAGATTTCCCAACAGTAAAATTATTTGGAAATATAAAGATAAATTAAAATTTCTACTTTTCGCAGATACCAGACTAGATTTGCTATATGGTTTGATAATTTAACTTATATTATTTTTACAAAGAGATCTAGTGAGAATGAATGATTTTTTTATCCATACATCTACTGCTTCGTTCCACAGTTCCAGTGCAATATTTTTTCTCAGTAGTACCAAGGTACTTGCTTTAGTTTGAATCCAGTCTGGTACCTGTCACATTGCGAATTTTCATGCACTACTCTTGCAGTCAAAAGCTTCATAAAAAATATTGTAAATTCTAAGAATAAGATTTGAAGATCTTTTTAAAGATTAACACTGTAAACCTACCAATATCACCTGCTTCAACATAATACTGAAACTTATTACAGACATGATCACAGTCAGGCACTGGGGCCACAGACCATATCTTCCTACCTTTTACTTGGCCTTGCCACATTAGCCTTGAAATATAGTCCAACTGAAATAAAAAAGATTAAAATTCAGAATTTGTAAAAACCTCAATCACATCATTATTATTATTGACATTACATCTAAAAATAGCACTTACGTGCATGACAGCTCCAATTTCATATCCAAAAAATATATTTTCTGTAGCTGAAAATTCAGCATCATCTGGCAAGAAGTGTGGAATTTCAAAATACTGTCGGACTGTAGCTTGTATGTCAGGATGACAATTGCCCCTGGAATTTTAAAATAAGTGTAATATTATAACTCTGAACTTTGTGAGTACTCAGAACTTTGACACCAACTGCCCTTGATAAACTGAAGATAGAGTAGAATGGAGAGACCTTGTCACTGTCTTGTTAAAGGCATTTCAAGAAAGACATTACTTTCAGCAATGAAGGCTATGATGAAGAAGACCCAGGTACTGAATATCTGTGATGGCGATTGATTCTCTGTAGTAATCAAATGTCATCATCTATTTCATTGGCTTAGAAGAAATTATTTATTTTTAAAAGAAAATGGTAGACTAAGTCCTTGTCCAAGGTCCCATTTGTCTCTATGCCAAAATTCATCAAAACTTATTTTTGTGAGAAAGCATTACAATGTTCGTTTTGATTAAATAATAATACTAGTATGGATTCCTGAAAATTTGGTGTGTTTATTGAATGAAAATGTAAAACGGGCATTTATTCAGTATTTGATACATACCACCCCACATACCAAGGATATTGTCCTGGTTCATTTCTAGCTCTTTCATCAGACATTTCAAACACTTCTCTTAGTGTGAACAAATCACTTTTAAAATTAAGGAACTGACATCCTTCATCAAAGCTCTCATAGCTACCGTCGGTATGTAGATACAGTCTTTTGAATAAATCAAAACTGAACTCCTTAGTTGCTCGCCAGTGGTTAATAGCGTTTTTTACTATGATGGGCTTGGAGGAATATGAATACTCCTGAGAATAAATGGAAATTATTTATTTACTATCTTACATAAAATGTATACATTCATGTATAAGGAAATATATAATATTTCTTACAGCAAACTCCTGCCTAGTAACATTGTATAAAATAATTGGCTCCGTAACGTTCTCGCAATAGGCACAATCAGCTAAAGGTCGAGTCGCCTCCCACACCAAATAATTAGCAGGTATTACGCATCTTACAGATAAAATACTATTGACCCAAGCACCGCTTAGCGACAAAACCACAAAAAATGCTATCATCACTATAACGACATCCTTGTGTCTTAACTTCTTATCTTGTTCTAAATTACAAATGTAATTATATTGTTCCAAAGCTTCTAAGCTTAGACCTCTTAGATTTGCATGTTTTTGAATTATTCTGAGTCTTTCACGTATCCTTCTTTCATTCTTAGTGTTTAACATTTTATTAAAATCAAATCATCGAATATACTTTATATTTTTACTAGTTACAATAGCTGTTTTTATTGTAATTTCATTATTTAATTCAAACCAACACAAACATTGACACAAACAATCAAAAAACAAAATTATCAGCTGTCAGTTGTCAGAATGTTTTCTGTTTGTAAAATTCTCCCTAGTGAAGGCAAAGGATACTACAACACCAACATCTCATTTTATCTTTTAATGAGACTATGGTGTCGACCCTGGCTTGATTCTCTAAATCAAAAATTAAATTTGATAACATTGGTGTCGATTCTGGCGTGATCAGTCTCTCCTTTTCATTCTGTATAGAGCATGACAAGGATACACTGTTGTCAAGTTTAGGTTTAAAGAATCATGCCAGAATCGATACGAATGTATTCTTGTCCTCTAGACGGAATGAGAAGGAGAGACTAATGTTAAGTTTAGAAAATAATGCCGGAATCCACATCATTTTAATTTTATTGGTTTTTAGCACAAGATATATTATCATATCGAATCAGGCTTTCTACATTTAAGTATTCGGTAGATGTCATGTCAAATGCAAGAGGGGCAACCAAAGAAGTCATAAAATACATAAAGATAAGAGTTGTATCGTTTTAACAAAGCCTGAAAATGATTTCTAATAAAAAAAATATGTGGTAGTAGTGAAGGCAAAACTATATATATCTTACGTGTTGTGTTGTGGCGCGATTGGTTTCATACATTTTTTTTTGTTTCCTCCCTGGCGGGGTGACGGTGAGAAATCCTCATGGATACCATACAGCCGGCTGTAGGGTTATGTCAGACTCTTACTGACTGAAAAACACCCTTTAATCATGCTTATGGCCAGAAGGGCTTCATCTGAAGCGATCATCCCCCGAGAGGGGGATGATGCGGTTTCATACATTTATAGTCGCGGCATGATATAATGGCAGTTTTGACACATTGCAATACTGACGCGCAAGTCAACCTGTAATCGAAAAAATCCTATAAACCAATACGAGTCACATCTATTTATTAAAGTTTTTGATATTTTTTACCAATATTGCAAAAAGTTTCTGATTATAAAGATTGAATATAACGAAAGCATACATTTTTACTCATGCTCAGCAATCCTGTAAAGATCTTAAAAATGTCATGTTTTTACATTTAGAATTTATGAAAATAAAAAAGTTTTATTAAAGTTTACAAAATATAATTTCAACGCGGCGAAAAGGGCCGAGGTAGCATAATGGTCAGTGCATTCGCCCAGATAGCGAAGGGTGCGGGTTCGAGTCCCGTCCGCTGCCTGGTCCGCGTGGATTTTTTTTGTAGTAAACTTTTCTTTAGATTTAAACATCTAGCAGTTAAATGCTTAAAAAATAAATAAAAACATAAGTATAATTGCTATTTCTTCTTTCAAATGTTTAATACTTGAAAAAGTATTCATTTGACATTGTGGATTACCTAAAATGTGAAGAGATGGCGCTGCCTTGCAGCTTAAGGCTGGGAAAATTTCGACGCGGCGAAAAGGGCCGTGGTAGCATAATGGTCAGTGCATTCGCCCGGATAGCGAAGGGTGCGGGTTCGAGTCCCGTCCGCTGCCTGATCCGCGTGGATTTTTTTTTCTAGTAAACTTTTCTTTAGATTTACAAAATATGTTTGAAAATTTGAAAAATTTTCTTATGTTTCTTCTTAGTTGGTTTATTTTCCTGTAGTCTTTTCTACTTGATGAAAGAAGCGAGTCTCTTTTAGTCCATAGATGATATGTGTGTTCGCATGTTTTAAGGTACCTTTTACTTCTTCCGAAGCTTCACCAACGAGTTGATATATCGACGTGTGTTTTTTGGCTTTCTCTGTTTAAAACTGCTCTTACCATTCTGTGATCATTATTGAAGTTTAGGTGTGGAATTACTGATGTATTTTTTTACATTTTGAATTTAGAACAATACAAATGGCGAGTGAGTAACTATAATTATGTTATTATTTGTATGATATAATATTTCTTCATTATAATAAGAATAAAACATTTATTTACATTAATTTAATGATCCATTTAAGATTCTGCCAAAGAGTAAGTGTTTTTGGGTTAAAAATAATATTAAATTTAATTGTTTTAATCTTGAAAATGTTTTCGTAACTCAAATATAAGTAAGAACCATGATTTTATAAAGTTTTGTAAAATTTAAATTCTACATCCTAAAATTACCGCTTCGATCAATTTTATGACTAAATTCGCTTCTCTAATGACAATGAGGAACAGTAATTATTTTTTTCAAATTTAGAACTAATAAATTCGAATTTAGAATACGGAATAGTCAAAACGGCCATCATAGCGTGCAGCTACTATAGTACTTGTGTGTCGCGATTTGTCGCAATGTGTCGACAGCGTTCTCACTCTTACCATTTAATATAAAAGCAGATAGCTCTCTGATGTATCACAACACAATACGGCAGATAAGCGTAGTTCTGCCCTTAGTTTAATGTTTAAATATTCTCAAAAATAAATAATAAGATCATCCTGTTAGGAAGAGATAAAAGGCTTCCGTTCTTTATTTCTAATTCATCCTATTTGATCGGTACTAATACACAGTACTAAATATGCTGATGGCATGAAGTTAATTATTTTATAACATGGCATTCAAAACTTATTTAAATTGTATTTTATTAATGATTAAAATAAATTAGGTATATAAAATATAATCATTATTTTGTTTATAACGATAATCGGTAATCATTATTTATAACCGATCACGCGCATCACTTAAAGTTTGCCTGACGCTGTCATGTCAACGAACTGACTGAGAAACTGATGAACTTGGCTTGGCGGTTTCATTAACTGTTTCTGTATAAAAACTGCAGAATGCCTCCAAAGAAACGTGATAAAGATAACGAAACCACCAAAACATCAAAAATCGACCATTTACAGGCTGACCATGAACTATTTTTACAAGCATTCGAAAGTAAGTTTCACTAACGAATGTTATCTTTTCCTTTTCAATGGCTTGTTCTAATATTTATCGTATCCTTTCAGAGCCAACTCAAATATACAGATTCTTACGGACTCGCAATATGCTATCGGTAAGTAAACTACGTAATCAAGGAATATTAGCTACAATAAATCGGTTGTTAATTGTTATGTACATTTTATTATTTTCAGCCAATATTTCTCAATAGAACGTTATCTTATATGAAGCGTAGAATGTCTAGAAGCAATAAAAGTCGTGTCGGCTTCAAAGTGGACTCATTACTTGATAAAATAACATTAAAAAAGAGCACTGAGCTGCAACCAAATAGTCTAGGAGGTTACATGACCCTGACGTTTCTAGGTTTCTATGACAAAAGCCTAGACGATCCTAGAGATTACCAAGTGAAAGTTGAAACATTACTGTTAAAAATTTGTCATAAGAAGAGAAAAGAAAGTTCATCTGCAATTGTTGAAGTTTCAGTAAGTAATAACTACATAAAACTGTTCAGATCAATTAATTACAGCATACTTATAAATGTTAAAAGCTTTGAATGAGGTACATTATTAATAGCCACACATTTTGATGTTTGGTATGCATTTCTATATAAATATACTTATATATGTATTCTATCCCTTACCCCAGTATCCCTTAAAACAAGCCAACAGTGCTTACTTTGGGGCTAGGCTAATTGGTGTGAGTGTTGGAAATATTTATTTTTCAGGTTGGAAGTTGTTCAGTGCCTCTTAACCCTTCATCATCAGAACCCCCTGCTATGGCATCTGCTGTGAGCATCTCCAGTGATACATTCAGCCCATCCCAAGGGCCAAATGTGAAGTCCTACATGCTCATGTTAAGAGTTACTGTCACTAGGGCTTCAGGTTGCACTACAACAAATGGAACATCCAGTTCTAGTGAAATAACAAATGGAGATAGTGATGGTAAATGCTGAAATATATTTATTAAGTTTAAAAAATGATTATCCTATTCAATCAGTGATTATGATATTTTTGTTAGATATTAAAATAAACATTCATCATATTTTACAGAACCAGTAACAAAAAGACTGAAATCTTCCACTTCTTCTGATCATATCAACTCTGCAACAAGTGACAATAAATGGACCAAACTTTATGGTAGTGAGTTGATTGTGTATGACAAACATAATCGTTGCCTCCTCACCAATGGAGAGTATGATCTGGTGCTCCACGATGCAACTCCAGGTGGCAGGAGTGCTACAATAGCCAGATCTCCACACAAAGCCCTGATGGCGCAATGGGAAACAATACCTAATGTAAGTTTATAAGCCATAGTGAATGTTGTTTAACATTAAAAATTACAAACTAATTACTATAGTGTGTGATATCATTGATTGATGCAAATGACACTACTTTAGAGGCTGGCAGACTGGCAAAGTTCCTCTCAATGAAGGTGTTAACTTAAATATCCAACATTGTATTTATGAGTTTTTAGACAAATTAAAATGAAAAACATTTGAGAAATTTAAAGAATATTTTGATGAATGAAGTAGGGAAAAAGGAATCTGGTAATATTTTTTTTATTTATTGCAGGAAAATGACTTGCAATCGGATTCAAACCCATTTGATATTTTCAAAGTACGTCCCCTCTTGAAACTGAAGCTTAGCTGGAGTCAAGAACCCACAAATGGGCTAGTGAATAGACCAAAATTGTACCAACAGAGCAATGAAACTAATGGAATTAAAAAAGATGCTAATGGCAGCAAAGATAGACATTCTATGCAGAAAGGCGGCACCAGTGAAGTAAAAAATGGTAAACATAACAGGGCTGTCTGCTCGTATGCCACCTATAACATAAAAAAAAACATAACTGTATTAATGTTTTGTACTCTATTATAGTTTGACTATAACTAATTAATTTGTTAGCGCATATGTTTTTGCCCCAGAATCATGGTTGTTTGTCGTTTTTAAATTCATATTATATAAATTGTATGTATACATGTATGCTATATATGTACATGTTATTCAATTTCCTTATGACAATTTTAGTACTTACTTATTATTTTTCTGGTTAAGTAATTTTATAATGAAACAAACTCAGTAAGCACACTTGGGCAAACACTGAATATTTTTTTATAGAAAAATACACATAATTGACAAGTATTTGATGAAGGTAACATGTCTATCTTTAATTAAATTCTAAATTTTTTTAATGTAAATGAACTTTGGGTTTAAGTGAACAATATGCTTATTCTTCCTTTATTTCTATGCTACACTAGTTTCTTTATTTTTAGTGCACTTATATATTTTTTTACTCTTTATTAGTCAAATGTTTAATAAGTGAATAACATTGCCTTCTCTCTTTTAAATTTCATAAAATAACCATATTCAATACTCTGTATGTCATTGAGGAGTTCCATTGATTATATCTGAAGGTACTGATCAGATATTCACCAAATTTATATGATATCATCTAAAACAAATTGATTGACTGACTGATTCCAACAAATTGAATCATTAAAATAGATTCTCTACTATTTGAGTTAGCATGAACAACATTAAAAAAATATTAACAAATAGATGTATCTCCTTTTTTAAAGTTGGTTAACTGGCTAAAGGTCGCCTATTGCCTGCTCTCTGTTGTACTCCTTTTGATGCCATACACCCAGGCTCCTATACCGCACAGGCATTATGAGGAGGATTCATTTATAAGTTAGTAAAATATATAAGTTTGGTCTTGCAAGCATGGGAACTCCGGACCTACTATTTGTTAAAAGATCCAAATTGTCAAAAATTATGTAAAATAAAATAAATCGCGATGCATTTCCTGCATCTTCATAAATAATCTGAATTGACAAATCAAGAATGCAATGGCAGTGTTTGGTCATCTGCTCTAATTGGTCACGAATTTTGGGGCGTAATTGTGTATAATGCGATTCAACTAGAATAGGACCGACTGGGCGCCATATTGTGATGTCATAGCTGTCAATTCAAACCAAATAGGTAGAGTGGACAAAAAAAAGTTTTTATTTAATAAAACTTATTTACTTAGTTTAAGTGAAAAAAAGCATCAGATTTTTTTAATAACATTTATTTATTAAGATTGAGAAAAAAAAAACCACCGATTTTTAATAATATTTATTTATTAAGACTGTGAGAAAAAACATTAATCAGAATCTAGGTCTTCTATTCCGCTCATCTCTGCATTACCGCCGGAGTAGTTATGAATAATCATGCACTATTACTAGGTCACATACGAACATGCATCCTTTATGTAAACGAAAGTTAGAAAAATCGAGTTTTTGAACGCAACTTAAAGTGACATTTGGTTGACGATTTAGGTTATCAACCATTAATGGCCAAAGCTCAATAAGTGAAAAAAAATATCAACCAATATTAATTATCAATATTTGTTATTGTTTGTTTACAAATGTTTGTTTTTTTTTTATTCTTGAATTCGAGGAGTGCTAATAAAGGGTTCCAAGTTTCTTTTTGCAAACCGTACTTTTCAAGCGATATTTGACAGATAGAGGTCATTGGCTTTCCTATTCTGATTTGAATCGCATTATAAGTTTCGCTTTCCGCTGTCTCTTTTCATCGCATTTAGCAGTATCCCACTTTATCTTTACTATAAAACTTTTATTGTAAATCTGAAGAGTTTTTGTTTGAACATGTTAATCTCATGAACTACTGATCCGATTATATTTGTGTTGGACAGTGCTTGTGTCGAGGAAGGCTATATAACATAACGCTTCGACTCAGGACTGGAGCACCAATAAAACTTGGCAAAAAAGTGAAAAATATTGCATTGGAGCTTTCGTTACGCGCGCTGGTTAAACGGTAAAAATCACACAAAAATCATGTATGACGAAATAGTTCTCCGTTTAAAGTTTTGTAAAGAAGCCCGCGACATCATAATAGATTACTTGTCAGTACGAAAAATAAGGTAGCAAGTGCTATATTTATCATGAATAAAAATACCAGCAATTTTACTATTCTGAGAGTACAAATAATTAATAACTTTTCTTAAAATCAAAGGCTAAAATGACGTCACACGCTAGTAAACTTCCGGTTAAAGTGACATTACATTGTATAGTTTGACGTTTTAATGACAGTTGTGGGACGCCATAATGTCCAGAAAAACGATTTCGCGGCAACTTTAACATTTTTTTTTTGGTTTAGCTTTTTTTTCGCAACAGTATGATTAATATTCACTTTTTATGTAATTCATAAACATTGGTAAATAACGTGAGGTCGTTTTTCTTAAACTTGTCAAATACCATATTGTCTACCTTTTAAGATAGACTCACTATAACCTGTTATTCCGACAACCACGCGGACGAAGTCGCAGGCACAGCTAGTATTAAATGAAAGCCTTATTTCTAGGTGAGAAATCAAAGGAATCCAACGAAGGCGAGTCCAAACGCCAACAGATAATTTACCAGTTCTTGTACAACAACAACTCGCGGCAGCAGACGGAGGCTTGCGACGACCTCCACTGCCCGTGGTGCTCGCTGGACTGTGGCACTCTCTACTCGCTCCTGAAGCACTTGAAACTGTGTCACTCGAGATTCAACTTTACGTACTTTGTAAGTACTATATAACAAATAGTATAGCACTCGTATTCATATGTCGATAAACTATTTAATATTTTTCTTGTCTTTTAATGCATTGGGGATACCTTAAGTAGTATTTTCAGACTTGGAACTATTGGAGCACTACCTTTGTTTGCTCTTATGTTGATGTCTTTTGTTACAAAAAGAATTTATTGTAAAAATATTTATTGAACTTTATGATCATGTTATGAAGAATCTGTATTACTTTCCAGTGTCAACGTATAACACTAAATTGATTTAACATTTTCTACCTACACATTAGTTGAATTTTCACGTTTACTGACAGTTCTCACATTTGATCACAAACTTGTTTTTATCTCAACTTAAAGTCCTCTACGTTCTATACGTACAACCTTACTATACTGTTATAGTAAGGTTGTACGTATAGAACGTAGAGGAACAACAAGTACTTTTACAAGTATTAAACATTTGAAAGAAGAAATAGCAATTAAAGTTATAATTTTTATTTCAAATGTTTAATATTGTAAAAGTATTCATTTGAAATGGTGGGTTGCCTACAATGCGAAGAGATGGCGCTGCCTTGCAACTTAAGAATGGCTAGAGGAATTTCGACGCGGCCATCAGGGCCGCGGTAGCATAATTGGTCAGTGCATTCGCCCGAATAACGAAGGTTGCGGGTTCGAGTCCCGTCTGCTGCCTGGTCCGCGTGGATTTTTTTTTAGTTACATTTCTAAACATTGTTTTATGCCAATCAGTTTGATTTAACATTTGATATCTACATTTTGGTTGCATAAATTTTTACGGCAGTTCTCACATTTGATCACAAACTTGTTTTTACTGATATCTCAACTTAAAGTCCCCTACGTTCTATACGTACAACCTTACTTTAACAGGGTCAATTGATCATTTAAAATTACATTATGATTCTCTAAATTTAAAACTTAATTTAACATCAGTCTCTCCTTTTCATTCTGTATAAAGAATGACAAGGATACACTGTTGTCAACTTTTAGTTTTGGTTTAGAGAATCATGTCAGAATCGACACCAATTCTCTCATTTGTCCATACAGCCAATACCCGGCGGTGCCCGCATCGACGTGTCAATCAACGAATTGTACGACGGATCGTACACGGGATCGCCGCACGACCTTATAGCGGGCGCTGGGAGGGGTAGAGGGGGGGCTCGGGGTCCTGCTCGAAGGACCACACTCACACATGTATTGGCTTGGAGACCTAGGGCTAGACGTCGTGCCCATAGACATAGTCTCGCTGAATTCTTGGAATTGGACGATAGCGAGTTACTGGAGGCACAGCGGCCGTACCTCACCGGACATAATAGGTATAAATATACACTTAAACACCACACCACGTTCATTTGTCCTTTTAGCCTTTGCCTAGTGGTGTGCGAAGTGACGTACACGAGGTCAAAAAAATCTTGATTTAAACACATACAGTAAACAAAAAACAAGGGGTTTTTAAGTTTTTGTTTTATTTATTTCGTTTTAAATTTCTAGTCCAAGTATAGTATTATATTAATTACCTAAATTTAAATTTTTGAATAATCGGGACATTTAGCGACCCGATCTGGTACAAATTGGGACGCGCCCCCAGATCCCTGAAAATCGGGACGTCCCGCGCAAATCGGGACACCTGGACTAATGGACATGCAATTTTCTCTTTAGTTACACACTGTAAATGTAATAGCAATGTTATAGCATGTGTTATAGCAAGAACTTATTTAATTTCAGATTATACCACCATACTATCACTTGCCTGCCAGTATATCCGAACGAGTTAGACATCGACTCGGAGAGTGAAACGGACCCTCTGTGGCTACAACAAAAGACAATGATGATGATAGATGAATTCACAGACGTCAACGAGGGGGAAAAGGAGCTTATGAAAATGTGGAACCTCCACGTGATGAAGTACAATTACGTTGGCGACTGCCAGATCCCGCTGGCTTGCCAGATGTTCCTACAGATGAAGGGTAAGGAGCTTCTGGAAAAGAATCTTTACAGGAATTTCATATTGCACATGTGTTCGTTGCACGACTTTGGCCTACTGAGCCCCGTAGCTTTGTACCAAACCATGCAAATGCTCAACCAAATGCTGGCAGACAATGCCGAAGCCAAAGAGAAGATGAGGGATTCGTTGAAAAAGCAACGCGAGCACTGGCACGCTGTGGGCAAGTACCAACAGCCTGCTATAATAGACCAGAAACCTCAAACTACCACTGCGAAACTGAACAATGTGGAAGCATCACCTTCGGTAAGAAGAAAAACTTCCAACCTCCAAAACGCTAATAGAATGGCCAGTACCAGTTCAGGTTTCAACAAATCTGCCAGTCCGGGCCCATGCCACGTGGAAAGCAGTAAAAGAAAGATGTCATCGGGCAGTATACACAGTCGCAAACGGACCTCCATATCGGAGAGAAAGAGTTCCGTATAGCGAATATTCAGTGTCTTAACGCTATGGGACTCCTCTCGTTTCAAAGTACAACACAAAAATAACTTTTACTGCTCTGTTAACTAGGGCTCCTTTATGAAAAATGATGCGGAAACGGATTTTTAGTATATGCTTTGTCCCCATCCGTTTTCCTGAATTTTAGAAGTGTTGTTATTGTCTGTAGAATCGACAAGTTGTACGCGTCTACAGCCACCTAAATGCATATATATTATCTTTTATGCAACTACTTTTAATTCGGGAAGCTTGTAAAACAAAAGCGAAGCGCGTACTTTTCCCTGATTTTCATACAGTTATGGACATGACAGTAGATAGATATCCTTGCACTAGTAATAGCGTCCTTATTGCTTCGTATTAAAGTAACTTTTATTTAATCTTCTGAACAAACAACGTTGCCGCAAGTTATTTCAATAAAATCATTATAATTACCGCTCTTCATTGCCGATTTGCTAATCCGGAATGCCATCTGTTCACAGTTCTTAATTGATGTAGTTCTGCGTGTCAAGAAAGTAATCAATTTGTAAAAATATTTAATAATTTGATAAAATAATTTCAGGAACCTATACTAAGAAAAAGACAGCATTTATTTTATTATCCATTTCCAATTCATCATAATTGAGTGAGCCAGAGCATATTGCATGCCTTGTATTGCCAGGGAGAAAAAAACAGCTGTTCACATTTTACAAAATATTGTTAATTGATGTTAAATCTAAGTTATTCAACGTCGAGTTTAGTAAATTCTAGAATTGTGTTTTTTTGCGTTTCGTATATAGTGTTATTAATCTATAGCTGAATTCGAATGACTTCGCATGTTTTTGTCGTTATATTTTGTAGTGACTTTTCTAATTCCGAATGGAAATCGGTGTTGTCACAACTTTTTTCTCTCGTCGGTTTATATTTAAGCAAAGAAATGTCCATGTGATGGATGGTTAACGGTTGTACCCAAAGGCTATTCCTAGTAACAGTTAAGCTTATCAAAGTTTTGCTAGTTAACTATAGTCGTCACGAAAAGCCATAAATATACAATCAGGAGCTCATACAGTGTGTATTCCGTAATATATACCAGTATACTGGCCAGTGCTAATGACGTCATGGATCTACGCTATACTGGTGAATTGTTCCGAAATATATTGGCCAGCGCACTGACGTCATAAATCAACGAAATATTAAAAATAATGCGAATAAAGAACATTTTTTATTCACCTCATCAATTAAAAGGAATTCTTTTTGTTCGGATGCCATTATTGTTCTTTAAATAAAAAAGAAATAAAATTCGAATGCATCTCACGCACGCTCGGTCATACGTCATATTCGTTTTCCCGGTAAAAATATGGTAGCATACCAGTACAATATGGCGTTGGATTCGTGACGTCATTACCACTGGCCAGTATACTGATGTACATTTCGGAATACACCCACAAAACAGTATCCAAAGATCGAAAGGATCCATTCTTTTCTCCATGCAACTTTGCCCAATCTTACACCTCAAGTATTATCATGCATGCATGTATAAAAAATACGCAAAGTTTATTGAAAATATATAAATTTATTATCCACTTGTGTCACATAAAAATGTCTTTTATACATTTAAATTAATGGCAACAGATAATATGTAATAGTAAATGTACATCTTTAAAATACAAAAACTACGGCAAACATAAAAAAAATGATCGCCAAAAGCTTGAATATAACAAGATATTATACTTCAAGCCCATCAAAATACATATAACTGAAAGGGTTGGCTAAAACTGTGTACCAAGACGATTAAGACGATTAAATGTCAAAACCAATTATAATGTATGTAACGAAAAACGTTGCGTGATTTTTGATGCAACCAATGACAATCAAGGAAATGAATTTAATCCAATAGTGTCATCTACCAGTCAAAGACAATTTGCGTATAGGTAATAACATTGCTTTATACGCAAATTCCTTGTTTTTATATTTTTATTCAGATTTTCACCCTTTTCTATTGTATTTATTGGAATTTTGATGAGTGGGCCTTTTAAGTATAATTTTAGATGTTTTTGAGATAATTTGTACCGAGGTATACAATATTGGGCAGAAATCGAAGATCCCCTTTAAAACTGGATAATCTGACCTGTTGTTGTCTATACTAAATAACAGCGAATTAGTCATACAACTACTTGTATATTACAACTAATTGTCTAGAGATGATCTTTTTAAGTGATCATTGTCACTATGTAACTCAGTAGAAGATAAATAATATATTGTTTACATAGTTTATGACTAATGGTAATGATTATGTAGTTGTTATTTTCCAAAAATTATATTTTTGACAACAAAGCTTTGATAAACTTGTATATTGCAGGAGTAAGCTGTTGGAAATGGCCATGATTAAGAAAATTAAGTTACTAATTAATAACTGGAGTTAAGATCGGTTACATTTTGGTCTTAGATCTCTTGATATATGTTATGTCTTGTTTATTTCAACATATATTATTTTAGCAATTACCTATGTATTGAAATTTCAACATTCACGACTGTGATTATCTATTAGTTAGTAATTTGCGTGGTTTATTCATACGTATGAACGTATATGTGCTTGTAGAATAATTTTGTATAACACTGCCAATACAATACATCTCAATTAATTGTTTGCGCTAATTAGTAATATTTTGAAAAACCACAACTGATAGGGTATAAAAAATATAAATAGATAAAAGAATTGTTACAGGTTGTCTCAAAAAGATTACACTTATTATAATACCCAAGATAAAAATTAGTTAAAAGTACCATCAAGTCACATTCTGAATGTATCACATGTTCTCAATAGGGTATTTGACAGTATTAAAAATAAAGTGCCCATTGTTAGCATCTGTGTTTAGAATGAATATTGGCAGGGGATTTTACTATTTTTACAAAAAAAAAAACATAATTTTACTAAAAACCCACGAAAAAGATAACAGTTTTCTTATCTATTGTCACGTGACCCAAAACGCTTGGGATTGGCGGAGCCTAAAATGGCGTCACACGCAAGTAAACTTCCGGTTAAAGTGACATTACATTGTATCGTTTGACGTTTTAATAACGTCACACACTAGTAAGACGCCATATTGTCCAGAGAAACGTTTTCGCGGCAACTTGAAAATGGAGTTTTTGATTTGGTTATTTTTACTGAAATACACAACAGAATGATGAATATCCACTTTTTACGGACTCCATAATCATTAGTCAATAACGTGAGATCGTTTTCTAAAACTTGTCAAATACCCTATTCCGTGCGTGTTAATAATTTGTCTAGTTTTTATACTATTTTTTTTTATAAATTCATCAGCTTTGTATCTCGTATGAGGACGTCATTTAACATTCAGAAAACGAAAAATTTATACTTTTTGTTTACAATAGAAAATTTTGGGACATCTGTATTTGATTGCGTATTAGAATACTTTATACTTTTAATAAAAATTTCAATATTCTAATGCGTAAATTGGGAAGTTTTGGTTCCATTTAGTCATATTATTAATTTATTTGCATATATGGACAAAACGACTCGTCAGTTTTAGTCAAGAAAATACAGTCTTGTTAAGTGTAGTCGTAAATAAAGTTATTTTTTCTGACACAATTAGCTAAATATCTTCCCTGCTTAGCCAAAAAGCGGTGTGTCTAAGATCTTATAGTTTTTTTTACAGCATTCGATAGCAATTACAATTTCACATCTAATGGTATAAGCCAAAAAGCCTTATCTGATTTAAAACATTGAAAACTACTTAAAAAACAAATTTAACTCAAGTTTTCTTTATATCACTAAGCGATTGAGCGACATTTGGTTAAGTTCATTTCTCGAACTCGCTGCGGAATTAGCACTTTTACGCTAAGTAATTATGACTATAAGGCAAACTGAGACTTCGCCTGCGGGGTACAGGATGTGGGGGAGATAAGAGTTAAAGGAATGCAGACAAGATATTTGTTGAATATCTAGATTCCGGACACACATTTGTCATGTCTGGAGACGCGATTGTATCGGGAGATAAGGGAAGACAAGTAAATTTTCATCTAATTTCTTAAATAAATTTCAAACTGTTTATTTTTAATTTGTAAAAATAATATGTTTGAAACCTTTACATTGAGCCCTTTTATTTGATATATAACAGGGTACAGTTAGCTAAATTTAATTTTATAAATCAACCCGCAGTAGTAACCCCCATACACGGTATTTATTTATTTACTTTATACGTCCGTGTTTGGGTCACAGACATACATTTATTTATCAAATCTCAGCTTGTTCGGTTCAGTAGATTCCGAGCAAATCGAATGTGACAGACAGACAACCGAGAGATCCTATAAGAGGTCTGCTTTTGCCGATCGAGGTACAGAACCCTAAAAACAAAACAAGTAGAAATATTTCCGAATAAAAACAAATTATTTTGGAATTTTTATTCCAGTTTAATATCTGAATAGAGGCGAAATTATTGGAGGGGACTGCCAACTTACGATTAATTTTATTTCATAGAACGCAAATAAAAGCTTAATTATTTTTTATTCAACTATCTTTTACAGTTAATGAAGTTGTTATAAAAAATATACCTAAATTACTTTTTATTACAGACCAATAGTTATTTTTTTTAATATAAAATAAAATATTTTTGTATGGAGCGTTCTAGTAACAGATCACCGCCAACAGCAGTATCTCAAGTATAGACGCCTTTTTTGTTATCAAAATAGCGGAATCTCACAAAATAGGTAAAACGGCCGTTTATGCAAAATTTGGGTGTGTCAATAAATTATGTTTAAAATATGTTAAACAAGTTTTTAATTTTTTTAGAAGATTTGTTTCTGAAGGTGCGAAAAACACAAAAAGGCGATTTTCTCAAAACCTACTCTGATTGAGATACCGCTTTTCGGCTTACCAGGGCAGTATTGCAGTCAGCTGACATTTGTCTCATATTTCTGACCAAGAAAATAAGGTTGAAACTGCTGTGCATGCTTTTGAAATTCAACTTTATACACTTAGAAATAAAATACACGCGACAACAAACCAGTCATTAACTTTGAAGTCGTTCTTCATAAGACGACAATATTTATTTTTGTAAAGTAATCTTTTCAGATGAATTTAGTTTTCTAGCTAACCCACATATTTAGTTAGAACGAATTATGTAGGCACTTGAAGAATGTATTTAAATTAATAGACCATCGACTATTTTAATTGTCCAATTAATTTCAATTATTGTTATTAGTGGGATTATGTCGTTGGTAGTAAATTTTACCCAATTTTATTCTATATTTTACTAGGGAATTCTATAGAATATTTTAAATATAATTAGTTTAGACTAAAGCTCAGTTAATTGATTCTGGTTCAAAAGATAGTTTTAGTTATATTTAATAAATTCCACTAATAACTTGATTGTTTATAGTATTTTTTATTAATTTCGCTGAAAGGCTCCACGAGTTCTGATGTGAAAACACGTCAACCTTAGTTATATTAATCTTTTATGAACATAGCTGATTTTTTTTATCAAAGATTATTAATCTGATAAGATGCACAATATTTCATAGGCCGTGTTAATTTTAGACTTAACGCATAATACTTTTTAGTTTATAATATTTAATGGAAATTTATGTGTATCCGATTGAAATATGGGTACTAGATGAATTGCAGAAGTTGGTAACAACCCGCCATTTTTAAAGTGTATGATGTAATTAATAGTTCTCGTAAACTTTAATCAGACAAAATCAATAGATTGACATCCCATTTTTGCGTGTTAAATCTATTTAATATAAGTTTAATTCAATGTAGCTGATACCTATTGTAGGTAAAGCGTACATGAATGCGAGTGCCTACATTGTAGTATGTACTCTTATGAACCACACCGAATGTGGATAACGCTATTAGGTAACCAAACTTTCTTTTTTATACAACTTAAATGTTTTATTTAATAATTTTGCCCAAGTGTTTCTACTAATTAAGTATGTATTTCCAATTTGTGAATGTTAACATTGAAAAGCGAAACATTATTTTGTTAATATTTTTTTTTGTATTGTTCCATTTTGAGTAATGTTCAGTAAATTACTTGTACTTACTTTGAAGTGAAATATACATATAATAATTATTTTCGATATTTGGATTTTCATTTGGAACTCTTATCCCTAATAAGGTAGTTTGCAAGAAATGCTGACTGTCTGTGATTACTGTGGATACTAGCAAAGACTGGCTGACTACATTGTCACTATTTTACCAGAGGCCCAAGCACGAATTTTGACAGCTCAGTACCCTTAGCACGAACCAATATCGAAATCGTATCGTTTGCGAGTACTAAATGTCATTGTCCATTATGTACTGATTTTACTCAAGTTCTCGTTACGTTAGGGGTACTGTACCCCTAGCACGAACCATTATCCAATTCGAATAGTTTGCGAGTCCGAAATGTCGTAGTTAAATTTTGTATGGAAACTTGAACAGCAGCGCCACAAAGTACGTAACAAGAACTAAAAATCAGTACACATTTGACAATGACATTTCGGACTCGCAAACGTTACGAATTCGATTTTGGTTCGTGCTAAGGGTACTGTAATCGTATCGCAACGTCAAAGTTTCTTTGAAAATTAATCAGCGCCCCTACGGGACTTAAGAATATACTGGCTCTTTCCATACAAAATTTGACGAACTGTCAAAGTTTTTGGCCTCGGTAATCAATTTGGACCCTACAAATCTTAAGCCTGGATGTTTTATTATTCAGTCTCGCCGATTCACCAAACTGCTGTATGAGTTTAGTACAGGGATGGGCAAAGTTTTTCGCTATCGTGCCAATATTATCTATGGCGGGCCAAGTTTACGCTCAGGTAACTTACGATTTGCAACCTATAACTGTAGCAAAATATAGCCCAGTAAAGAGTGCACCTCAGCAGCAGGATAAAAAATCCCTTTAGTTTGCTGCGAAGTAGAAGGTGGTTCGGTAACGAAGTGTTCTTTCTTAGTCGGAACATGTGAAAAAATAGTTCTTTTTGGTGAGAACCTTTGATGTTTTTTAAAGCATTTAGCTGCTCGATCTTCATTTGACATTGTGGATTACCTACAATGCGAAGAGATGGTGCTGCCTTGCAGCTTAAGAAAGCATACAAAGAATTCGACACGGCCATCAGGGCCGTGGTGGCATAATGGTTAGTGCATTCGACCGGATAGCGAAAGGATCGAGTCCCGTCTGCTGCCTGGTCCGCGAGGAAATTTTTCTAGTAATATTTGCTATAGACCTTTGATTTTTGTTTAATGGTGGCGGGTCTGATTTCAGCCATTCGTGGACCGGAGCGATCTCCGGCGATCCCTCGGGCCGTTGTTTGCCCATCCCTGGTTTACTAGGTTACACGGGTAGGGTAATACTCGATAGCGCAGTGGTTAGTGCGTTCGTTTTGTGATAGTGGAAATTGACTAAGGCCTCAAAACCATAGGCGCGTTTTTATCGGATGTGTTATAGGTTTTTACTACCTCCATTATGTATGAGAAGAACGAGAAGTTACTGCTGGGATATAAACGACGCAAGAGAAGTATAACCAAATATCTCAGTAACGGATCCGATATCATCGGCCGATAAAAACGCGCCTATGGGCTGGAGGCTTAAGTTTTGTAATGGTCATGTAATTGGTGAACAAAAAGTTACAAAGCACATTTTCTATTCTATATAAAAACTGAACAGTTAAATACATAAATAATTATAATAAAAAAACTTCAAATTGCTATCTCAAAATACTCGTGTTTGAATGAAATATTTTTTTGTGTTAAATTGGTATTTCTCAAAGCCTGAAAACGTGTGTTTAAAAAAAGCAACTCCTAGGCAGTAAATTAGACGGAAACAGGATACATCTATCTGACATGAACTTCAAAATTAGAACTGTCAAGGTCGCACCCTGTAAAGAGAAAAATGGAAAGCCATTTGACAAAGTTCGCAAACTGAAATTTGTTGTTGATTAATAAAAATGTCAAACTCGAAGAACAAGTACAAATTAGCCGATAAAATCAAAACAGACACGCAAACCATTCAAAGAAACGAAGATGAAGGTACCTTTGTCTAAAAATCTTGTTGTCAACAACATCTAAATTGTGAATTTGATATTAAATGAAACATATTTTCTGTAGAGGAAGCTGTACGTTGTGGTCCTACGGAAAGCTGCACATATGCGGGTGAGTTATACTGTTAAAAATCACAGTTTGCTATTTAATCCTGACTTATGATTATATTTTCAGTAACGGTGTCAAAGAAAACATCGTCGTCCGGAGAGGAGGAGTCTACCTTGTGTTCCGGGCAGAAATCCTTCATCAGCATTCATTCCACCGATCAACTATGTCAAGTGGCTGACATCGATAACCCGTTGAACCTAGACGAGTGCCACGTGGAAGTGTTAAGTCTCAACGAAGTATTTCCCTCAACGTCGGAGGAGAGTCTCTCTAACGAAGACGATTCACCAGCGCAAAGGAAACACAGGCATAAGAATAAGAGCACGATGCAAAAGTGTCAATCTGAGAATGCTACGAAGTCGGGCTACGTGCCCACAAACAGTAAGTCGTCTACTCAGTCCGGGAGGCAGAAGGCCTCCCTGGAGGGACAGTCTTCCGGGTACTCCGATTTCGATATACCGAAAAACACGATGTACGTAGTCGGAAGTAATCCTGGTGAGCCGAAAATGTCGTATCAGGATCCGCCTAAGAAAATCTCTAAAACGGTAAAGTATTGTGACAATAATTATCAATATATAACCCGAAACACAAAGTTCATGATTATCTTTTGCACAGCACTTTTAATTTACCCATTTTGACACATTGTTAGTTATTTAAGTCTATTACTTCAAATACCCTGATTCATCTAAGCATCTCGAGCTGTTGGTCCCAGCTGTAAATTGCTCGCACACCAAAGGAACCTCTGCAATGGGTTCCCAAAGGAGGGTTATGGTTATAAAGCCCGATTTTCTTGAGCTATTCTGGTCCATGGCACAAGGGAAATTCCTAGAATGATGGTGACTTCAATCACAAGAGTTCAAATTAACATTTCAGATGAAAAAGTTCCTGCGAAACATAGACAAACACAAGAACGATCAAAACTGCAAGATTAACGAGAAGGCACTCAGCAAGCTGACGACTATGCGCGGAATTCTCAAGGACGGCCGCTGCGTGCCCGAGTGTACGGGAGACTCCGTACAGAGCCCCGACGAATATAACGCACGTGAGTTTATTACGCTTATTGCGAATAACTGAAGCAGTTTTTATTACAAGCTCGATGGTGCAGGTGATTAACGCATTCGGCCTGCGATCGTGAAAGTCGATCATTAGATGGATCACCAAAAACTTATTATCTCGAGCTCGTGCGTGCTTCGGAAGGCACTTTAAGCTATGGATCCCGGCTACCCACCAACCCGCACTGGAGCCGTGTGGTGGGTCTTGACCTTATCTCCCCATTCCATTCATAGGGATTGCCTGTGCCCCAGCAGTGGCGACATTACTGGGCTGAAGGTGATGAACTGAAGCAGCAAGCGATACGGTAAAATCACAAAGTAGGTAGTAACCTAATCATCGCGCTCATGCTGTCGGCTCACAACAAAGCGTCATTCTGTCACGAAATTTGACGTTTTGACGTAAACGTTACAGGCCAGTGTCAAGCAGAATTCATTCGCGACTAGGCAGACAGACCGCTTAACTGAGTCCTCGCCGGCAGGCACATTCTTGTAAAAATTTTACAAGCGCCCCGCCGCCGGCACCTCTCACGACCCACGACAACGGCTAACTAGAGCCGAGGTCCTAGTCTCGGAGTCGCCCTCTAGTTGAACCGACCCCCTCAGGTTCAAGTGGCAGGCTCAAGACGGAGAGGAGACTCCCCCCGTGGGGAGATGCCATCCGCCTGGAATACCTCTAGAGGCAGTCGCTAATTCTCGGCTTGAGGTCCCCTTAGGATCTCCCCAAACCCGCTGACGCTGTAAAGGTCATTCTGCAAACCTCTCGCGGTCCACATTTTCGTCCCCCCCCCCCCCCCCCACACACACTTTACCCCGCCGGCGAGGACTCGGTTAAGCGGTCTACCTATAGCGTGCTAGTGCTGTGAAAATCAAAAGCCCCAATATTTAAGTAATTATAGACGTCCTTCTGGTTATTTCCTGTTTTGTGGTGATGGAAATGGTCCTTCGAGCTTTAGAGTTCTTCTGAAATAAATATAAATAAATAAATAAATATTTCCAACACTCAAACCAATTAGCCTAGCCCCAAAGTAAGCACTATAAGGCTTGTGTTATGGGATACTAGGGTAACGGATATAATACATATACTGTACATATATAAGTATATTTATATAGAAAGGCATTAAACATCCATGACTGAAGTACAATGCTTGTATTCATCACACAAACATCTGCCCCCACCGGGATTCGAACCCGGGACCTCTCGAGTCGGCGTACAAACCACTCGGCCACGGAGGTCGTCAATTGACGAGAATAGAACAAGTAATTTAGTTTCATGGCATACTAGGACGACCTAATGCGAGCTACATGCACAGGTAACCATAACAAATTAAAATATTTATTCTTTAATTTTAGCAGAAGAATTGACGTTGCCTTTCCACATGGATTTCTACCCGCAGACAAATTACACGAAACAGAATCCAGACAAGAACGTTACTTTCAACACTCAAGTAGTAATTATACACTTCAGTGGCGATTTATGCGTCGGCCAAAGCGTCGAAACACTAAGCAAAGAGAAGGACCAACAAGCAAGAAACTCAGAATTAAGGAAAACCTTTTTGACCAAGTACAACGAGTTTTGGCCTTCCCAGAAATAATGTTAAGCCTAGAATTATTCGCTTACGTCTTTAGTGATAACGGTGAGAAAGTGGTCAGATTAGACAGTATTCACACATCTTGTACAACGTCAAATTTATTATTAAGTTTTGTGTTTATCTCGTTTTGTATTTATTGAAAAAATCTTTCTAGGTAATATAGTGTTAAATCAAGTAACCAAATTGAAATATATAAATATTATATTTGCTCTCGAGACTTTTAATTAAATGAAACTTCCGTTTATTTAAATAATTCGTTTATTACATCTTACATTATTATCACAGTTTTGTCTTTGCTAATTGGGTTTGGAAGTGATTTTCCATAGGACCAGTTCCTTTACGCGATCGTAGGTGAAGTATTTAGGAAAGTCGAGTGGTAATTGTTCGACTGTCCAAGTGGAATGAGCGTTGCCCGTTTTGACTTTGTCTAGTAAGGCGAGGAATGTTTCGTAGCACGGCGCCACTGAATCCATATGTTCTATAGTAAACACATAGCGTTTCTCTAGAACCACATACAATGTTTTCGGCGGCGCGGTGTTCAGAATCTTTTGTATGGTGGCCACGAAGGCCGCGGTGACGTCATCATCGTAGATCACTGCAACGGTAAAATCAACATTACATCAAAAGAGAAAGAATATTATTTAAGGAGCTCGATGGCGCAAGTGGTTAGCGCGTTCGGCTGCGATCGTTGAAGTTAAGCAACTTTCGCAGAGGTGTGGCCAAAAATTTAATATCTCCAGCTCCTCCGTGCTTCGGAAGGCACGTTAAGATGTTGGTCCCGGTTGCATCTACAGTCGTTAGTACCTGCCAATCCGCACTGAGCCCGCGTAATGGGTCATGGCCCAATCTCCCTATATGGAAGGCTTGTGCCCCAGCAGTGGATACATTAATAGGCTGATGATGATGATTATTATTTAAATGGCAACCTGAAGCGAAGGATCCTCTTACCAATTTAGTATCTACTGGCATATATAGACAGATCATCTTAATATCACAGATATCTAAATTCCTAACTGATACTAAAAGAGGACGCCCCTCTTTTAGTATCAGTTAGGAATTTAGAATTAAGATTTTTTTTTCAATCTTATTTATTTAGAAGCCTAATATAAAGGATATGCCGGGAAAATATATATCGGGCTTTTAAATACTTCCGACTGCGGATCTGCCAATATATTGTTGCGAATATCCCTAGCTACACCGAACACGTATAAATTATGTTTTTGCAATATTTTTATATTATTATTTGTTTTATTATTATTATTATTATATTTTCCTAGATGGATAATGTCCAGTTCGAAATCTAAAAGCTGTTACAATAAACCTGCTGTTTTTCCGTCCTCCTTTCAGTTAGGAAGTTAAGGATTAACTAAAAATTTGAAAAAGAGAAATTCTCTACTAGAAAAACTATCCACTCCGTCCAGGCATCACACAGGATTGGAACCTGCACCTTTCGTTATCCAGACGGAAATATCACATTTTACTTATTTCACATTAGGCTTTATCGAATCAATTTAGGGAAGCCCTTTAGGTTGTATCAAATTTAAACTTTATGCCAAAATTGTTAAGGTTAGAAATCTAATACCTCAATCTACAAAGAACGTACCATCTGCAGCAATAACGACGTCCACTCGTTTCATTTCATTAGCTAAATCCTGACTCCACTTGTCTTTGAAATCCAGGTGCATAACTTTGAACTCTGACTTGATGAATTTTGAATTGTATTTAGCGTTTAATTTGATTAGCTTTAGTATACCGCCGATGTCCATATCTGAAAAATAAAACTACGATTAGAGACTAGGTATGAGAGGTAGACATACTCGTACATACATACATACTGATTACAAGTACAAATTAAAGCGCATATTTTTCTAAATATCTGGAAGGCAAGGACACCTAGTCCGCCTGCAATACCAAGAGTATACAAGCGACTACTGACCCACAGAACACAGAAAGATGTTAGAAAGGGTGATCATAGACCGTTTGTAAGGGAACCGATGTCGCCGGCTCGCCCCACTACACTTCCACCTTATAGATAATAGCCAATCAAACGACGCGACCTTAAACAATCGAACCAATCAGCGCCCACAGCCGAGATCAACGACGCAATCAAAACTCAGTTTTGGTCAAGTTATTAGCATTTGCTCACACATAACTATGGCGCGCCTAACCTGCCCACAAGGCCCTTCTAACCCCTGTTCTGTGTACCGATCCTTTAAAAACTAGTTTGTCTCTTGAAGAATTTGGTTTCTTCTGTCTGTGGAAGTATCCTCCATGTTATGAACATAAGTGTGCATTAAACTGCAACTGTTACTATAAATAAAGCCTTCGTACACAAATCTACGCAAAATTTCGATACCTGGCGACTTTGGTCTCTAAGCGACTACCGCAAGACAAATTCATAGAGACGAGACACATGCAAGCGTTGCCGACATTTTGTTTTCCTCGTCAACATTCAGTGTGTTATAAGCTTGCTAGTTTTACGGGGTACAGTAAAGGGGCCAGTACTGGCTAGAAAACGCTCAATTTATTCTTCCGGGATCGCAAGTATCAATAGCCATTATGGTAGCTATCTTCTGAGCCACATCCTTATTTGCAATCCTTTTCACATCAAAATTATAATATGATTATTTTCAGGATACTTTGCTGCGCTCGTTCCCAATCAAATGCATCTACTTAAACCTAAAATCGATCAAACCACTTAGCATACATTTCACGCGGAGTAAGGACACATTAACCTATTTTTTATAATATTATACCCCCCACAGCGTTAACGAGAGACGTTAGACCCTATACACAAATCCCATTTAATTTATCACAGCATGATAGGCAACGTATAAAGACATTGAATGTGCTCTTGTGTATAACATTTCGGATATGATCTGCTACCTTTCTATGAAATTATCTTAAACCAAAGGTGTTGTGCCTAATTTCTTCTAATAGAGCCCTTTTACAAAATTGCACCGCTGCCGTACTGTGATCTGATCAGCGCGTAGGTAAATTTTCACTAGTATATATTGCATTTTACGGGTGATGTTTCGAGTCTTATAAAATAATTATTAATGAACTTATTATAAAAATATATACATACTTCAGTAGTTCAATGATGGTAGATTAGTTTTATGAAAGTGTTTGATAGTAATTCTATTTAATTCAATATCAAAATACGAGGTACACCTGCATTATTTTTTGGGCAAACTCACGGAGGTTAGATGTTTTTTTTTGGTAATTAATGAGATGGAAAATAAAAATTCTAATACATTATGTTACAAAAAGAAACATACCTATTTCTGATGTCATAGTAATTAATTTGATCTAATTTATTCAACATTATTGAGAGATTGAGGCGTTTGAAGTTGTGCATATTTATCATTTTTTCCGTAAACTAGCTGCGGTAGAACGATCAGTACAAAAAGAGGAAAATAGTAGTTGCAAATATTCTACATTAAATTACAATAGGAAGAATAAATCTACTGTTTACTTCCATTGGAAATAGTCAAAATATTATCTAAGGGGTAAACGAGGCGCTCAAAAATTGCAATTTTTTGTAAAAATTGTGAAAGGGCTCTTAAACTATGGACTCAAGGGGGCATTTTCTTCAAGTGCGCAAGTGACTTGGAGTATGTTTTAAAGGAATTTCATACCTGTACATAAAACTTTCTTAGCATACAGTGCCGCGACGAAGCTAGTCAACCCAGTGCCAGCTCCTAGCTCCATTACAGTCTTTCCTGACAGTTTTCCGCTGATCCCTAAATGGATCAAGAGGTCGCCTAGCAGGAATGCACCCCTCCATACTTGCAAGCCGACTAAAGCCAGTTCTGTCCTTGCACTATGTTCTGAAACAAAATTATAAAAAAATCAAAAAATTCAAAATTCAAAATCGTTTATTCAGTCTAGGCTGTTACAAGCACTTGTGAATGTCGAAAAGCTATGCCATCGGTTCACAAATCTACGGCGGGAGACCTTGTACTGAGAAGAACCGGCAAGAAACTCAGCAAGGGCTGTTTTTTTCTCCCTGTATTATATACAGAGTCGTCAAATTGAAAAATGACTTCAATATGAGGTAACTCATAAAGTCACTTTAAATTACAAACAAAAAAAATGCAAATAATATAAAAATTATGACTATAAAAAAATAAATAAATATATAAAAAACTGGTTTTACAAAGTTTAGGAATGACGCGTCCTACCGTTTAGGCAAAAAAAATAAGAATAAAGAACGATTAAACATTAGTACAACGACTAATAGTACCCAGCGAATTAAGAGCAGACTCATCTCCGCTGGCAGTACCCGTTCACGAGCATGACGCATGAACCAGTCATCGCTTCGCTCAACCATTTTTTAGGGAACGCAACGACCCGCCTCACACGACACCACCGAAGAGATTTTTAAGAGAGCATGACTACTCATAACCACACATGGATACTATGTTACAAAAATAGAAAAAAAATATATACAAAAGTACCAGTGTATATTATTATAACAAACTATAAACACAACGGCAGGACACATGCATGTGATTACCTAAACACTGTTGTCGATTCTGGTACTACTCTCCTAACCCAAAACCAAATCCAACATCAGTCCCCCCTTTTCAGTCTGTATAGAGAATGACAAGGATACACCGCTGCAAAACCAAGTTCAGGTCTAGAAAACCATACCAGAATTCACACCGCCATTAAATAAGATTGTTTAACAACATAAATCTGATTTTTAGTGTTCCGTAATAGAGGTGGCGTTAATGGTTGAAAATAAGCATTAGTTAAAAGTTAATGGTTGAATTAAAATATCAGATAGCTAGTTTTAATGGCTGAAAATATCACTCGTGTTACATTTTATTGCACATAAATTTGAGCTTTAAACTCATGATTCTAAGGTTTACGGCAGAATAGTCTCACTCACGTGTCTTTCTGTCCGTCTGTCAAACAGATTGAATAGGCAAACGGTTGAAGCTACCGTCTTTAAATTTTCACAAACATATCTCGTTAACTAAGTTACATTTACAAATTGTCAAATATATTTTTAATGATTTTTGCTAATTCAATCAATAATGAGACAATTTATTTTATACTAGCTATGATACCCGGCTTCGCTAGGGAGTTAATATGAGATTACGTGGTAGTTAAAATAAAAAAATAAAATATGACGTAAAAAGTAAAAAAAATATTACAAACATTTTCTCATTATTTACACTACTTGTTTATAAACAACATTTTTAGCGATAAGGCCGCCCATTGTAACACTTAATTTAAATGGCTCTGTATTTATTGTAATGTATTCTGTGGTGTTCAATAAAGTGTTTTGTATTGTATTGTATTGTATTTTTCATAATTTTTATTATTTTTAAAGCATGTAACTGCTTGATGTTTAAATCTAAAGAAAATATAACTAGAAAAAATAATTGGTCAGTGCATTCGCCCGGATTGCGAAGGGTGCGGGTTCGAGTCCCGTCTGCTGCCTGGTCCGCGTGGAATTTTTTCTAGTTATATTTTCTTAACATTTTTCATTTTATTGTCCGGGGTATAATATATACACAGTCAGGTCATAAGTATTGTCACACAGTAAAAACTTTTCTTTTAGAATGCTGGCCATAAAAAAGATAGAATTCGAATTTCGAATTGTTCATGAAAATATAAATGTATACTTTTTAGAATTTTACTCATTTTTAAATATGGAGTGGACGCATAAAGAAGACCGTGTTGCAGTTATTACGTCGTTGTGGTTAAGCGTCAATTCAAATTTTTGACATACTGAAAAATTTGAATATTACTAAAAGATTCGTTTATCGTACCATCAAACGATACAATGAAGACTAGTGTAGATGACAGGTTAAGAAGTGGTCGCCCTCGGTCTGTTAAGACTCCAGCAGTGATAAAAGCTGTGAAGGAGAATTCATAGAAATCCCAAACGTAAGCAGAAACTGTTGGCCCTTCAGATGGGGTTAAGCAGAACCACGGTGAAAAGGGTGTTAAATGAAGACTTAGGGCTTCAGGCATATTGAAGAAAAACAGGATATCGTTTGAATGCTTGTCTAATGGACCTGAGACTGAAGAGATGCCGCGCTTTGTTGAAGCGGTACGCGAGAAAAAAATATCGCGAAATTCTTTTTTCGGATGAAAAATTTTTTACCGTAGAAGAGAGCTACAACAAACAAAATGATAAGGTGCGTAGTGAAGAAGCGAGCAACCGTATTCCGCGTGTCCAACGAGGTCATTTTCCATCCTCGCTCATGGTATGGTTGGGAGTTTCTTATTGGGGCTTAACAGACGTACATTTTTGTGAGAAAGGTGTAAAAACGAATGCAGTTGTGTATCAAAATACAGTCCTGACGAAACTTGTGGAACCTGTTTCTCATACCATGTTCAATAACAGGCACTGGGTATTCCAACAAGACTTATATATAACCGGACTTCATCCGGCACGAAGACTGGCCCTCCTCCAGTCCAGATTTGAGTCCGTTACATTACAAGATATGGCAACTTAGAGGAAAAGGCGTGCTCAAAGCCTCGTCCCAATTTGGAGTCACTCAAGACATCCTTGATTAAGGCAGCCGCCGATATTGACATGGACCTCGTTCGTGCTGCGATAGACGACTGGCCGCGCAGATTGAAGGCCTGTATTCAAAATCACGGAGGTCATTTTGAATAAACTTTATTGTCATAAGAATCTGTGTTTTGTTAAGTTCATTTTGGTATATAAATGGTTGCATAATGAATAAACTTGTTTCAATTATTTTATACATGTGACAGAATTTATGACCTGAATAGGTACATATAAATTTTTAGAATTTCCTACTCTTGAGCAAGCTACATATAGCTGACCGTGAGAGAAGCAGGATTCTTTGAGGTTGATGCCACAATATTTTAAAGTTTGCCCTTGCGCTTCGTTAATTATAAAACTAAAGGCTAATTTAATTGGAAACTGCAATCTTTTAAATTGAAATGGCAATTCAGAAGAGATCAGTGGTATTCTAGGTATAAATATTGTGTGTCCTTTGTTCTTACTAAACTACTACACTACTTACTTACTCTACTACTTCTATAATACTATTACTACTAACTTTCTTACTCTGGTATATATTCAGAAAGCTAGGCCCTAGGATATTCGAGAAAGTTTGAGAATATTTTCTTTCTCACACCTTCTTGAAGTTCAAATACTCGACAACAGATGGCGCCCCGGACACTTTCTTGTTCGAGGCGGGATAAAGGGCTATCACACTATATAAGTCCCTTTATCGTGCCGGTGCCGGGACTCATTTTTAAGTTTTATCGGCACGCACATTTTATCAACTTAGTTTTATTATCATTATATATATATATAAAATATATAATTTTTGAACTCCACTCAAGCACTTCTTGGTTCACAGTCACGCGCAGACCGTTGAAAAGTCAACATACCGCAGAGCTCCGTGAAATAATGCAAAAAAAAAACTTGTATAATAGTATGTACAGTTTGTCTATAAAGTCGCGACATGAATGTTTGAGGAACTAACATTATTCATGTGTCTGGCAACACCAAACTTATGTACATCAGCTGTCATCGAGTTTCAGTTGCGGAACAGTTTTCCTATTGTATTTTTTATTGTTTGGATTAAACTGTAATAAATTAAGACGAAACTACGCAGAAAGGTATAAAATGAGTAAAGTAAATCGGAGTGGCACGCGGAAAGTGTTTTTAAAGTTTTCCAGCGATGTTTCGAAGACTACCAAGCTGGACGAATTCTGTGGGATTTGGACGATGTTTATGGGCGAACAGCATCTATGACGGGTATGTAATCGTGTAACTATTTGTTTGTAATCTGCCTGAAGTTACAAATTTACACAATTTACGATTTTGAGACCAAAAAGGCATTGTTTACATTGCATATTTTTAGGTTAGATTGACATTGAAATAGGTAATATTGTAGTACGACCATTTCTTTTGATACGTTATTAAGGTTCAACTCGGTCAGGTTTTCTACCAATTTTGAATTAATTGCTTCATGTCAATAAGTTATTGTTTCTATTCCGTTACATATTTTTTTACTTTTTTTTCAGGAAAATCAGAGAGTCGGATAGTCAACGAAGGTTTTAAGAATGATGGAAAGTTTGAAACTCCTGGGAAAACAGGCAAGGCCGACCAAAGAAAGAAATGGTCACATAAAGAACCATGGCCAGATGCTTTTAGTGAAGATACCTATCACTTTTACTAACTGCACATTTACAAATTGTTTCTCTAAATAAACTTTTTATATACTATAAAATGATTTTTAGTATTATTTTCTTAACAAGTGAGTTAAAAAGTATGATGATACTTGTGTGTATTGATGATTTCCTAACGGCTCTGGTCTCAATGGCACCTCAGCGGTAATCACCAACATTACACGCTTTTACACTATAAAATACTATTTTATCTATACTTATAATAAATCTGTAGAGATGTCAATTCTGTACATGAAATATATTTTTAAAATAACTATCAGGGAGTGATTAGTGATCGATACTGATGCCAAAAATGCAATCAGTAAATTTTTTGTGTCTGTCTGTCTGTGTGTATGTTCCTTATAGAAACAAAAACTACTCGACGGATTTTAACGAAACTTGGTACAATTATTCTTCATACTCCTGGGCAGGTTATAGTATACTTTTCATCACGCTGCAATCAATAGCAGCAGAGTAGTGAAGGGAAATGTTGGGAAAACGGGAGAAGTTACTCCATTTTTTAAGCTTCCGTCGTGTGTGCAGCCTTAATGATTAAAGTTACATAGAAATCATGTATGACGGAAATATTCTACATAAAATTGTCTAAAAAATATCCCGCAACAGCATATATCTATCTTTTATGGTTGACTCACAGTAACACGTGTAACTCCCGATAGCTTAGCAGTTCGGACATTCTGATCATATTTGTTTACTCTTACGTTTATAATACTCTGACTCATCCCTAATTTAAAAAAGTTAACATTATTACCTACTCAATAAAAACAAAACATAGAAATCGGTATAGAAACACCAAACTTATACATGAAATAAGCCATCGCGCCGTCGCACGTGAATACTGAATCATGCTATAAGGATTATTTTTGTGTAACGGTTGCCGCGCTCGACACGGGTCGCGGCGGCGGTAGGGTATCAAAAGGCGGGAGGTCCGACAGCGAGCTGTCTTAATCTGTTTTCTGCGTCGCTCCCCCCCTGGGGGCGATCGCTTCCGATGAAGCCTTAGAGGCCTTCCCGGCCAGAGGCAGCAACTACGGGTGTTTTTTAGTCAGTACGAGTCTGACATAACCTTGCAGCCGGCTGTAGGGTATCCATGAGGATTTCTCACCTGCTCCCCCGCCTGGGAGGAAACAAAAAAAATAAAAAAAAGAGAGCGAGCGAGCTTCAATATTTATTGATGCGTTCAGAGCGTTCGACCTTATTGACAGGCAATAATTGAGAAATATTGAGAAACCGTGCTTATCAGCGCTACTTTTAGTCTTTAAATAGTTTATTTGAATTTCTTTTGTTGTTATTTTGTAAAATAGGTATTAGTTGTTTTGGTAGTGTTTAAATATTCGTTCAAATTAAAAGTTATTAAGCGTAGGTACTTTTATTAATTAAAGTAGTTATAAGTATTTATTTTTAAGTGAAGTAGGTATAGGTAGATAGTATTGCACAGGCGTTTTTGCTTTATTTTCATTTCTTTTTTGTTGTGAGTTGTATATATTTCTGGTTATAATTCTATAAGAATATTTTAGTTTAAATAGTCATTTAGATTTTAAGTGTAAGGTAGCTAAAGTTAGGACCACGTATTAGTTGTTTTGGTAGTGTTTAAATATTCGTTCAAAGTGTAATTTAATCATATGGGATGAATGTACGATGGCCCATCGAAAAGGAGTAGAAGCGGTACACAGAACTTTAAGGGATATAAGACAAAATGATCGACCAATGGGCGGTATCACAGTTTTATTTTGTGGTGATTTGCGACAAACCTTACCGGTAATACCACAGGGAACCCGAGCTGATGAGGTTAGAGCTTGCCTGAAAAGCTCTTATTTGTGGCGTGATATACAATCGGTGCATTTGACTATAAACATGCGAGTGAGAACTGTAGATAACCCGGATGATCGTGAATTTTCTGATATATTATTAAAGAAAATACCTTCACCAAAGATACCTATCCACTGTTACACCAAGGAAAACTTATTCTGACGCCTGAGTTATGTTGTATAGTGCAATCCCAACAACATCTTACATCCTCAGTTTACTGTGACGTAACAAATATATTAAATAAGGACAATTCTTGGCTATGCGAAAGGTCCATTTTAACTCCTCGCAATGACCACGCATCTGAGATTAATAATAAAATACTGTCAAATATCCAGGGGGAAAGCAAAGTTTATAGTTCAATAAATAGAATGGCCGATGAACAAGAAACCACTAATTACCCGATAGAATTTTTAAATTTTTTATTTATGCCCGGACTTCCTCCTAATGAAATTTGTTTAAAAATTGGCATTCCGATTATTCTGCTCCGAAATTTAAGACCACCACAAATTTGCAATGGAACTCGGCTTAAAGTAACCCAGTTGCAACAAAATGTAATCGAGGCTCAAATTTTAACAGGTTGCGGTGCAGGAGAAACCATCTTTATTCCCAGAATTCCCATAATACCAAATAATTTTCCACTCCAATTTAAAAGAACGCAATCCAGTATCGGTGTGTTATGCAATGACAATAAATAAGGCTCAAGGGCAGACTTTTCGTGTTGCTGGAGTAGATCTCGGTGTCAGTTGTTTTTCACATGGTCAGTTATGTCGCTCTTTCCCGGGTTAGCAGTCCTAGAAATTTTTATGTTCACGTGCCGGACGGGTCAACTTTCAACGTAGTTTACCCGGAAGCTTTGCGCTGAAGTATTTTCATTCTATATGTACTTAAGCCTCATGCGAAAGCGATCTAAACAATATTACCAATACATTAACATAATAACATACAAGGAGTTACACGCTGATGGTCTCGGGGCACAGTGATAATAATAATATTCTGCGGTTCCTTATTGCGATATTTTTAACAGTATTATATTTCCCTACTAAAATACGAAAGTTAATCTGTCCGTCACATCAAAACCACAGAACCCTGAGGAAGAACATATGCTACTTTTTTACGAAAATCGACGAAAACGCGGACGAAGTCGCGGGCAAAAGCTAGTCTATAATAATTTTATTCTGTTTCAATTAAATATGCTTGGCTAACATTTTTATAAGCATAGGTACCTACTATTTATAAAACAGAAACAAAATACGACTGTATAGTGTGTCTTATTAATTACCTATTTTACTTGAATGAACTGCTAGTATCAAAATCATTTTGGTCCGACTGTATAGGGTTGCTACATGCATGCTAGTGGCGCCATCATTTAATGTCACGACTTTATAGACAAACTGTAAAGTGTTGTTTTTTTGACAGGTATTTAATCAATGTTTTTTAATTTAACGAATTTGAAGCAAATTTTGTTCTAACACTTACTATAAGCTGATTTAATAGAATACTATATAATAATAGATTTAATTTGTGATACTCAAATACATGGTCGGTTATATAGCCGTCTCTTTTCCTCGCTACCTGTACCTGCTATATTGCTAACAGCGCACTCAAAATTGTGCGTAGAGTCAAAGAAATAAGGTCTATATTCTTCCGCATATAGCAATGAGTCGTAAAATTTAACGAGCTTGCATTTCGAACAGTCGCACTTCTTTGACGAATGCGTTTTACTTAAGACCTTAAACAGTATGCATTAAAGGTGGTTCAATGTTTAAATAATGCCTTATATTGTTTTTGACAACGCGATCATCTTAAGGTGGATTTAGACTAAAAGAACATAGAGCTAGAGCTAGAGCATTCTTTCGTTAATATCTAGTATAAACTAAAACTTGACGTATCTATTTACATCAAACGAACACCGAACTAGAACTAGAACAAGAATGTTCTTTCTTAATCTTTTGGTGTAAACAAGAGCTAGATCGAATGTTCTATGCTCATTCAAGTCAATTCTTTGGTTGGTATTGGTAGTGCTTTGCTATCCTTTTTATTTTGGTTAGAGTCGAAATCAATTGTTTTCCTCGGTTTATATTTGTCCATCAAAAAGTGCATACTTTTAAATGCAAACCATTTAGAGTTATAAGTACAATCGGCACCACTACCTGATTTCGTACTCAATGTTTTTTGCCTTTCTCGTCGGTAAGATGCAAGAAGCGAGTCCATCTTTTTTTTTAATTCTTCAACATTATTACATTCCAGTAGTGTTGCGATTTCCTGCCAAGCATCTTGTTTGTAAGTTGTATTTTTATAATGTTCATATGTCGGATCCCATAGACATCTGGCATTTTGGTAGGCTTCTATCATTAATAAACATTTTTCTTGAGACCAATCCATAATTTAATTGATACGATACGTAAGTAAACAATCGCTAGAACACAAGAACACTTTGATGAGACCGCTCAGTGGAGCGAGCGCGTCCGAACACGCTAGAATGTTCTAAGCAACTGTTCACGCGCTCTTGCGCCGTTTACATCGAGCGAGCGAGCATTCTTAGAATATTCTATAGAATCTTTGCGAACGCACTAAGAACAACGAAAGAATGCTCTACGCCTGTTTACACTAGAAGAATTTGACGTAGTGGGGATAGAATGAGCATTCGCTCGTTTGGTGTAAATCCACCTTTACGGAGCTCCGCGGATCATCCAATGTACCTTTTGGACAGGTTTCGTGCACGAGTTTGTTCGTGTTGGTGTATCTAGGGTACCTATTTAATATCGTTGTATTATAATTTTTATTATTTTTAAAGCATGTAACTGCTTGATGTTTAAATATAAAGAAAATATAACTAGAAAAAATTCCACGCGGACCAGGCAGCAGACGGGACTCGAACCCGCACCCTTCGCAATCCGGGCGAATGCACTGACCAATTATGCTACCGCGGCCCTCACGGACTGCGTCGAAATTCTTCTAGCCATTCTTAAGCTGCAAGGCAGCGCCATCTCTTCGCATTATAGGTAACCCACAATGTCAAATGAATACTTTTTTCTAGTTATATTTTCTTTATATCGTTGTATTAGCTGCGTAGAAAATATAGGAGATAGGTGCCTCTAGCGAAAGTTTCTAAAATAAAAATTTAAAGATTACGCTCACCTATTTTGATAATTTCCTTTTGAGGTCTCTCGATGTCCAAATCCTTGTCTTCGTCAAATTTGGCGCTAACAATACTCGTCGGGAGAAGAAAAGGAAACTCTGAGATGACATCTAAAGCCATAAATAATAAGCTGTATTAATGTTGTGGCTTTATAGGGGTGACTGATAACTGAACCTTCTTACTACACGAGAAACATGATATTGGTAGGTGTAGTACCTTCGTGAGCCTTTAACCAGTTCTTTTATTTCAAGTCGGTGGCGCATTATACTGTATTCACGAAAACGATCTTCCGACATTTCCCTTTCTCGAGCTGAGGCAGTTTTTTATCCTTATATTTTGTAAACGATTAGCGGGCCTGCCGGACAGCCCGTTAATTGTTTACAAAATATAAGGATAAAAATCTGCGGGAAAGGAAGGAAGCAACGAACGTTAGTGGAAGAGTCCTCTACAGTCCACTAAGTTGTTTCCATGATCAGAGCAGTATAGCTCGCGCCATGCACCTGATGTTAAATTGAGATTCAAGCTTAATGGCGGCTGTGAAGTAATCAGTGGCGTATTAACCCTAGGGCAAACGTAGGCTGCGAGTTGCGGATGTAAGAGCTTCGGCCGAGAGCTAAGAGCGAGCTTTTAACGAGATTTACTAATTCTAGGAAGGAAGGGGGGGGGGGGGGAGGCGCACACCTGTATGTTATAGGAGACAACTATATTTTTTGTGAGAATCACGGTAACATTTTTAAAATGAGATGCGCCGTATACCCTGCCAATTTATATGGTGATAAAAGACTAAATCTGGATCCATAGAGACCTATGAAAACATGGCCTAGCTCTGACTAGTTGGATTAGCAGACAATTGTGGCATGTAAATAAACTTAAAATATAAAACTAAGATCTACTCACTTCCTTCTGTATTTGGTGGTCTTTTAGTTTTATAGTCATACTCCTCATATATTTCTGAAGTTACAGTTAGTTCTGGCATCTAAAACAAAATAAATAAAGATTTTTAAAATTTTAATTGCTAATAATAAAGTAGAATGAGTACAAAAGTATTAAAGAAACAAACAAAAAGAGCCCTCTCTATATTGTTGTTTCTTTATTACTAAAATTAATAAAAACTAAGACCAATGTATTGCCCTCCCTTACCTCTTTCCCTATACTGTGGAGCTGTGGTAACTTTATTCAATATGGCAACACAACAAAACACAAGATATTTTGGCTACAAATTCTCTAAGATCAAGGTTGTAAAAGATGTCCTATCTACTTTAGTACTGTTTGTTAATTAAATACAATTACTATTTATAATTAAATTAATAAGAAAAAGCCTCCTTGATACCTAATTGACATCACCAATAGGACGAAGAGAAAGAGGAAGAACCCAAAACTTTTTGAAGCTCGATATCCCTCTCTTTTTTGGCTTAAAGTTTGTTAAGTTTTTTTTTATAAGAAAACCATTAACAAAATGAAGATTTAATAATAAACAAAGTGAAGATAAGTTTATTGAAGTACCTTTAATAAAAAAAATATAATAAATAAATAAATATTTCCAACACTCACCAATTAGTCTAGCCCCAAAGTAAGCACTGTAAGGCTTGTGTTATGGGATACTAGAGTAACGGATACTATATATATACTGGTATAGTATATTTATAAAGAAAATCATATTAAACATCCATGACTGAAGGACAGTTGCTTGTATTCATCACACAAACATCTGCCCCCACTGGGACTCGAAGCCGGGACCTCTGGAGTCTGTGACACCATGAAACCCAGCATACAAACCACTTGGCCAAGGAGGTCATCATATGAAACCTAGAACTCCCTTATAATTAAAATAAGTTAAAATTTACGATCAAATTACTTGTAACTGTTAACTCTCATCAATTATTCAAATGCATTGTTGTTTATAAACTTCTAATTCTAAATGTGAAATTTCATGCAACTGTTTTACTGGTTAGTTAATAGTTATACAAGGGTTTGCAATTGTTTAAGCAAAAAGAATACAATTTTACAATTAAGAATAACTTAAATAAAAGTGATAAACATATGAAAATGCTCACCGTTTCAATAGTACACACAGCTAAGAAATACAATATAAAAAATATTCTCAATAATTACCCAGTAGAAAAGTTACTGATTAGTATGAGGAAGAAATTCAATTATAAAATTTGGACATCGTCCAAGTTCAAAACTTCTAAAATAAATTTGTATTGTGTGCCAGAATTGATGGAAGTAAAGCTAATGTAATTAGAATACCAATGCCATTAGTTAAAACACAGCTATTTTTAGAGCTTTTTAACCAATCACCAAGGAGGACTACACTATAATTATTATACCTACTTCAATTTAATAAGAAAATAAAATTGTTTGTGATAAAATCAACATTTAAAAACTTTAATATTTTTGTAAATGAATAAGGTAAGAAAATTATGATACAGCTGAAATAAAACTTTTATTTCACCTGTTTATTGGTAAAGCAAGACATAACAAATTACCCGTTTCGGTGAAGATTATATTAATAGTAATATATTTATTTCTATTCGCTGGCTTGATCCATTTCAATTTAATGCTAAAAAAGAATATCCTGGTAACTAGATCTGAACTGTACCAGTAAGTACATGACTGGTAATTTCATTAGTAATTTTACTACTAAATTTAATTAGTAATGTTAATTTAGTAACATTAAAATAAATTTTGTGGAAAGGACAGCAGAACGAAAAAAATACCCCGCTTTTTAACTGTCAAACCACTGATTTTTTTTTTTTTTTTTTAGTTCTATTCTTCTCTATTGAGAAAGGCAAAGGCATAGCCATGCAGCCATCGTCTTATTTTTGTATTAATCTTCCTTTTTTGCATTAGAATGTGGGTGTGACGCATTCTAATGCTTCTTGGAGTGTTTGGCACGAAATATATCGAGTTGGCTTTTTCGATAAGCTTCTGTGAGGTAGTCAATACTACAATAAAATTCTCACGTCCACTTGACCGGAATAGCGTATATTTTAAAGATTCCACTAATTCTTCAGTTGCGCAGACGGTTGTAACACAAAATCACACCAATTTTATTTCACAATATCCACTATGAACAAATTTAAGAATAATTAAAATAAGACGCCAACCGCACTCGATGAAATCCCGCCAAAAACTCTCAAACCACTGAGCAAGTAATCTGTCAAACTACAGCTGATCGATTTTAATTTTAATTTTCGCTACTTGACAGCAAAGGATACCATACAAATTTATTTTGAATTGTCTCTGTTTCTCTACACATCCACACTCGTACACCGGTTACAGCCTATATCTATTCAACAAACTTTGAGACAAAAGCTAAACCAATAAACTGATGTTTCCAAAACTATTTTATTTATCAAAACTAAAGGTGGCTGGTGGTGTAACCTTACTTAATACAAATTTCACATTTCAAATTGTTAATTATTTGCTTTATCACTACTCTTTATTTTGCACTATTATATTGCATTCAAAGTTTGAGAATAGCTACAATAATAAGTCTTTTTAATCTCACTTTTTTTTCAATTGTGATTTTATATGCGTTTAAAATTCAATTTATTGAAAAACCATTTTGGTTAGGTCAAATAATATAGCAACTCTGGTTCTATAGTAAGGTATCGTAGAGCATATTTAGGTATAGGTTCTCTATAATAATGTTGGCCCCTTCACAATGATTGCATTTCTACTAAGATGTAAAGAAATTTACAAATAAAACACGATATTTTTTTATTATTCTTTAATGGTAATGCTTCAATCTTTAGTAGTTAATGACATTTTTTTCAAAAAAAAGTTTGACGGTGCTACAAGCACATGCAAACAAAGGCAGCCTTTTATTGAATTCAATAAGAGATTGATTGAAGTCAGTTTTTGAACACGTTATTTTCTAACTAAGACCATACCTTGAGGGCCAATCTTTATATATTTGAAACTTTTTCTTGTTGGTGTTGAAATATTTAAATACATAATAATATTGAGCTGTTTAAAGTATCCTTATTTTGACAATCAAACCCTATTTTTCAAACGAATTCAATAGAAACTAATAAATAATTTACTACAGACAAACAAATGAAGAATTCCGCTTATGGGGCCAATCTTATTATAGTCTACCCTATATATCTTGAGTCTCAGCGGAGGTAGAATATAGATTAGAAGCTGATATACTCTACTTCTAATCTTTATTTTTTCCGCTTCTAATCTATGTTCAAAATTTAATAAAATGTTTGTGATAAAATCAACATAAAAACACTTTAATATTTTTGTATATGAATAAGGTGAAGAAAATATGAAACAGATGAAATAAAACTTTTATTTCATCTGTTTCTTGGTAAAGCAAGACATTTAAATTACCCGTTTCGGTGAAGACTATATTATTTAGTAAGATTTTTTTTCTATTCGCTGGCATGAACCATTTCAATTCAATGCTGAAAAAAGTAGGTACATAACTGGAAATTTCATTAGTAATTTTACTACTACATTTCATTACTAATGTTACTTAATTATCATTATACAGTCTACCCTATATATCTTGCCTTTAAGCGGAAGTTGAATATAGATTAGAAGTTGAGTATAAATTGTCCCTGCTGCGGCAGGAATGTGAGGAGCCGGCTTTAACAATTTTCTTTGTATTGTATTTTCCTTCGATAGACTTTGTTTGTTTTATCTGTAACCATCCATTAAAAAAGTTATATTCCACCAATCACAGCAATACACACGATCGACGCTGCCACGTCAAAGTGATTCTGAGTGAATGAGTGGCATTTTTAGGCATTTGATTTAGTTTCGTCTTCCGAGAAGGCTCAATTCATAGGGCAATTCATTTAGTTAAAATGCGTATTATTTTATTCGTCACCTTGGCCCTTCTGGGCTTTGCTCTCGGAGACGACGTTGCCACAGAAGAAAATGTTCTTGTCCTAACAAAAGGAAACTTTGATAGTGTTATTTCCAGTACCGACCACATTCTTGTTGAATTCTGTAAGTTTCTTAATTTTACTCATCAGTTCTATCTAGTTAGAACATAATTGGTTATATATATCGATTTCTACAGTTTACATGCTCGAAAATGATGACACGTCAGTATATTTGAGTCATACCGGCGTGGTGTCTACCTCTGTTTGCCGATAACATCCTACCTACATATTCATTGTGTATGTGACAGATGCGCCATGGTGTGGTCACTGCAAATCTCTTGCGCCGGAATATGCCAAAGCAGCCACCAAGCTTTTGGAGGAAGAATCTCCTATCAAGCTCGCTAAAGTAGATGCTACACAGGAACAAGACCTCGCCGAAAACTATGGTGTGAGGGGCTACCCCACACTCAAATTCTTCAGGAAAGGCAGCCCTATTGATTACACAGGTAATTAAATTATATTGGCACTTGTTTTTAATTAATATGTTCTGCTTCTTCATGCTTATTGAAAACTAGTAAACCTTGTATTAATTATATGCCTTATTCCTTATCAGGAGGCCGTCAAGCTGATGACATTATTGCTTGGCTGAAGAAGAAGACTGGACCTCCTGCTGTAGAAGTGACTTCAGCTGAACAAGCTAAGGAGCTGTCTGCCGCAAGCCCAGTTGTCGTCTTTGGTTTCTTCACCAACAAGGAGTCTGAGAAGGCTAAGGCTTTCCTCAATGTTGCTACTGTTGTGGACGACCAAGTCTTTGCTATTGTCAGTGATGAGAAGGTCATTAAAGAATTGGAAGCTGAGGATGAGGATGTTGTTCTGTTCAAGAATGTGAGTATATTTTTTGTTTCTTCTTCATATAAAAACAAAACTAAATGGGATGAAAATGAAATCCAATTATCATCAATAAGATCATAGATATCCAGGTATTTAGAAAAGAGATACTGGTATGACCACTTGTAGTGGCTGAAGACTCCAATCTGTAGATAGAGAAAGGAATAATATTTTATGAATTACATTTAAGTGTTAGCAAAAGCTAACATTTAAGTTGCAGAGAATCCCTTCATATATAATATATACAAGCAGCCGCCTGCGACTTTGTACGCATGGAGTTAGAAATAAAGTTTCATAGCTCATTCCCTGTAGGTGATAGTGTGAGGATATGTCGCCTATATGTTGACCAACTTCTTTATAATATTCGTGGCAAATTTGAAGTAAATCCATGCAGTACTTTTTCAGTTTATCCCAGACATACATACCTACAGACAAACAGACAAAAATTCTTAAAACTATATTTTTGCCTTTCCTACCATTTTATTATATGTATAGATACTTAAATAATTAATAAGCTCCCACAAGTTGGTCCCAGTCTAATGTTATTCTCTCATTCTTCATTAATTTTTAGGGTTCCGTATCTCAAAAGAAAAAAACAACCTTTATAGGATCACTTTGTTGTCTGTCTGTCTATACCCCTTTTCTGAGGAACGTGTGGATGTATCAAAATGAAATTTATATCAAATAGGTCTAAAGACCAGTGGAGCTGTGAAAAAATTAAACTTCTAAGCCAACACAATCAAAATATACAGCTGATTATGTCGCAAATTTTCGAAACTCGCTAGGCAATGAAAACCTGCAGGGTACTTCCCGTGAACCCAGAATTTTGAAATTTGGTACAAAGCCTCGTTTTAAATATACCTACAGGTTTGCACGGAAACCTCAGTGCGCAAGTCACTTGGGTTGATTTTTTCTATGCTTAAACTTGTATAAGATAAATGTTTGCAATTTAATTATTGAACTGCCAATAGATAAAGTTTGTTGAACCCAGCATGACATGATAACTGTTTTCTTTTATCAGTTAACTATATTATACATTTTAACAATACATTCCCTTCCATATTTTCAATATAATGTACCTTTTGAAAGCTGAAATAAAAAAAAATCGTCACTGTTAGTAGAAGTAGTTTAACAAAAAACTCTCAATTCACAAAAAAACAATCTCATTATTCAAATTAATGTAGTTCTGTCTGTCTAGAACTTGTGACCTACAAGTCTATTTATTATTAAAGACTTGAATTATTTGCTAAATACTTTCACCAATAGGAAGCCTTATTATCAAAGTACATTAGGCTATATTTTTCACCTAAAAAGAAAATACACGCATGTAAATCTGGGGTGGATCATTAGGTGTTTATACAAGGTTAATCTTATTTTAAGGAAATGGTAATATATCTGCTTATTATTTCACTAAATTTCAGAACACTTATCATCATTAACACTTGCAACAATTTTCTTGTCACTAGTTCGAAGAGCCACGAGTCAAATACACTGCAGAGAAGTTTGATGAAGACCTGTTCAAGACCTGGGTGTTTGTCCAGAGCATGCCTGTTATCGTTGAGTTCTCCCATGAGACTGCATCCAAAATATTTGGTGGACAAATCAAATACCACCTCTTGTTATTCCTTTCCAAGGTAAGAATTTTATATAATATTGTATATATGGATAGACTAGTATGTAATTCTCATCATGGTCACCAGTGGATGTCAACTACATAGTATGTCTATTTTTTGGGTATATTACATACAAAATATAATATTTATTTGATAGGGTTGAGGGGAGCAAAGTGCTAAAATCTTATAATAATACTTCAAAGCTTTTTAGTAAGTTTTTCTTTTGTTTAATTTGGCCTAATTTACTATAATACTTATGTAAATGTGGTGTGTGTGTGTGAGAGAGACCAGAAGAAACTTAAGAGATGATAGAAAAAAGGAAAGTTTATTTAGGAAACTTACATTCTTACAAAGCATAAACTGATTTTCTGATGATTGTGTTTTTGCAAATGTCTTAGGTCAAAGTCTAACTAGTGAATAGTGAAAGTTGACTGTCTTCAACTGTGGGTCATGAGTTGACTCATCCATGAGATAATGGAAAGAATGATTTCTTACTGACTTGTTGTGAAAGTAAGCAATAATATCTCAGAACTTGTATAACTTGGTGAATGTAAAGCAAAGTTTCACATTGCACTTGAATAAACAAATGAATTTAGAGAACTTCTTTTTTCAAAGTCTTATGAATTGGTTGCACAGCTTCCATATTATAATTTCTGTGGTTTTATGACTGCTTGATGTGACATCCAAATATTTTTTTTCAGTTATCAAAGCAGTTAATAATCTTATTCTTTATAGAAAGTATATGTACATTTGTGGTGTAATCAAAACATTGATTATGAAAGCAGTCACTTTAAAAATAATCACAATTTGATTGCAGTTAATTCAAAACAGATCAATGTAAACTTTATATTAATTATGACTTCCTACAGATTAGAAACATATCAACAACAATTAAATATTAATTAGTCTTATTTAGAAATTAAACATTAATATGTATGAGGCCTATTTACAAAAAATATATTAAACAACACTATTTTATGCTGATATGAGAATTTGTTTCAACGGAAATCATTCTATTTGATAATAAAAAAAATTGCCGTCGCCACTGTACTAGCACGTAACCCAGATTAGATAAATCAATTCAAAAGGTACCTTTTAATAATCACGCCAAATATATTGTACATTGATATGTAACAGTTAACTTTTTTTGGTACTAACTGTCAACTTTGCCTAGTATTCATTAGGCAAGGCATTGACCCGCAAAAGGTCGTCAACCTCCCGTTGTGAACACCGCTATATAGGTATTTACCGTTTATCGGTACTAAACGGTTTTTATGCATTTGTTTAAGAAAATCGATTTCTCTTTGTGTAAATATGAGATTGATTAGTAAAAATACTAAAAATAGATTTTTATAGAATATCAGTTTTTCGTGATGCTGCTACTTTTGAAGGACAATGATGATAGGAAAGAAAACGTGTCTATTGTAGGATACAAAATATGAATAATATTGTAAATATTTTGGATACTTATTAACAAGTGTAAGTTTTTAAGTCAATTACATGAAAATTTTATAATTTCTCTTATCAGTAGCTAAACAGAGTTCAGTTACCTATCGACATTGGAGTAACTCACTAAATATTCAATGTAATAAGTCCCCAATTAAAATTCATATGGTTCCTGGTTTTTTTTGTAAAGATAATTCCACTTGTCTTTAAACATTCTTCCATTATAACTTTAAAACTTTTAATAGGTCAATATTGATTTCTGGAATCGTTTTGGAGTTGACGTGGAAACAATAAACAATGGGTAGTTAAGGAATGAAAACAATGGGCTTTGGAGTCAAGACAATATGAATAACCCCATTTTAAATAGTGATGTTAGCAATAATACATGATATAGGTTTTGAAGTACGACAATTATAAATGTTATGTCCCACGATCTGTGTTGTCGCGGGCGAGGCCGCGCCGCGCAGTTTTGCCAAACGTATGAGAACTCTAACATTCGAGATTTAGCAGTATCTCTACATGATACAAGGTAAATAGATATCTTTATACTTTGATATGAGATTTGAACAATGGTGAGTGTTTGTGTCATGTACACAAATCAAAAATATCATTAGTAAGTAAATAAATGTCCAGTCCAGAAAGGAATGTATCGGTACAGATTCATTATGCCATCACTAAATGCACCTTTATTCGTATCATCACCTCGTATCATGTATAGATACTGATAAATCTCGAACGTTAGAGTTCTCATACGTTTGGCGCGGCCTCGACCGCAACAACACAGATTTGACTACGCTACACTATTGCGCTATATAGTAGCACGTATAGTAAGCTAATAAATAGTATATTTATAGCGTGGTGTGAACGTGTTCTGTGTAAATGTAGTGTGTGCGCTATCGTACTATGAGCTATAATAACAGTCCAAATCTGCTGCTTAATTTTCATAGAAACTTTGACGATGCAGCGTGTTATGAAGCTATCAAAAATGAGTGCTTGGGCCTCTGAACGCAACCTTTACGATTTTTTTATTTTTTCTGTAGAAGAATGGCGACTTCGAGAAGTATTTGGACGACTTGAAACCCGTATGCAAGAACTACCGTGACAGGATCATGTGTGTCGCCATTGACACCGATGAAGATGACCACCAAAGGTACCTTAAAAACCCAGCTGGTTTTGTCCATTTTTACATAGTTTTTTCAATCAATTTGTAAAGAGATAAAGTTTAACTTTAAGTATTTATGAATTGAGGAGGCACTCTCCGCAATAACTTATTCCATTCCAAAAATTCTTGCACTGCTATTGGTTTCGATTCTGACATGATTATATAAACCTAAACTAAATTTGACAACAGTGTATCCTTGTCATTCTCTATACGGTAGAAAAGGAGAGACCTTTACCATTGTTAGAACAATTTTTTTGTGTGGACAAAGCATTATATATACAAATAATATTATATTAAAAAAAATCTTCGCGTGCAGAGTAGTGATGGGTCGACTAGCTGCCGGCTAGTCGGAAAAGACGATTATTTGTTAACACGACCGGTTAACTTACGCAACTTGAAGGATTAATACAAAATCCATTTAAAACAATCACTTTGAAAGAAGGCTTTAATGTGCTACACATTTAGAATCAATCAGAAGGTATTTTCTAAAATTCAAAATTGTTATATTAATCAGAACTATCACAGAAATAATTTCCGTTAATTGTAATAAACAATGTCTTTGCTTCCTTTGACACAGAATCCTTGAGTTCTTCGGCATGAAGAAGGATGAAGTGCCATCAGCCCGTCTTATTGCTCTGGAACAAGACATGGCCAAGTACAAGCCTGCTGTCAATGAGCTATCCGCCAATACTGTTGAGGTAAGTCAATTTTATTCTATGAGGTTTTTCTATCTAATGAACATTTGTCTAGCTTCATAAAGAAAGGCTGCTGCATCAAAGTTTTATGTCTGTATCACATTATTTTGTAAATTAAGTTAATGAGTTAGTTTTGGTTTTTAAATATGTTTGGCAAGTAAGTTAGTTCAATCCCTCATAATAATCAAGTTATTCCAGTCTGGAATTGACATAATGCTAAACTATTCCATACTGAGTTTCGCTTGCGTAGTAAATTGTCAGAAGTAATTAAAAGTGATAGTTGTTTGTTCATCTGTACATTGTGACCTCTGCAAGGTTTTTTTGTTGTTCCTGTCGAGTATTTTATAAACCTACTTAAATAATTGTGCAGGTGTAAATTATGACAATGATTGTTGTTTTATTTTCGTAATACATATTTTTATAAAATTTTATTAAGGTGCAAAACGAATTTTATTATAAATGTCTGTTACTATCAGAGGAAGTCACAGGATAATTAACTGTTTCTCAAGTTTACATGGTCATAAACTGAAAAACTCTTTAAATGGAATGCTATGTTTAGTAGTCTTGAATCACTTTCAACTCGAGATTCGGTTTATAATTGACGATTTGTACTGACGGACACGTGTCGGTCGTTTCTGCATTTTTTTAAGCTGTAATAAATAAAAGAATTTCGATTATTGTATGGTACAGTAATCAAAAATTGTACATGTGTGCGACGACCGAGAAGCGCGTTGTAGACTAGTCTTGTTTCCAGGTTCCATTCAGGATCCGATTAATTTTTCGGTAAAATTAATAAAAAGAGGTAATATACACAATACGTCATGAAAATCTTAAGTCTTCAGTAAGCAAATGTGTAAATTATTGTGATTTAAATTCTCACTTAAATCACAATAATTTACGAATATTATAAACTAGCGGCCGCCCGCGAATACGTGGAGTTAGTTAGAAATAAAGGTTCACTGCTCGTTCCCCGTAGGTGATAGCGTGATAATATGTAGCCTATATGTTGACCTGCCTTCTTAAAAATATTCATGCCAAATTTGAAGTAAATCCATGCAGTACTTTTTGAGTTTATCCCGGACATACATACAGACAAACAGACAAAAATTCTAAAAACTATATTTTTGGCTTCGGTATCGATTGTAGATCACACCCCAGTATACTTTTAAAAATATATTCAATGTACAGTTTTGACTTTCATACCATTTTATTATATGTATAGATCTGTAGAATTGGAATCTGAAACAGAACTAGTATCAAGGTTTCTGACCCCATAACCGCCATTGTAATTCATCAGAATCGATTAACGGTTAGTTGCGGATTATTGTGAATGAGAATTCGCGTAGTTTTGTCTTCACACTAAATTTAAGTTAAAACTACAACAATCACTTCATGGATTAAATCTAAATGGGAAACCTTAATTCATGTCGTCACTATTTATATTAAAGAAATCAAATCAAACCAAGCACTTGGAACTTTATTTATACTTTTTAATGTTCTATAATTGACCGGATCTGTGACGAGCATAATGTATGAAGTCAGTTTCACGCATAATTTAATTTAATTATGCTACTTAAGAAGTAGAAATACATTTATATTCTTATACGATGCGTATGTAGTTTCGGTATTCTATAAAAAAACAGTACCATTTAGCTAACCTTTCCTTAATTTAAATGTAAAAGTAACTGCTGGAGCTTAATTCATAAGTTTTCAGCTAAATCAAATCGGTCAATATATAGAACCTTTTGTAGCTAAAATATAAGTTTAAAGGAATTAAAAATTTTTGAATTGTTTTTAAGTTTGTATAGGAAATAAATTATCCCTCACAGGCGATGTTATAGACACTAACTAGTTTCTACATATACCTGTAATAATCTATGAAAAGAGACAAATATTGTAATATATTTGTTTCTTAGGTTTTCACGCACACCACTGATTAAATAAAACAAGTTTCAACGGTATAGTTGCACTGATTTATTATTTTATTGACGTTTCGCATCTTTTGCTGCGGCTGCGTGCGTCGTCAGAATTATGACGAATGAATACACAAATAAGTCAGTGCATTTTTACCGTTGACACTTGTTTTATTTAAATAATAGCGGCCGCCCGCGACTTAGTCCGCGTTTCGTTCCTTTTATTTAAACAAAATAGTTTTTTTTTAATAAAAGTAGCCTAAGTTACTCCTATTACACCCGCTTCCTGCCAATAAGTCCCGTCAAAATCGGTGCAGCCATTTCAGAGATTAGCCGGAACAAACATTCGGACAGACAAAAATTGTAAAAAATGATGTTTTAGTGTACGTACCGTTCATATGCATGTAGTAAAAAGCGGTTATTTCAATATTGCAAACAGACACTCAGATTTTATTTATATGTATAGATTGTATTGTTTCTCAGCATCAAAGTGCCACTACTCGCCATTCCTTATTATTAGATAAACCATTATTATGACGTCAACTTCTTTATTGTGGATTCATAGGTAGTAGTTACCATATGAATCGCAAGTAAGCGCTCTTATCTCTGATTATTATTTATTAATAGAAAATTCGATTGCAAGTAGTATTTTTTTGTAATTATCATTTCCTTGCAACGTTTTGTAGCGCTTTAAAAACCTACGCGTGGCAAGTCTCAATGACCACGTAGTATATTATTACTTGTACAAGTGTTGTGTTTTCTGACACGCTGCAATAAATCGAACGCGCTCTAACTGAATGATAAAACTGTATTATATATGTTTTATATTATAAAGCTGAAGCGTTTATATGTTTAGTTGAACAAGCTAATCTCGGAAACTACTGTTTCAAATTGAAAAATATTTCTGTGATGTATATAGCCTATTTATCGAGAGAGTTATTATAGACTATATAACATCATGATGAGACAAATATGAGCTTAGCATCAATGAAAAATGTTGCGAAAAACGGGAAAGAAAACATTTTCAGAGCTTTCGTTGCGTGCGCTACGTTAATGGTTACAGTTACACAAAAATCATGTATGACGCAATTGTTCCCCTTTAAAGGTTCTATAAAAATCATATGTCCGTTTTTGAGTTTGACTCACTATAACCTTTCTCTTCTTCTCAATCTTATTTGACATGGTACTTTGACATTATTAATGAATACAATAACATTATATTAAAGAGAATATTGAAATGTCATAAGTACACAAATAAGTCTCTATCTAATTACATAATTACTCTATATATAAATACTAGAACAATAAAACTAAAAACCTTAAAAAATAAAATTAAAAACTAAAATATATTATTAAAAGGAGTCCCTTTAGGCAAAGATCCGAAGATACTGGCAGCGTTACCCCTTTGAATGGCTTGACTAATTCTTTGTCCGAGGTAGCTGCCAGCTCTTCGGTCTCCTGTGATGTCGACTAACCTTTTTGCTATTGACATAATATATAGATTTATTTGCTTTAGTTTTAATAATTATTGCATAGTAAAATTAGCCTAATTTGTATATCTTTTAATATTTCTACGCCACTTATCAGGGTAGAATATGTGAACAAAAAAAATCATTGTCATCATATTATGTATACCATACTCTATGAAATAAATGTTTATCTTATCTATCAAATTAACCAAATTAATCGAATATTAGCCGACACAAAGTTCGTCGGGTCAGCTAGTTACCAAAAAATTATAACTTGACTGTCGTAATATTTGTTTTAAATTGGGCAACAGTACATTTTTATCATGCTCTAATGTATGAAAATAGAAAGAGCTTCAAATTCGTTTAGGTTTCGAGAATAACAGCCGCAATCGTACTCCGGAGACATCAAATAAATTTAAAGTCATTTATAGTCACGTGTTATCTTACTATATAGTTCAAGCAAAGAAAGAGACAGCAATAATTTCAATCAAACTTAATTTGCGTCGCTGAGTAGTCGTAAGACCTATTGTAGGGTAGAGAAGTTCATAATTTATCTCTCTCATATTGAACAAGAATTTCTGTATCTACCTTAGTACGAGTTTGAGCTCTCGAAAACTATCATAGTTTTCGTAATTGTAAATTATGTTTCTATGTCCATTTTGGTGAAAAGTAACCAAATATACTTAAAATTTAAGAAGACGAAAATGATTTCATGATAGAATTTAAACACTGTTTATTTGTATTGAAACGAAAACAATAAAATCATTACCCTTAGTACGGATGCGAGCTCAAGAAAACTGTCATAGTTTTCGTAATTGTAAAACTCTTACTAAGGATACTGTACCCCTAGCACGAACCAATATTGAATTCGTATCGTTTGCTAGTCCGAAATGTCATTGTCAAATGTGTACTGTAGCCCTACCACGAACTAATATCGAATTCGTTTCATTGCGAGTCCGAAATGTCATTGTCAAATGTGTACCTACTGATTTTTAGTTCTCGTTACGTACTTTGTGCCGCTGTGTTCAAGTTTCCATACAAGCTTTGACATTGACATTTCGGTTTGCAAACTATTCGAATTCGATAATGGTTCATGCTAGGGGTATTGATCCGTGATCGTTTGAATCAACCGAGTATTTTCGTATCGCGCAGGAATTCATCCAGTCGTTCTTCGACGGCAAACTGAAGCAGCACCTGCTAAGCGAAGACCTGCCTTCCGATTGGTCCGCCAAGCCCGTGAAGGTGCTGGTAGCTACTAACTTCGATGAGGTGGTGTTCGACAACTCCAAGAAGGTGCTCGTCGAATTCTACGCGCCTTGGTGAGTGAATTGTTTATTTATTACTTTATATGCACATTTAAAATCACGAAACATAAAGCAGTCAAAAACTCTACTGCTGTCGTTTGAAATAATTACTATTAAAAAACAATCAAAAACTACCGATATCGTTGGAAATCATTAGTTAAACTTGCTGCTATTCATAACTTTACCACTTAATAAAATATGAGTTTTATAACTTAAAAATAAATCGATGAAAACTGGGTGAGAATGCCTTAAGAATAAGATAGGTGTTCGTCGAATTCTACGCGCCTTGGCGAGTTCATGATGTTTATAAGGACTGTTTCCTCCCGCTGCACTCTAACATAATAACCGAAATTTGCTGCTTTATTTGATTTTGACAACACCTTGCTTGTCGCGAATAAATTGTGCTTGAAACCGCATAAGAATGCCTGTAAACAGCGCCCATGGTATACCATGTGAAAACCTACAAAAAACAAACAAATATTTTTAGGACAAAGACTTGAAGTTGTTAGAAGCAACTTACGTAATTTTAATTTCACACAATGAATGAGAAATTTCATTTTATAAAGCATTATTATTATGTAGGAAAAGCTATGCATTTATCACAAAGTCGTTATCGGCGCGATTCGGTATACTCTTTACGATTGTATACAATCAATTATTAACACAATGGAAACACAAGACTAATCGAACTGTTCCAATACACCTTGTTATAGTTCTGATTTATACTTACTCTAATATGATTCTAAAACGGGTCGTGTTAACCTTTCTTTTTATTAGGGTTCCGTAGTCCTGACAAGGAACCCTTGTAGTTTCGTCATATCCGTCTGTCTCTAGAGCCAATTGTCTTCAAGCTATACCGGAGTTGCTTGAAGAGTGTTGTCACTGGATACTTGTAATTTTGTAGATAAGAGTTACTGAAATACTTAATCCAGAACATACAAAAATTGCAACAATAATAAATAAGTAAACAGTAATTAGTGATTCAAAACCATTTCATGATGTAGATTTTTATAGTAGAAATCAATCAAGAGTTATCTATCGGTATAAGTTTTAGCAGCAGGATCCAGAAGTAATAACAATTTTAATGATCGGGTACTGAATTGTTGCTGCATTTTAAAACAAAAGTCAGCATAACTCATAATATATAGATTAATAGTAAACCTAAACCACAGTATTTATTAGATTTTATTACCGTGCCTAAACCATACCGCGATGTAAAAAAAAATAAAAAGCGCCATCTCTTGGTAACAGTAGTAATTAAATTTTGTATTACATTGGTTTTTAAATAGTTATTTTGGTGAGGTATATATTATTTTATTAAACTTGTTAAATGCATAATTATTGTGACAATAAATCGTACTACACAGGAAGCGTTTGCATTAAAGTTTCAAAGATGGCGTAGTACATCATTGAAAGACTTGCTATTTTAGCACCTACGCGCAAGATCGATCTTAAATGTACAATATTCATAGAAATTACTAACTCACGCATAGAAGTGAACACGTTTCTTCGCGCGTCTCGTCGTAAACGTCTCAAAGGTGTGTGATTTTTTGGAGAAATGCATTTTATCTAAGTAACAAATGATAAGGTCGATTTTCAGCTTTCATCGATATTGAACCTACCACACACTCGAACATTTGATTATGCATTGAACGCGTTTGGCGTTTTGGAAGTACGAGTTTTTTGCGTGCCCGCGCGCGACTCGTCAGAATAGCTAGCTATAGCGTTGCGCGATTTTAAGTCTTTTAGACATCGCGACGTGTGAATACTTCTAAGTACTTTATACGAGTTCGTACGACATTGAGAGACTAAGTACAGACTTCTTTGGTGAAACTTGGTTCGCGTGCCAGCTGTTGACGTAAATACGTTTCACTTCAAATACCTACATTGGTCCAAAACCAGATAGCTAGTATGATCCGTCATAGTTCAACCTTATGACACCCACTACTGAGCATAGGAGATCCTCCAAAGATCCAATGAGAATCTATATTAAAAAATAAAAACAAGGATCACATAATTATCACAAACAGACGTATTCTTTCCTTGCATATGAAGATGAGCAGTTAACTGATTAAATACAAGTGTATTTAAAATATTACCTACTGTTACTTTTATTACACAACATTATGTTTGAATTACAGTATCAATGTCAAATAATTTTCTTTTCACGTACTAACTAAAGGCGAGTATAGACTACTATCACATTGTTTATATACCATTTCAAAATTTATATGATAAACTCTATATTGAATGTAAGTATTACAGTAAATCAGCCATGACCGGTGACATTTTTCAATTTTGCATCTTTGATCAATTTAAATCGTAACACCATGTTCGTGGTTAGCTTTTAAAATCAGGTTGTAACAAGATTTTTTGAGTGTAGTGCTTAACGTTATATAATTGACTACATTATTAATACACTTAGGGGTAATAATTTCAAAAAATATTTCTTGATCATTACTTATCTTGTTAATAAATAAATAAATATTTCGAACACTCACACCAATTAGCCTAGCCCCAAAGTAAGCACTGTAAGGCTTGTGTTATGGGATACTAGGGTAACGGATAGAATACATATATTGTACATATATAAGAATATTTATATAGAAATTCATATTAAACATCCATGACTGGAGTACAAATGCTCGTATTCATTACACAAACATCTGCCCCCACCGGGATTTGAACCCGGGACCTCTCGAGTAGGCGACACCATGAAACCCGGCGTATAAACCACTCGGCCACGGAGGTCGTCCTCCGTACCAAAATGTACCTATTGTCCAAAATTCATCATTTTAGTACGTTCAGGGATTTCGTCTTCACTTTGATGAGTCAGTCGGATTCTCTCTTTATATCATAGTGTAGATTATAGTGGTTCGTTCGGTTCCCAGTAAATGCTCTTGTCTGTACTCAACTCAAGAAAGTTGCTAGCAGTGTTATTTGCACAAGTGCTAAGCAGCTCATTACGCCGTATTCAGTGAACCGCAAATTTATTGATGGCAGGTTGGTTACGTCAAGCGCCCGCCCCCGTAGACCGATGGCTCAGAAAACATTATGTAGATCTTCGTCGAGTTGCTAACGGCGCCCGGTATAATCAAGCTAAACAAAAGACTTCATTAATAATGTTAAATAAGAGTAACCTTGTTTGAACAAGCCTCTTTGTTTGTCCTATTTCGTATATAGGCATAGTTATATCTAGATTATTTGGGTCAGCAAGTTGTTGTTGATTTACGAGAAACGGTGACTATCCTTACCTATAAGAAGCGTAACTTGTTATAATGACACTTAGGCCCGTATTACAGAATGACAACTAAGTGTTGATCTTTACTTGAGTATAGTTAGAAAGGGATGTCGCTATGTGCTATATATAGCAACATCCTTTTCTAACTATGCTCAAGACTAGATCAATTACTGAGAATCTTTCTATAATACGGGTCTTATATTTTATCGAGCTCGAGATATGGTGAATTGAGATTTGAATTGGGGTGGGGGCGTAGGAGACACTTTGAGAGAGGGCGGTTACAATAGCTATCTTGTGTATAATATAGTAAAAAATAACCTTACTACTTTACTGCACAAAATACGCCATGTTCCTTTTCATTCATTTATTACTAAAAGTTGATTTAAAAATTCTGGTTTAAAATTTGTATTGTTAATTAAAAATTATTTTGTCAAAATATTTAGCCACCTCTGATACAGAAAGAATGAAAAAAACTGAGGCCATGAGAACCATAGTGGCCTAACTCATTTTTTAACTATAGTGGCCTAACTCATTTTTTAACCATAGTGGCCTCTCTTACTTAGGTCAGTATGGCACCTAAAATTTAGATCAGACTAAAAACCTTAACAGTAATTATGCTGCTATCTAGTGAATATTCGTTGTATCACTTTTAGACCACTCTGGTTCTATCAAAATGATCAATTTGAACGGGAAAAAATCATAAAGTCAATATTGTAAAAAATGAGTTAGGCCACTATGGTTCTCATGGCCCCAACTATGTGTCGATATAAAAGTTTCATCCAGGGATTGAAAAATGCCGCTTACCATCAGGCAGCAAGCCAGTTCCTTTGCCACTCCGTTTACATAAAACAATATTTTTATTATGTTGTATAATTTGACCAATTTCCAATGTTTGTAAAACGTCATATAAATATATAATATTAAATATAATAATATATAATAATAAATAAATGACATTACACTCCAGAGTATCAGATAGTGCATAATATAAGGCAAATATGATTATCATATTATTTGCTATTCTGCCGACAAACTATTGTAATAGTTTGGCAGATGTTTCATTTATAATCAATGTCTGTATTTAGAAAATCAATAAAGAAAAATATTTCATCATTATACATGACATGAAAAGGTTTCGAAAACCTGCTTCTTTCAGCTTCTTTTTTTTAATGTTATCTGAAATGAAGTATAGAAGACACCAAATGCGTGGACCGATTTTTTTAATTATTAAATGTGGCAATATTATCTTTCTCCCATCAGGTGCGGTCATTGCAAGCAACTGGTGCCCATCTACGACAAGCTGGGTGAGCACTTTGAGAAGGATGATGATGTGGTGATAGCCAAGATTGACGCCACTGCCAATGAGCTGGAGCACACCAAGATCACATCCTTCCCCACCATCAAACTGTACACTAAGGATAACCAGGTGATTATTCAATTAATTATATAATAATTGTAATTAGATTGTCTTCGTGGATTTTTTTTTGTTTTCCTAAGTTAATTATGAGACTTGCTGGTGAGAAGCAATCCCATATATGGTAAAGTTTATTTGTAAACTCTTGTCGTATAATCTTATAATGGCCGTGTCCGCGTTTCCTTTAGTTTTTTGGGAATCATCAGAAAAGTGACTTTTTTCCGTCATTACAATAAGTATCCTATGTTTCAAATCATATAATAAACTATATGTATGTCAAATTTCATTGAAATCAGTTAAGCCGTTTTTTCATGGTTAATAACAAACATTCTTATTTTTAGTATTAGTAGGACTAGTATGGATTGTGAGAGAATCTTGTAATGATAGAGTATTTAAAGTATCCTCGGGTTATAAATTATTTTATTTTATTAAGAATAAATGCCATGTATGTCCAACTTTCTACGAAACTCCTTGATATTGACCAGCAGTGTTGCCTTTTTACCCGGCTGCGCAATGCAAGAGCGCGAAGCGCGACGCGCAGACAGGGTTATTTACACTTGTTGTATAATCTTCTATTATCGTAAGTATTGAAATAAATGTATCGTTTTTGTCGTCAGGTGCGCGATTATAACGGTGAGAGGACGTTGGCCGGACTCACCAAATTCGTGGAGACTGACGGCGCAGACGCCGAAGCTGGCCCCTCAGTGGTAAGAAATACATACAAATATTTTCTTAATAACTCCTTACCTTTAGCACAACCTTTACTTTTTACTTTAGAAATTTGGTGACTCATTTCTTTGTCGTACTATTCGTAAGTGGAATTCTTTGCCCGCGCACGTGTTCGCTCCTTCCTACAATCTGGGCTCCTTTAAGAGAGGCGTTTAGAAGCATTTTTGCAAGCCGGCAAAGTGAGGATGGTTGGTGTGGCAGTTTATAACTGCTATACCAGCTATCTTCGTGTTTCGACTTTCTTACCACTTAACATCATGGTAGAGTCATTTGCCACCTCACTATAAAAGAAAGCACGCAACCTATATAATAATGTCTTGTTTGAATCTAAAGAAAATTTTACTAGAAAAAATTCCACGAGTCCCAGGGAGCGGGCAGGACTCGAACCCGCACCCTACGCTATCCGAGCTGATGCACTGACCATTATACTATCACGGCCTTACATTTAATTCATGGAGGTTAGAGAGAGGGAGAACGATCGCTGTAAAAAATAGTGTCCCAGAAATATGGACAAAATAAGTGAGGCGCTGCGATCGCTAAGTTGTCTTAATAAAAGCTGGCTGTCGTGCGCTAATTTGAAATGACCAATGCCACGAAGAAAATTTGTACATTATTCAACTAACTTCAGCTACTCATAAACAGCTAACTTCACAGATACTACTTACCGACGCCAGCGCGGTTGGTGGCTGAAAAATGAACTATATATTCTACAAATTTTCAGGGATAGGCGGGCTAATGCTTTAGTACATAGCGATCGTTCTCCTTCTCTCTAACCTCAATGATTTAATGCGTGTCAAAGTGACGTGTTCTTACTCTATTGTTGCTACTACGACCACCACGCATAGAGGTATAAGAATAGATTGGGCAAGGCGGCTCTAAAGTGTCCGTCTAGTAGAAAGAAGATGAGAGACCGCTAGCTATCTCTCTCTCTCTCTTCTGACGCATGGCATCCAATGGCATCACTTCGAAATAGTAAAATGCTTACGGTTGACAATGCGCATGCGCGATTAGAGAGAGAAAGCTAGCGGTCTCTCATCTTCTTTCTATAAAAGGGACACTTCCACTTGTAGTAGTCTATATCTCCCCTACTCTATTCATATTCGCTATGTGCGAAGTACATGGTGGGGGTATAGTGAAGCGATCGCAGCGCTTATCGTGGCAGAAATACGCAACAATCCGGGAAAGTAAAGTCAATTTGCACGGAGTTCGTAATAAACAAAAATTTTTTAAAATGCCTATTAATAGATGTTGTTGTGTTGTGAATTGCAAAAATAAGGGCACAAATAGTCTGTGTATATATTTCCTACATTGGACTGGAAATTAAATCAAAGAAATAAATGGATAGATGCCATAAAAAGAAATAAGTAAGCGAAATAACCTTAAATTATGATCAATTTTATTTGCGCTATATATTTTATGTGATATTCATTATTGTCTTTATTATTTTAGTGTTGATGGGTCGCCATGGTATCCCAAACCTGACGACACAATTTGTAGTGAACATTTTATGGGAAACAAAAAATCTGACGAGGAAGAAAATCCGAGTTATGCTCCTACGATATTCCCTGAAATATATCGAAAGAGGAAGGTGAAGGTTAATGATTCACAGGTCCTAGCTAGATATACACGCTTGACAAAACGAAGAACCACAAAAGTCTCAGATACCACATCAAGTCAAATAATAATTGAAGAAGGGAGTGAATTAAATCAAACTCAACCTTTTATGATCGATCAAGGATGTCAAGTCAATATGTTTTCTGAATCGAAATTAAGAGATACAACTTTTATTTGTATTAGATTAATTTACAGTGATCACTGTGATGCTGAAATCCAACATCAAGAATTTTAATGACAAATAATTCAAGAAAGAAAGATAAAAGCTGTGGCACTGACAAAAAATCGTATGAGGATCAATCTACCGAAACAAAAAGTCAAGAATTTGTTGGTATTTCATCAATAACAAATGATCAAGAACTCCTAGATCCTTCTGGTGTGTCATTTAGCAATTTTGAGTTTTTATTAACAAGATTAACTATGAAAAAATGTACAGTTTCCACTAAAGACAGACTTCTGATTTTTTTGATAAAAATGAAAACTGGCTTGACATTTTCAGCATTGAGTGTGTTATTTGGTGTACAAAAAAACCACAATCTCACGTATTTTTCATTCGATCTTACAAAATCTAGCTTGTTCAACTGCTAATTTAATCTTTTGGCCGAATAGAGCCACCGTACAAGCAACAATGCCCAAGTGTTTCAGTCCAGATTACATCAATACAAGAGTTATTATTGACTGTACTAAATTCCGAATTGAAATCCGACAGTATTTAAATCATTATACAATATATAATAATTTTTATTTATCTTTAATTTACTATATTTACTAGAAATCAATAAAATACAAACTGATGTCATTATTTGGCATAATCCCGGAAAGTTGCGTATTGTAGGTGGCGCTCTGTCGTGCACATAGCGAATACCTCTATGCCACCACGTGACTATTTCATTCTTTTGTATTCTTGTAAAAAAATATTAACCTTTTTTTTTATTCACAGACTGAATTGGACGAAGAGGAAGAAACACCAACCAGAGACGAGTTATAAGCACAATGCGGCCAGTGCACTCTTATGAGACTTCCATAGCATAGTTCTGTATAGATATAATAATTACTTTTATACTTAATCGGACACTTCGCATTTCGTTTGCCCAAACTGTCCAACTGTTCCCTTAAAAATTGTGTCTTGGTTGTATCTTTCAAAGCATTTATGAAACATCTTTGTTAGCACTCGTTGATATTTATAAGAAAAATACTCGAGGTTGATCCGTTGTCGAGTGGAGTCGATCTCTCACATGTGCCCAATTAATTTATTCGGTAATAACTTATTACGTAAGAACGCAGCATAATTAAGTTTATGTACAATACGTTGAATATATTTATAATTTCTGTATCATAATGGTTATATTATTTCACATTCCTAAGGTACATGATTCAATTGCATCGAACAAGTTATTTTCATTTTATTTTATTATTATTGTGGATATTATAGTTATTTTTGTAAAAAAAAAACATAAAGAGTGGCTAGTTCATCACAAAAATATTTTATAAGGCGGACTTACTGTAATAATGTTGTATTTTTTATATGCTTTTATGTTTGTATTGTGAAGTTTGATTGTATTTTTAAGGTGCATCTTTAAATTTCAATAGATCCTGTGGTAATTAATGACAATTGTAAATGTAAATACATTCTCTTGTATACCTTGCCCGCTTTTGATGTATCTATTGTGGATACAGAAATTCATAAATAAACAAAATGAAATACACTTTCTTATTTTTTTTTTCACACATACGGTTTCCTGATCCGGAATTCCGTTAGCCTAGCGCAAACGATTTGGTTTTTTCTTAGCGACACTGGGCGCACACATATGGTTTCATGATCCGGAATTCCGTTAGCCTAGCGCAGACGATTCGGATTTTTTAGTAGCTACACTGGGGGCACACATATGGTTTCCTGATCCGGAATTCTGTTAGCCTAGCGCAGACGATTCGGTTTTTTTATTAGCTAGACTGGGCGCACACATATGGTTTCCTGATCCGGAATTCCGTTAGCCTAACGCAGACGTTTCGGTTTTTGGTGTGTAACAACTTTCCTCTCGCTTACCTGCAATTTGTGGGAGTGATTTCGTAAAATGGGACGGAAGCGTGTAACAGGAAGTCGCGAAAGCGCGCGCTATTTAATTTGATTATAGAACATAATGTTCAAATGTCTTATTCCTTTTGTAATAGGTTTTATTTCTTTTTTTAATATAAGGTGAGGTTTCAAATGTTACACACCACACGCGACTACTGTAAGGCTCGCTCGTTTTTTGATGTGTAACATCTTTCCTCTCGCTTTCCTGCAATTTGTGGAATAGAGCGCGCTATTTGATTTGATTTTAGAACAATGTTCAAATGGCATATTGCTTTTGTAGTAGGTGGTAAGGCTCGCTCGTTTTTTTTCCGTAACGTACGGTTTCCTGATCCGGAATTCCGTTAGCCTAGCGCAGACGTTTCCTTTTTTTTTAAAAGGAATTTATACTGCCAGTACGTAAACTTACGTGACGCTCTTTGAAAAGCTCGTACAACATGGACGACGACCAATTGAAACTGATAAAAAAGATTCTAAGTACCAAAAATATAAAGCGGAGGATTTTATGTTTTAAATAATAAATTTTAATAACCACCAATAATAAAAAAAAAACTTTAAATTGTAAAATTAACAGCAAAAATTAAGATAGTTTGACTGGGAGGTGTTAATGCATCCGCCGTATAGTCTTGACTTTCAGATTTCCACCTGTTTCGGTCTCTTCCCAATTCTTTTGGCAGTGTCAGGTTAACATCACGGGAGGACTGCCAAAACCACTTGTCGCGGTTTTTTGATCAGAAGACCCAATTGGTTTATGTCCCTACCTACAAGATGGCAAAAAGATATAGAACAAAATGGCACGAACATACTTTAGTTAAATTTAAATAAACTTTATTAGAAGTGTTTTAAATGTTCATATGAAATGCGAAGAAACTTTTTCTCCCACCTAAAATGTTAAACTTGATTGGTTTAGTAGATTCTCAGCAAATCTATTGTGACAGACATGCAGACAGACAACCGAGTGATCCTATTAGGGTTCCGTTTTTGCCAATTGAGGTACGCAACCCTAAAATTACTATTATACCTAAAATTATTATATTATTAATTACTAAATTGCTAAACATTAAATGGAATGAACCATAAGGAGTAAATAGGTGTTTCTTGGAGGGACATACATTTTTAAATACTAAACAAACTACGTGCCTAATAATAGGATAAAAACACTACATTTTTAAGTTGTGTATTTGCTTCTTCTAAATTCTCGTGTCACGGTGAGCGTAATTGAACTATTCCGAAACGGCTCGACCGATTTTCAAAATTTTATATGCATATTCAGTAGGTCTGATAATCGGACAACATCTATTTTTCATCCCCCTAAATGTTAAGGGTGGTCCCTTAAAACCCTTAAAAATGTCTTTTTTTGGACAATTTTTTTTGTTTTTATTTTTTTATGATACATCATACAAAAAAACATACAACCCTAAATTTTCACTCTTCTACCACCATCCCCTATTTTTTTATGGCGGTACGAAGTTCGCTGGGGACAGCTAGTTATTATATAAATACGTAAGTTTCGGTGCATTCAACGAGGGAAACGTGTCCTTATGCGCTCTGTCTCGTGTGTGGTGACCTGCTGCCTCTCGAACCTACATAGGTCTGCCAGCGGTAGGCATTTATAACGCTTCGTCGCGCGAGTGACTGGGGCCAGGCGTAGTTTTTTTTTTATAGCGAGGTAGGCAAATGACTTCCCCACCTGATGTTAAGTGGTGATAAATAGTTTAACTGATAAGGAAATGGGGGGGGGGGGGGAACAATTTAAGAAAAACACATTTAATATGATACTTTATTTTATTATCTTAAATACAACGATTATTTATTACAACACAAAATAACTCTTTTAAATAATTAACATTAAGCTTGTTCTTTTTAAATTATCACATTCATATCAAAAGAACATTTCATAGCGACTGTGGAATGATAAAGTTTATACAATACTTGTTAGTACAGTTCGTTACTTTGCGCTTTGGTATGAGGTACAGTACTAACATGACATAATATGCAAGGTAACTTTTGTTTTTATGTTAAAAAAGCCATTTCTGAATATATTATATAGTTGTAAAAAAATTAAGTGAAGAATTACATACAAGCGGATCGTCACATAAATCATTCAAAATTCAATAATTTTTATTGCGAATACAGGTCATTGTTTATGCAGAAGTTTATTAACATTCTGAGAAAATTTAAACAGAATAAAAACTGGATTTGGAAATTTCATAGTATTACTTCTTTTTCATTCTTAGAAGAACATGATCATGAAATACTGCTGTCAAATTTACAAATAGAAAGAAACGAACAGCAATGTAAAGTGCATTAAACGGGACAATGTTTTTTCCATACAAACAAATTCTCCACTGATTCCTCCTTGATTTTTATCATTAAAAAAAATGTTCATACATAAAATAGAATTTTACACATTCTATGCTTCTATGACTTCCTTTTTTCGATAACTTGTGAAAGAAACTAGAAGCTCTCAAAAATGCCAAACTATTTTTGTATCATCATTAAAGGCAACTAGTGTGGAGATTCAATAAGCATTTACAAAAAAAGCAAAACATAGAGGCCTAGTATAACTACTCATTATTCTATGGGTAAAATTTCTTTAATTTTCGATGAGGAAAACGTCGAGAGCCAAACCTAAACTTTTGTAATTTTTATACGCACTTATCAGTCTTGTCTCGGTTTGTCCAGTAAGGGCTTGTTTGTTGTTTTTAACTCAGCTTAAACTAAGATAGTATTACTAAAATTGTAAATCGCCTCCCAGTATTAACGAAGAGTTAATAATATCTTTATTAGCTCAACAAAAGAGTGACAACGTTCTAATTGAGCGCTATTTATGTTTATCGCGCATACTTTTTGTTAAATATAATCCGCAACATAACATACTTTTAACGTTTGGATGATATTTGTTAGTGGAAAGGTTCAACTTTAAGGCCCGTATTATAGAAAGATTCTCAGTAGTCTTGAGCATAGTTAGAAAGGGATGTCGCTATGTGCTATATATAGCGACATCCCTTTCTAACTATGCTCAAGTTAAGATCAACACTTAGTTGTTATTCTGTAATACGGGCCTAAGAGCTTAGTAATAAGGACAACAAGGCTGACTGGATTTGAGTTAGATTAGAATATTACATAGCTCCTGCGGTTTTGAGGAAGATGTACTGATGAATGAATATTATATCGGATATTTATAATATGACAGACTCTCTCTAAAATTAGAGTTAGTAAAACATTGCAAAAGTCTGTCTTGCTTTTGTAACTTTAAACAAGAGTAATTCATGATTTTTTAACCAAATCAAAGTAACCACATAAGAAATATCACTACAAAATATTTAAGACATTTAAACTTAAATTAAAACAACCGAAAATAATACGTGATCGATTCAGAAAACTTCATTCATAATGAAAGTATACACATATAAATATAACATTTATATATACACATCATGTAAAATGCCAATTGGAAGTAAAATACATAAGTATTTAAAACTCGTATCACATTTTAGTCCCATCTTTAATAAAACCGTATAACACTACTGTTTTTGTATTAAATGTGGGCAGATGAAATACACATTACATATTATATTATGTATACCTATTGTAAACAATCGGATCTAACCTTATAATATTTTCAAGTATAATTAATCTCATCCTTTCTTATTATAATTACTCATATAAAAACAGGGCGAAAACAACAGAAATAAGAACCGATGCAATACCTCACTTTTTATTATCGTAATATCCTGAAATTTTTGCCGATTACACATTTGTAAATACTGCAATTATTACTGCATAGGACATTTACGAACGGTTTCATTTTAATCATACTGTAAAGATAAGTATGGCATTCTATCCTTTTTCCATACCTAAAGAAAAAGATTAACTAAACTTGAAGATTAAAGTATCCGCTACCGCTTAAGAGCCCAGCCTCTCTAGCATGACAACCGAAACGGGTTATGATAAAGCTTTTTATCATATCCCGTTTCGTGTGGTTATGCTAGAGGGACAGAGTAGCTTACAGATTAGTCAAATATGTGACATTAACAGTATTGGTAAGGTTTAAATAGTACAAAATAATGAAGTTAGGTGAGTAGAGTTATTGAATAACCTACTTTATAATGAACTAAATAAGTGCGATCTTACATAAATGGCAAATATAAAAGTAAATGTATAGATAGGCTGAAGGTGAGTTATAAATGTTTGAGGTGAAATAAAAAAAAATCAAGGCAAGTATTTTACATCAAGAACGATCGATTTTAACATGACAAGCTTGATTTAAAAATAAAGCATTATGCAAGATAGATGAAACCACTTAACTGCCTACTGTGACACTTGATGTTAAGGGGTATTTTTCCTACCTTGTGCATAGATTGTCCCGATCGTGTGAAAGTTTTGAAAATGTGTAATGTTTGACTAAATGATTTCATAAATATGAATTATTTATATTTCAGCTTTTTGTAAATGCAGCTAAGTGTAGAATAATTTGAATTCATTGAAATACCATCGCTGGTCTTAATAAATTAAATAGCTTCGCTAATTTTTTCGTCTACAATAATATTGGTAAAATAATATATTGGTGCCGATGCTGGCGTTATTCTCTAAAGTTAAAACTAAATTTAACATCAATCTCTCTTCTCTATAGAGAATGACAAGGATACACTGTTGTCAAATTTAAGTTTAGGTTTAGAGAATCATGTCAGAATTGGCACCATTAACAATATAATATTAAGATTCTAAGATATCTAATTTAAAAACTGATAATGTATTCAAAAAACTGATTCTTCTTAAGATATTTGAATTACAACTATAAAAAGCCAGGCACCAAACGGCATATCAAAAAGGGATTTTTTGATGTAGTAAAGTCGGCCCGTATAGAGTTGATACTTTTAATAGTTATTTTGGTAATTTAAGGTAAGATTAGGGTTTTAATTCATAGACATTGTAGAAATGTTTATTTTAGACCTTGATTATGTTTCTCCTTTCAATTTTCAATCGACGCAGCAACTTGCTTTACTTAATGGTAACACTTCACATGTTTTTTTAGCGTAATTGTTTTCAATTTATATGGCAAATATTGTCGAACACGGCAATGGCAAACACGATTGCATGGCGCCAAATAAACCACAGAGAAGCAAAATGACGATCATTGGTCCTATTTGTCAATAATGCAAAAAACCGTTGGCTTTACGAAAATCAGATACTCATAGTTATGTGAAGTGCCACATTTAGATGTCACCTAAATGACAAAAAGTTAGAATTACCTATTTTTTAATAAAGTTAAGCAGTAGTAAGTCTGCTGTGTCATAAAGAATACAAATTTAGCCGATTCTTGTATTTAGTTTACGGGTTTTGCGTGTATGTTTTCGTCACTATAATAACGAAAAAAATATTATGTGCACAATCATATTATCAAAAGTTAAAAGAAGATCGCGATTATGCCACGTGGCAGTTTCTAATTCGTACATACAAATAAATATATAGTTCGATGCAAAAAACCATCAACATTAACGGTTTTACTACAAAAGAGTTAGACGCTTTGTTTAACCATTAGTTTTTAGGCAATTTTTCTATGCATCTTTTTCTTTAACTCGTATTCAACGCACGACCAACTTTTTTGTGGTAATGAGGTTAAATTCAAACGGCCTTACTACATAAATGTTACACAATGTTTTAAACAATTTTAAGGCAAATTTTCTAATGCCAGCACTTTACGTGGCTAATTGTATTTGCTATTAAGTTGTAAACTTGACAACAATCTTTCCTTTTCATTTCATATAGAATATAATAAGGACAACCTGCTGTCAAAATGATAAATAACAAACACGAATAGCCATGTAAAGTGCAGGCATAAGACATTTGTTCTTAAACTCGTGTCGAACGTATGACTAACTTTTTTGTGGTAACGAGGTTGAAATTCTAAATACCTAATACTTACTCATCCGTAGCGATTGTTACGATGTTTTTCGATATTGGAATCGCATCAGAGCGCGAACATAGAATCTTCTTCCTTCTTGATCTGCCTGTGTCTGGGCGTTTGTTGCGTGGCGTTTTGGGCCGTATTCTCAGGGGCATTGGGTAAATTAGCCCTATTTTCGGGGGCATTGGGTAGGTTTTCGCCTGCAGCCGCGCGTTCCGCAAGGAATTTGTCGAAATCGCTACTGGTCACGCTCTCCTGAGCGCCGTTAGCTTCAGAAGCGGCCTGCGAATAAGTAAATATTTATATATTTTTTTAAATGTAACGACTAGATTCATATATGTAAAGAAATTTTGAATTAAGGTACCTGGATCGCAATTTTTCAAGTAAAATTTTCTTTAATTATAAATAAATATTTCTTTTTCACCAATTAGCTTAGCCCCAAAGTAAGCACTTTAAGGCTTATGATATGAGGAACTAGGGTAACAGTTAGAAATTATGTACATTATTATAATGAGATATAGATACACATATTATAGTATATATTTTAATTTCAGTCAACAATATAACTAGTATTCATCATAAAAATATTTGCCTACCGGGATTAGAACGAGGCACCCGAGTTAGAGATCCTTGAAAACTGGTGTATGTATCGTAGGATGATTTGCTGAATTGAATTTTCCTGAACATCCTAGGGATTTTGCGAATAGACGGATAATTAGACAAGGGCGATGATATTGCTCAATCTTACAAATCATCCTACAACATATACACCACTACAATATGGAGATCGTATAATAATAATTAATTTTATCCATAATGAAATTTTAATCCATAGTAATATTAGTCTCTGTTCGGGCGCCAAATTGTCATATAAAAAAATACAAAGGGGATTTATAAGTGGGAAAGAAAAGAATTGTGTTTTAAAGTAATATGTATAGGTCGAAATAAAATTAAAAAAGTACTCGGGCGCCATACCTACCTCGATAGACTCGCCGAAAGGGCATTGAACTATTAATCGCAAGGGCGGTTGAAGCTAAATCCATACTCAATGATTTTTTTCTAAGTAATTTCGAAATTGTAAAGAAAAAAACCATGTCATCAATTATATTAAACACATTTTATAGATGGTGATATTAAAGTTGGCAGAAGTCAGGTGGAGGTATTTATAAAAATATTTTTGTTTTTTTTTATGCGTGTGTATTTGTACCACCATGCAGCTATACAAGCAATACTTCTGCCTTCGAAAAGACAGTGTTCATTTTTCTGCCCTATTTCATTATTATGCTTCCCATAACTAATAGAAATAGTAAAAACGATCTTATAATTTAGTTATTTTGTAAACAATACAGATTATTAATGCATCATCATCATAGTGGCAGAAGTATTTTTTTATCTCTTATAATATAATTTCAATAATTATTCCAGTTCCAATTATTCCTGCCGATTTATATTTTTTTTATATATCATAATAATTTGAAAAAAGAAATTAATGAGTAAAACACAACACGAAAACTTTTGCCGCTAGCATATTGTTTTTTACTAAATACAATGTCTATCGACAGAATAATATCGCTTATGACACTTATTTTTATGAACATGTTTTGCAAGTTCCTATTTGATATTACAGCAATTAATAATGGCAGAAATTGTTTAAAATCAATATTTTACTTAGTACTCTAATATTATCAACCTCTGCTAGACGATGAAAATATATAAAAATTACTGCCACCAGCTCCCTAGCTATTATAAGGAAACTAAAAATAAAACTAACTATATACATATTACTATATGTAAACAAAAAGAAAAATAACACACCTTTTCTTGCGCTAACCATGCTGCTATTTCATCTATCTCTCTTTCATCGATATCCGCGGGCTGTCAATAACAAAACAATAACAATAAAAAAATCATAATATATAATCATAACAAAAACAAGAATTACATTCAATTCCTTACTGCTGTGCTTTCAATCTTTATTGACTACACGATCCATTTATAAGTATCAAAATTGTAGCTACCCTATTTAAAAAATATTTTGCCCTGAGCTCTACGAACTTAACTGCTTGCAGATCTCTGGCATACAACGGTTGCTCAAGGATTTTGTAAATTTAATCCTAATTAGGCAGCTTTACTTCAAAGATGAAAGAATTATATAAAACCTGGAAATCGGAATCCACGATGTGATTCAAATTCAAAGTTAGAACACGAAAGTAAAGCCCGCTATACACACAAAGCGGGTGAGGGTCGTGTCCCCCGCGGCTCATTCTGCCTTATTTCAAAACGCTCGCTAAAGTTAGTCTTTGTTTAAACCAATTGTTGTCTCTGTCTTCTTTTTAGCAAACCAAAAGAGACAGCATCAATTTTAGTCCAGGTTTAACTTAAGTCTACGTTTCGTAATAAGGCGGTATGTGTTTACACACATAACGGGCGCATTGAATTACACGCATAAAGGGCAAATAGCATTGAAACAGCTGCAAAATTTTATTCTGGTTCAAAATGTCCGGCAACAATGACGGATGATTGTATCTTATTAGTATGTCAATAAACAAGTATGACTACGTACACATTCAATTATATTTTCATTGAGACCCATAGCAATTAGTCAAATTATTTGTAAATAAACACAAGAGCCCTAAACACACGTTCCGCTTACGCGTTCCTCCGCGTGGATGCCTATAGGATAATATGTGTAATGCCACGATTGTAACAACGCTACACCCGCTCATATAAAAAATATATGTATGTGTGTGTGTGTATGTATTTACCAATGGTTGTCCTTGCGTAGGTCGTTGGTTGGCTACGGCAGCCAACCCGCGTGTAGTCTGCTCCTCAGAGTTGTCCGCGTAACTGCTGCCCCTGAGTTACCAATAGATTAGTCACATACACACATAATTTGCTACTTTCATGGTCACTTACATTAAAGATATAACATGAAACACGCTTAAACGGGTCCAAAATGCAACCTCTTCAGGCTGCGTCGTAAGAATTATGATTTTTGAAGTGATATTTCTTTACGCACGCTTGACTTGGGAAGGTAAGCTGGCGAATGCATTACGCGTTACGAAAAGTGTGTTCGGGCGAGGCGAACGGGAGTTGAGTGAGGGACATAAGCAAGAGAAAGCAGTGCGCGCGCACATTTTCTTTCTCTCTTTCTCTTATAGCTAGTCGATGAAATATGTATATGTACATACATGTATATATTGTACACACACACATATATACATACAGATGGAGCTAAAGAAGTTTCATTTCAGTCCTGTGATCACTCGTTTTTTATTTACTTTTGACGAGCTACCTTCGAAAGATATTTATTGAACGTTTGGATACTTCATTGAAAGATTATTTAAACATTAATGTCTGTGTATGAATTTATTAACTAATTTAATTAATAAACTACATTATTATTATTTTTTTAATTTTGTATCTATTTATTTGACCCTAATTGCCGTAACCTACATCCAGTTCCAAATAGGCAGACTTTTCTGAGAAGAACTGGCGAAGGAGACAAAGAGCCTCCGAGTTTGTTTCGTATAGATAGGTATATAAAGAATCTCAATAACTCGGAGAATAAATATTTGTACTCAACAAAGAAATAAATGATCATAACCAGGAATCAAACCTAGGGCCATCTGTATGAAATCTTGTACAAAAAATCCAACTATTTAATAAACTAGAACCATCAATTTTTTTTAATTAAATTGTTACTTACCCAGTTTTAGTGTTTTCATAGGTAACGTTTCGCGACTGCGCAAACATGTCGAATTCGTCCTTAGAGCTGCCTGGCGACTTGTCCGCTGTTATACCTTACAGAAGCAAGAAAAACTTTTTATTTAAATATTTTTTTTTGTTGATGTGTAACATCTTTCCTCTCGCTTTCGTACAATTTGTGGGAGTGATTACGCGAAGTGCGACGGAAGTGTGTAACAGGAAGTTTCGAGAGCGCGGGAAATTTGATTTTAGAACATAATGTTCAAATGGCTTATTCGTTTTGTAGTAGATGTTGTTGTTGTTACACATCATACGCGACGCGACTACTGTAAGGCTTATTCGTTTTTTTCTTTTCCATACTGACACATTGAATGAACAAAAAATACAAGTAGAAAAACTCTGTAGTAGAGACTCTTTAATGCCTACTTTTATATCTACAGACTCTTGGCCCTGTACCTATTTTATGTTAATTTTTATTTTTGTGTTATTTACCATTACCCTTGATACAACAACACGAACAAAATCGTGGCTGAAACCTGTCCAAAAAGTACATTGGACAAACCACGGAGCTCCGTAAGATGATCGCGTAGTCAAAAACAATATAAGGCATTATTTTAACATTCAAAGTGATCTTTAATTCATACTGTATAAGGTCTTTATTAAAACGTATGCGTCAAAGAGATATTACAGTTCAATACAATATAGACTTTATATATTTGACTCTACGCGTAATTCTGAATGCGCTGTTAGCAATATAGCAGGTGCGGAGCGCGAGGAAAACACTCGGCTATATTATTAGCCTATATTTTCCATTATATCACTTTATAATAAGTATTAGAACAAAATTTGCTGCTAATGAGTTAAATTAACAAACATTGATTAGATAATATGTCCAAAAAAACGACACTCTACGTACTATAAGTACTGTTTTAGCATGTTTTCACTGAGCTCTGCGGCATCTTGACTATTCAACGGTCCGCGCGTGACTGTGAATCCAGAAGTGCTTCAGTGGCGTTCAAGCATTTCTTGATTGGGACACATTTTGAGAAAAGTGGGAAAATATTTGTTTCTTAGGTTTTCACGCACATCACTCATTAAATAAAACTAGTTTTTACGGGTTAATGCACGAAACTTTATTTATTTATTGACGTTTCGTAGCCTTTACAGGCTACGTCGTCAGAATCAAGAAAAGGTAGCTCGACAAATTAAATAAAAGTTTGATTCTGACGACGTAGCCTGTAAAGGCTACGAAACGTCAATAAATAAATAAAGTTTCGTGCATTAACCCGTAAAAACTAGTTTTATTTAAAGTGGGAAAAATTTGTATCTTTAAGTTAAAAAAATACCTTTTTTTTCAGTACGCAATGTATAGCGCGGCGCGCTACTGTGGCGCTACGCAAGGAATGTGCCTGTGTGTATGTGTGTGTAAGTGCGCCGATCAAAAAGTTTTTAAATAACGTATTGAAAATATTAATTTAAAAATCTTCAAAAAAATATTGTGACTTTGACCGTCAATATCTCCATAACCAGAAATTTCCCAGGTATGGTACAGAAGAAAAAAAATATCATGATGAGGAAAATACGTGGCCTTTGACTTCGTTAAGTTTTTTACACTCTGTATATAACTATCTTATCGTACTACCTTTATACCATGTATTTACGTTTCTGACAATTCAGCTATTTTCGCGACTGAACTCCATTTACACTTAACATCAGGTTGAGGGTGGTAATCTGCTGCACCTCGTATATAATAAAATAAAAACTTACTAAGTTTAGTGATGTCTGGTACATCATCGCTGAGATCAATCAAGGCGTCGTCATCACCCTTCTTCTCTGTAACAATAATATTAGGATTAGAAAGCATTAAATTTTAACAATTTTTCACTTTGCTCATTGGGAAGCGAATGGAGCCTGCATAAGTATAGTATATATACACACGCGGACAGTTTTCAGCTTTGATTTTGTATGCAACCCGTTATCTATAGTATTGTTAGACATTAACAGCATGGATGCTTTTAAGTGTTGAAATTTTCTAAGGATTAGTCGTAAAATCTACACAAAGCCGCTGTAGAAGCTAGTTGGCCAACTTTATAAATTAATTTATTATCACTCACGTGCTTCATTAGTACCGGGCACTCCCATAGCAGCCCCCAGTATGGCCGAAGGAGTGACTCCCGTTGCCGCATTCCTGAAAGGAACGTAAAATAATGTTTTTTTTAATATATTGATTTAGAATAAGCGAACCTGACAGACGTCACCTATTGATAGAAATGACAGTTAGTTATTCCTTTTCCCTAAGAACCTGCTACAAAGTATTTTTTTTAAAGATGCACGAAATTCGTAAAGTCTTTTTAAAGTTATGTTGAAAGAAATAGGGATCCATTTTCATTTGCAGTTTATAACAATGTCATCATCCCATCTTGTCTCAGGGCGTCCTACACACTACGTTTACCGAGTCGTGGTCTCCACTCAAGAACTTTCCGGCTACAACTGCCGTCAATTCTGTGGCTAATGTGACCAGCCCACTGCCACTTCAGTTTGCTAATTCGGTGGGCTATGTCGGTGACTTTGGTTCTCTGTCGGATTACATCATTTCTGATGCATTACCTGTTATTAATGAACATTATAATTGAACATTACCTGTTATTAATGAACCGGGAGTGTCTCAGCAGTAGATTGTTGAGCGCGTCGTTGGCATGCAACAGTTCCGCGGTGAGAGTAGATTCCCCCGCCAATCTCCCCACTAGGTCGGCCACGCGACTTTGCATAGCTCGCAATGTATCCGCCAACTCCTAAAAACGCAAATATTTAAATAGTAAATAAATAAATAATTTCCAACAGCCACACCAATTAGCCTAACACCAAAGTAAGCACTGTAGGTTTGTGTTAGAGGTGGGTCGTCGACGTATTTTTCGTCGACGAAACGAAACCGTCCACTACCGTCCATCGACTAGTCGATCAACTAGTTGAATTGTTCGACTAGTTGACGTGATAACGGCAGGCTTTAAAGGGTTTATATCAACTACGCGGTGACTGGTCTGCGGGCGCGACGCGACGACGACGACGGGGTCTTTATTTAGTATTCGCTTTACATTATAGTCATTTAAATGTTTACAAAATAAATTACAAATTAAACTCATAACATAAACATTCAATTTAAACGAACTTTGCACTAAATTCGCATTCACGTGTCCCTTGACCTTGACCTCGCAACACACTAATTTCAATAAACAAAACTGCAACTACTTGAGGAAAACCATTATTAAAAACCCGTTCATCCTGCACTGCATCGTTTAGCCAGATCCATCGACGTACTCTGTAACGCAATATAAAAATACTCTTACCTTTTCACTTTAACAACTCTAGTTTAAAAAATGAACAAATATCAACTCCCACACCATATACTTAAGTTTCAAATTGCTTTATTTCAACGAATGAACGAACGTATGGACTTGTAACGGGTAAACCAGATACGTTTACGCGTCGTCGACGCTTTGTCAGTAGATATGAACGCTGTGGACTCTCAGTTTAGCCGTCTATGAATTCAACTAGTTAACGAATTAACTGTAGACCGTCTAAGCGTCGATTGAACGTAGACCGTCTATTTAAACCGTTCGTTAATTCAACGCCCATCGCTAGTTTGTGTTATGGGATACTAGGGTAACGGATAGAATACATATACTGATATACAATTATAAGTATATTTATATAGAAATACATGTTAAACATCCATGACTGGAGTACCAATGCTCGTATTCATCACACAAACATCTGCCCCCACCGGGATTCGAACCCAGGACCTCCCGAGTCGGTAACACCATGAAACGAGGCGTACAAACCACTCAGCCACGGAGGTCGTCAAAAACAATCAATAATATAGAATAAGTAAAAAGTTAAAAAGCTGAAGATTAAAAAGATTGATTTCCCATAAAAACTTCCATCCCCCTTTTACACCCCTTTAAATAATGATTTCTATAGTAAAAACTACTCTATGTCCTTTGCCGAGTTTTAAACTATGCATAAACCAAATTTCATCAAAACCGATTCATCGGTTTTAGCGTGCAGAGGTAACGTGAGACAGACAGATACACTTTCGCATTTATATTATTAGTATTGATTAAGCGCATCGTTGTCGTGCAACAGTTCCGCGGTGAGAGTAGATTCCCCCGCCTATCTCCCAACTAGGTCGGCCACGCGACTTTGCACAGCTCGCAATTAGGACATCGGGCCCGGGTTTACCCGGTCCGGAAAAACCCGGGTTTTCCCGGTTTTTTGGGTTCCAAAAAAAACCCGGGTTTGATTTTTAAAACCCGGGTGTTTCAGATGTTTTTGATACATTTATTTTATTATTTATCAAATATAAGACACTTTGGATGGAATAAAAACACGCTTTTATAAATTATTACGTCAAAGAAGCTTACTAGCTCCGTTATCCTACCAATGCAAATAAAATTACTAACTACAAGCGTTAGTCAAATATAAAGCGCGCACCCATCTCGTAGAAAAATCATCAGGTTTCTGTGGGATTAAACTCAAACTCTTTATTCAGTCTAGGCTGTTACAAGCTCTTGTGAAAGTCAAACGCTACGCCATTGGTTCGTAAATCTACGGCGGGAGACATTGTATTGAGAAGAATCGCCAAGAAACTCAGCAAGGGCTATTTTTTCTCCCTGTTTTGTTTCAGACAGTGTCGTCAGTTGAAAGGTGACATCAAAAATTTAAAACACGTGTTGATGTCAACTTTCATCACATTAATATTATTATTTAACAATAAGTTAATTATAGCTAGGTACTATTTTTAAATTTAAAAGTGGCGTGGTAAAAATTAAGAACGGATAAATAATGTTTTCTCTCACATTAAGCAAGTCGATATCCAAGGCGTGGTGTTGCGCAGGCGGCTGGGTAGACAGTTCTGCCAACATATCCGCCATTACCGTCATATTGCCTTCCACTACGCCCAGGTCTGCGCGCAGCTTGCTAGCCTGGCTCTCCGATAGCGTCACCTGCTACCAATAATCATTGTTCAATGTTAAGAACGACCGATCGAGAGATTAAAATAGAACTATACAGGGTGGTCAAAAGTTGTGGATTAAACGAAACAGGGAGATAAAGAAGGTAATTTCCAACAAAAAATCTTTCCTGAAAACAAAAAACCTTGACATGAAAAAAACGACCGTAAAACTAAAGGTCACACAGTAAAGTGCCTCATTTGAATCAGCATTAAAATGGTGCTCTTAAAGTGAGAAGTAAGTTTTTGTACCGCTTCAAAGTTTACGAAAAAAAAATTGCTCATTAAATTTGATACTAAAGTGCTCTAATACATTTTTTGTAGTATTGATACATTATCCAGTCATAATACAACATCTTTTGTTTTATTGTTTTTAATCAATTGATTTTTTATTTGATGAAATTGTAAAAAAACTAGGTAGTTTCATTGAAAAAAAAACAAAAAATTTCATAACTTTTAGTGTGATAAAGTTATGGCCATGCTGGAGTTTTTTTTTTGTTGGAATTTACCTCCTTTATCGTCCTGTTTCGTTTGATCCACGATTTTTTGACCTGTATATAATACTATTAGAAAATATTTCACACACAAAATACTATACAACCACACAATTCCTATGATAATAATAATTAATTCCATGTGTAAAGAAATGATTATAATGTCTTAAAAAACCTTTTACCAAAAGTAAATACCAATTTCATAAAAACCAAATCACTAAAAAGAAGGAAATAATGTGTTTTGAGTATGATTCTGAAATGATGCCCTAAACTTAAAATATTTGGAGTTGGTGTCATGTCAACTCAAGCAGTATGAGGCAACTCAGATCTATTAGATAGGCATGGCACAAAACAATGCTTGTTTTGACCTAATAATGTCTAATGAGGAAACGTAGCACATTCGCCCGGATATTGAAGGACGCTAAGCTTAGCGCACATTGTGTCGGGCCGCAGTGGAGCGGAACGGGACGCAGCGCAGCGAAAAATGCTTACTTAGCACATTAGGCCGTATAAAGAAAGAAAGCCTGAAGCCGACCAGCGCTGACGGTAACAGTTACATAAAGGAAGCAGATTGAAGCCTAGTTGTTTATTAATTTCAAAGGGCGGTGCCAGCGCTGACCAGCGCGTGTCGGCGCCCTCCGGCGCCGGTAATCGGTAAGGACCATCGCTGATAAGCGCTGGTCGGCATCCAGCTTTCTTTTTGTATACGTGCTTAGTGTCGGGCCGTGTCGCCGCGCATTGACGGATTTTAGGTACTCCCGCCGTGGGGAGATGCCAATAGGACTGCCCTTTACAATAAAAGTATATTTGGTATGGCACCACGACTGTATGTTTATTTATGGTACTACTAAATCTTTGCAACTTGAAAGAAAACATACAGATAAAACATAAGACAAGCCACAATAAACTTGTAATACTGATTTTTTTTTTCACTGATTACTGGACCTATTCAAGTTGCAATGGACTTAAGAAAAATTTAAAAGAAATAAGCAACAATCTGAATCTGTTCCGTAACAACTTCATAAAATATTAACAAATTCGCCCTAACTGCACTCATAAAAAAGACATTAAAATTGTTCGATCACAATAATAGTACCTACATGATTTTTTTGATCTAATAACATAACAAATTAAACTGGTTTTCTAGAAAAAAAACCCGACGCACCATAATGTTTTACATATCTACGTAATACTGTTTAAGTTCGGTTGACTGATATCGCTGGTGTAAACGATTATGCGATCTCACATTAAGAAACGCGTTGACCGAAACGATGTTAATATCTTTAATGAGAAACCTTTTAAATATTTAAAGAAGACCTACATTTTCTATTCATTAGAAACATAGTAGAGTTTCTAGAGAAGGATTCGTAATATTCAAAACAAAATATATAAGAAAAGAAAGAACAAGTAAATTCCACTAGTTAATATATAAATAATAGTTAATATCTAAACGAAAGCTTGCTAATTTTGCGCTTATTTTATTTCAAGATTCTTGTATTTTAAAATTACCCTAAAATAGTGTACAAAAGTTTAATACATATGTATATAATGAGTATTTCGCAAAAACATGTTTAATGTAGCAAGTTTTTACAAAACTACAATTAGAGAGAGGACATAATCATTTTATTAAACCAGAATGCTTATTTAAGAAAAAGATAGAAACCTGACGCCGTAGCACGAATTTTGACAGCTCCGTAATCGTATCGTCATCGTGAAATTTTGTATGGAAGGAGCCAGGTTGTTCTTACGTCCGGTACGGGCGCTGCTTAGTTTACATAGAAACTTTGACGATATAATTAAGGAGCTGTCTAAATTAGTTTTTTGCCTCTGAAAATATTTATAAAACACATTGAGAGAATAGATTTTGTGAGAAAGAGAAAGCTTGAGAGTGAGGTAAGGCTGATCTACTCAAAGCGGCGAGGAGCTCGATGGCGCGGGTGGTTAGGGCGTTTGGTTGTGATCGTTAAGCAACATTCGCAGTGGTCGGTCATTGGATGGGTGACCAAAAATTTTCTATCGAGTTCCTCCGTGCTTCGGAAGGCACGTTAAGCCGTTGGTCCCGCATGCATCAGCAGTCGTTAGCACCCGCCAATCCGCACTGGGCCCGCGTGGTGGGTCATGGCCCAATCTCCCTATTCCATCCATAGGGAAGGCCTGTGCCCCAACAGTGGGGACATTACTAGGCTGATGATATTGACTTACAGCGACAGGGGGTTGTTCGTTATTGGGGCGAGTCGGCGAGCCGGGTGGGATCACAGCGCGCTGTGGGGAACCTGCCAAGGTGGGTTCCGAACCATCTGGAACACTCTGTGGATAGTAAAGAACAAATGAAAACTGGTGTGGTATTATGAAACCACAATGCAAGTGAAACTTTTAGAATCATTATTAAAAAAGTACTTCCTCGGCTGGGATTCGAAGCCTATTAGCCTAGCCCCAAAGTAAGCACTGTAAGGCTTGTGTTATGGGATACTAGGATGATGGATAGAACACAGATACTAATACATATATAAGTATGTTTCATCCAGAAATATATATAAACATCCATGACTTAGGCATAAATGCTAGTATTCTTCATACTAACATTTGCCCCCATCGGAATTCGAGCCCGAGACTCTGAGTAGGCGACATCTTGAAACCCGGCGCGTACATACCACCTGGCCACGGAGGTAATAAAAGTTTTAGTTTAATTATCTGTAAGGTTAAAAACAAGGATGTTTATTAAAATCTGGTGCCCGGGCCACTTACGATTTGCAAATTATTAGAAACTAGCTGTGCCCCGCGGTGTTACCCGCGGTTTATTAGGGATATTTTCCTGCAGTAAAACGTAGCCTATGTGTTAATCCAGGGTGTCAACTAACTCCATACCTATTAAAATCGCTCCAGCCGTTTAGACGTGAAGAAATTACAAACATACACACTCACATACGCACAACCTTTCGCCTTTTTATTATTAGTGATATTACCCTTTGCGGTGTGAATATAGGTGCCATTGCGTCCAAGTCGGTCATGGGGAATTCCACGCCTTTCGTTCGCAGTTCGTTGTAAATTTGTACGACGCCCTGAAATTATTTTAAAAATTAACACAATTGGAAATCGTTGCTCAATAATTAATGATTCGCTCGAGAAGCTAGTCAGCTAAATTTTGCTTTTATATGTTGGTGACAGACACCAAAATCACCTGAAGTGTTTAGTGCTTTGCTCTGTCAGTCGTTGGTACTTCATTTAACTGAATAATTGTAATTTATTGTTTTTTGTAGATTGAAAATCTCTAGATAAAAGCAGGTCATATAATAAAAACATTGAAAAATTGTTTTCATTTGTGTAGAGATAAAAAAACTACCGTATTTTTACATTTATCTCAGTAAAAAAAAAGGAATTCTGTAATGATTCTAATCAGTGAATAGTGGTAAGGTACTACACTAAAGATAATTTTTAGTCTTCATCCTAATAGGTCTCTTACACGTGTTAAAAGGATTGATAAAAAAAACTTTAATTTTTAAAGGCCTCTTCAATATTGTACATATATTGTTTTTGTGCATGTGTTTTGTCAATGGTAAATCATACTAAAATAAACATTTTCAGTGTTTTTCTCTTATTTAATTTAAAATATGTTTAATAATATTCAAATTATGATGAGGAGTAAATAATGGCATAGATAAAGTCTACACGTCGTTAAAACGGTCATTGACTATATGATTAAATAATCAAAACACAGATCTAATTACAAATTTACAATACAGAAGAAGTAGCACAATATCAGTGTGTATCAAGTTACAATAGTGTTTTATCAAAAGCTTATCGAAAATCCTCAACAATACACTCGCAAATGACTAATGCCATAAATTTATAAAAAAGGTAAAGTACCGATTTAGTCCAAAAAACATAAGGCAAGTGTTACAAATGTTACGAAGGGTCGGCTTGATTGCCTAAATCTAAAACTATATATCTTAATTTGACTGAACAGTTGATTTAGTTAGATAGTAGTATATCGTGCGTGAAGTATAAAGAATGTAAAAGAGATACTGTCATCAAACTAGTTTGAAGTTAAGAAAATTTTATCCGAATCAGGGGGCCAATCGCCTAACGGAAATGCTTTGGGAAACGCTAACGCTTACGATTTTATATTGTTATTTCTAGCCGCCTGAGGTTTTCGAATACCTCACGCTCATTTTTTTTAATATTGTTATTACCAATGCAAAAGAAAAAGAAAGAGCGCGAGGTATTTGAATACCTCAGGCGGCTAGAAATAACAAAATAAAATCGTAAGCGTTAGCGTTTTCCAAAGCAATTCCGTTAGGCGATTGGCTCCCAGGGCTGCTGTACCTATGCTATGGTTTACAGCCAATCGGAGCTGCGGTTTTAACATTATATGGAGTATTTCGATCTGTATGCAAAAACCAGCCAAGTGCGAGTCGGAATAGCATAATATAAAAACGAAGGGTTCAGTTCCATAGCACATAAAACAAAATTTTCTATAATTATATCCTTTTAAAACATTGAAGTGCATGCTTCTTATCATTAGCATATTTTTACAGAATATAAATCAAATACATCGATGTACGTAATCAGTTATGAACTTAAAAGTATGCTAAGTGAATATTATAAGTATTATCAAAATTAGGGCCAAATAAAATTTGTTGAAAATACGTGCTAGTCTGTAATTATATATGTGCTAAAGAATTTACTGCTTATTATGTATGTAGGTACGTTCTTCTATTTTTTGCTTTGTATTTTTTTTTAATCTTATAAATATTGTGAATTACCTGCAATTCTTGCTGATTCTGAAAGGCATCCGCCCAACATTGGATAAGACTCAATACCTTCTCTTGAACGACTGTAGGAGGATCATTTTTTGGACCAATAAGTTTTACCTGTGAAAAATATTATGTTTAACATTAAGTTATAACAGCCACAACCTCAATTGAAACAATGGTCCCATATTTCTCTATGAATCATGGCTGACGCAAGACAAGATCGTGGAAATGCTAAGTTTGTTTGTAATAAGAAAAAAGAAATATTGCTTGTGTATATTTTGGAATATATATAGATACTATGATATTATTTCTTTATCTCGATATCAGCACTGACGGTGTCGTTATTTTCTGATAAATGTTTAAGACCTTTTCACTATCCTGATTAACAATCTGTATACGAAGATGAAAATATTTGCAACAAATAAAATGTACGAAGTTAGACGTTTAAGGTCGCGCGGCGTCCACACTTGGCTGACGAGCAAACTCAGGAGGACGCCGCGTTGTCAACCAGTTAACGTCAGGGGGCCAATCGCCTAACTGGATTGCTTTGGAAAACGCTATCGCTTACGATTTCATTTTGTTATTTCTAGCCGCCTGAGGTTTTCAAATGCCTCGCGCTCTTTTTTTTTCTTTTGCATTGGTAATAACAATGTTAAAGAAAATGAGCGTGAGGTATTTGAAAACCTTCGGTGGTTAGAAATAACAAAATGAATTCGTAAGCGATAGCGTTTTCCAAAGCAATCTGGTTAGGCGATTGGCCCACTGGTGGTCAACGGGTGAACGCCGCGCCACCGCGTAGTTGACTGCGCGTTGTCAGCGAAAATAAGTAGTGTGTTAGAGATCATCACTAGCTTTACGCATGTGTTTTCACAATATTTGATTTAAACCGTGACTGGCTGAATTGGCTCTAATTGCTATTAGGCTTCATGAAAAGCATTCTCAACTCGCAGACCACGCGCGGTCCACTCAAGAGCAGCGCGTTTACAACCAGCGGCCAGCACACGGCAAGCGTGCGAGCAGCGGGTGGTCATCGAGTTGTACACCCACTGCCCGCACGCGCTTTTTGCGAGCGAGGCGATCCAGTGACAGTACGGATTTGATGTAATGAGCCTATAGGCTCATAGGTATGGATTTCTATGAATATCAACCACACGAATTGAGGCCGTGTTGGTCCGGTGCGGGATGGGTTTAATTGAATGAGTTGTCACCTTTATCGTGCGGGTGCTAGACGTAAAAGGCCTTTTAGATTACACAATTTTAAGCGACACAGCGAGTGGTGTAATAAGAGTTCTGCGATCTGCGCGTCCCGATCTCCCTTACTCCCTAACAATCGGACAATGAAATAGCTGTTAGGCAGTAAGGGTACTCAGTCGACGCACAGTGGGCGGAAACGATCAAAACTACGCGCGAGGCAGTAAATCTAATCCAAATGATTTTTTTTAAATACTCGTAATTAGGTCTGCTTTCTTGTAGCACTGCGAAAATTCACTTTTTTAGGGGTAGAAACCACCCCTGTCAACCCCTAAGCAGGCTAAACCATGAGATTCTGGGTAAAACAAGTTCAATCAACTACATATTTATAAGGAAATATATATTTTAGGCTAGCCTATCTGTGTATAAAATATATATTTCCTTATTACATAAATATAAATATGTAGTTGATCGAATTTATGAAGTAAGTGATTACGAAGATGCAATAACAGTGTGACAATATCAACCAATTAGTATACTAACTGTAGTTACTAAATGCCATGTTCACTAATGAAATGAATTCTAGTACAATTTAAAATAAATGTTTTTTTTCATTTATCCATACTGACAGGCAGGTTGATTAAAACCAATACAAATACTAATAAAAAAAACACTTCTACACAATAAACAGGAAGTAGATACATAGATGAATCATTAAAATAATCTTAATCAAATGGATAAACAACTTTGACAAAACTTGTTTGTATGATGCAAGTTTATTTAAAATAATCTATATTCAGGTTGCTACCTTAAGGCCATATTAAAATTATGAGTACCAATCATGTTACCAATATTGTTTGTTGTTTTAGTTTATGGATAAATTCAAGTAAAATACAAATCTAGAAATATTTTTTTTTAAATGGGTTAATGTTGAATAATTATATAAGAAGGATAGATAATTTAGACAGTACCTATTCCTTTACTTCATTTGTATCAGTAAAATGCTAGTATATTATTGAGTCTTTGAATAAAGCACCCATCCAAACAAACAAATTTCATACATTTAAATAAAACCTGATATATAAACACCACTTTTCTGCACTGCGAATTATAATAAAATATTCAATACAGATAGAATGGGATAGTAAGAACTTTAATTTATTATTGTAGCAAAAGAATGTACCAATATCAAATATAGATTTTTCTTAAAATTCAGAATACAAAATAATTATAATATATGAAACAAGTAGTTTTACAATATAAATTATTTGCTTTTGACTAAGACAATGACAATGATGGCTTATCAGATAAAACAACTGTAGATATGTTTTTCAACGTTCATTGACTTGATCCCTGTATTTGATAATACAATTAACCCTTTGTATTTTTTTAAATACAAATACATAAAAATATGTATAAAATCACATCTGAACATTCAGGCATGGATTTAGAAATAAGGCTCTCTGGTCCAAAGAATGTTGTGACACAAAATGTTGTCACACAAAATGTTGTCTTAATATTTTTTGGAATTTAAGTTACCTACTACTTGAATAAATCACTTACCAGTTCAGATATAAACTCTTTATTGCACACTAGGACATGGAATGCTCTGCCACAATTTTTCACACAGGTTTCAAGCACTGTCAAGGTATACATGACCACTGTGTAGTTTTTACCTGCACTTTGGGTCAATCTTTTTCTAATAGCTTTAATTGCATCTTTAGGAGCATCTGCTGTGCTGTTAATAATATCACAAATTTCCATGTTGAGAGCCCAATTTTCAGATGGCAGTAATCCATCTGTAGCTTGTTCTGGAAAATATTGATAATCAGGAGGTCAAATTACAATAGGTTTTTTTTCGTATGAAATTCATGATTTACTGTTCAAAAACACAAACTTTCTAAAAAGCATTTCAAAAATAACTTAACATCACTGAGAGAAAGAGAAACTTACATTTTATTGTGCATAAAATTGCTTTATTCATTTGACAAGGAAAGTGTATTGCTAATAGTTTATATGATCTAATTTGTTTGTTAACTAACTTACCAATTTTTTGACCTACTGGTGTAGAAAAGGGGTTTCCTACCCCGAAGAAAGACATTTTTAGAAAATTAATCAAATAATTACGAAAAAGATTTCACCGATTTCACTTGTCACCACACAAAACCACATAAAACGAAATCACGAAATCCACAGATGTTACAGAAAAAAAAATGTCATCACATTGTCAACATCATTGGACGAAGGATTTCAAAGACCAACACACATACGGCAATAAAATCTATGCAAACAAAGTAATTTTAGAGATAAAGAAATCTATTAGATAATATTATTACTAAACTTTACGTACGTACGTTAGGTACTTAAATTACCTTTATTAACAGTGCAGAATTTATATATAATATTAATGATTCTAAAATGTGTATAGCTTACTTACTTAGCACGGAACGTAAGAAAAGCGGAAATGACATTTTTTGGAAAAGCAGCGCGAAATCCAAACTTGTATTTGCTGCTTTGTTTGTTGTTTTTGGTTGCTTGGCAAATGTTTTCAATTTTACTAGATAATAGTTTTGTGTAACGGATATACAATGAAATTAATGTAAGTCTAGGAATCTTAATTTTCAATTTTAAGTCAATTGTCAATTTTATTTAACTAAAATTCAAAATATTGATGTGCATACAATTAAAGTGTAAAGTAGATAATAAACAAATAATGTTGTCGCCTAGCAACTTTCACCATTCTGTCAATAAATTTGATAAAATAAATAACATTATTCGTCGATCAATTAATTTCTAAAATTGATTTTAAACAGAAAAAGTAATCACTAGACTTTTATTCATAATGACGGAAAAGAAATCGCTGAACAGTCTTATAATTCATCCAGATATTGAACCTGGTGTTATAGACAATGAAATGCTTACACGTTGCATTTTAGAATACGGTATGTATTCTTTAATGAAATAAATATAGTGGTACTTAGGTACTTATTTACTTCATACCATGATATCCCTTGGTTTTAGATGGTTGGTAGAGTATCGTACCTCATTTTCACAACCCTTTTGATATTGGTACCTATCCACCGTCTGCCTTAGTTTCCGAAACCATTAGATTATAGAATCTGTATGGAAAAAAATTATAGTTTCGGTCGGGACCTTGCCAATTGGTCGTATTAACCGACACGTCGTTATATTCGGTTTTGACTGTACTTATATTGTAAATGATGAGGCATTATGCTTAAGAATCTTCGTAGGTCCAAAGGAGGAGGCAGGTCGGCTGTTTGCAGAAGAAGGTGTCCATTTAGATGAAGCCCCTATAGTACGGCTTGAGTTTCAGAATATCCTAAGAATAGACCATCTATGGATGCTTAAGTCACTAACAAAATTAACTCTAGCACATAATTTAATAGAGAAAATTGAAAACTTAGACCAGCTCACTGGGTTAAATGAACTAGATCTATCGTTTAACAAAATCGAAAAGATTGAAAACCTCGATGCTCTGGTGAATCTTGAAGTTCTCACTCTATTCCATAATAAAATAAGGAAGTTGGAAAATATGGAAACTTTAGAGAAACTACTCGTTTTTAGCATTGGAGATAATTTAATAGAAGATTATAAAGAGGTAAGATTAAAATTGATTTTATGTTTCTAAAGTCACGAGTTTAAGGAATCTAATCTGCATTCGGTAGTTATAAGGTCCATTGCGTTAATGGGTTGTATATTTTTAAACCCAACAATTCCCATTTTAGTACTTCTTTTCACGTAATCTGACCAATGTCTAGGTAAGAAAACTAGTAGTAGATTTTGAAACATGCACTCTGACTGCCAATGCCATAGAGGTATTATGAAGGGAAGGCAGAAGTAACTTTATGGTTATAGTTCAATAGAGCCACACTGCCCGACCCGAATCACTTCACCTGGTGAACCTATTCCACATATGTTTTCTATGGACGTTTATAACGACCTCCTTGGCCAAATGGTATGTGGCTACCTCCATGGCCAAGTGGTATGTGAAGACCTCCGTGGCCGAGTAGTATATACGCCGCGCCGGGTTTTGAGGTGTCGGTTACTCAGAGGTCCGAGGTTCGAATCCCGGTGTGGTAGGTAAATGTTTGTATGATGAATACGAGCTTATAATTACTTAAGTCATAGATGTTTAATTATATATTGTACCAGTCTATGCATTCTGTCCGTTACCCTAATATCATATTACAAGCCATCACTTTAGAGCAAGGGAAATTAGTGTGATTTAAAAAAAACATGCGCTAACTTATTAACAGCTGAACTGCTGATCGACTCGCTCGCAAGTTAACCACGAAAGTTATTAGGCAGTGTTAACTCTCTCTTGTCTCAAAAGTCGAGGCGGTCGGGTATCGGTGACTCTAATAAGCGATGTCTCTATGACGCGATACTCGTATGTATGCGACAAATCAAAATGTGTCCTCTCCAGATGTCTTATTTGCGGAGGTTTCGTAAACTCCGCTCGGTGAGTTTCAAAGGGAATCCTTGCTGCGACGACCCAATGACGTATCAGTTTTTAAAGTCTGCGCTCACTCGAGTAACCTACCTCGACTTTAAGATCGTCACTGAAGAAGAAAGGGAGGACGGGAGAGCCCTGTTCAGGTAAAGCTCGTAATTGCTCTTACTTACCGAATCTACAAACTTACTTAAGCCTGTTGTGAAATAAGCTTGGATCTGTTATTTTGTTAACATCACTCAAATGACGTTTTTGTAATTCGATGGACAGAGAGAAAGCTCTGTAAACATTGTAATTCAAGCTTTCGTGTGTTTCTATTTAGCGGGGCCATTCGAGCTAGACTTAAAATAGTAGTGGTAATGCTTTGCTTGTTCAACCTCATGAATTTATTAACATGGTTCAATGTACCTCAACCGTTTTGATAAAAATTACGATAAATCGCCTTATCCATCCAGCGGGGCCCTCGGCTGTATTACACTCGGAGTACTTAAAAATAACACTGATCGTAGCTTGTCCCAATGTAGATACCTCTCGATTCACACGACGTATTAACCCTAACGGATCTTTTTAGAAGAGAAAAAATTCAACAGGAACGTTTTGTCTATCCAGCAGGGCCCTTTGTATTTTGAATGATTACGAGCAGAAAAAGCACACTATTATTATGGATCACCAATGTACCTAACTATTATTCACGGTTTACCAACTTTTTCCAGGCTATTCTGTTCTAATTTATATCATCAATATTCTATATTGTATTAATATAGAATATTGACTTGACTAGGTACTTATTGCGCTGAAAATTATAATAGAAAAGCCACGAAAAAGTATGTAAACCGTGAATAATAATTGTCAGGTACATTAGTAATAATGTGCATTTTCCGCTCAACATCATCAGCCTACTAATGTGGGGACATTAGTAGGCTGATGATGATGAGATAAATAATATTTTATAAATACTTTACTACCCAAACCATTACTGGTGACTTTATTTCTGCTGGCGTATTATATTCCATTTCGCAAAATAAAAGTAAGTTCCATATTTTTAGAGGATTGCTTCGAAAGCTCGATGAATCCGACGAGAAGTCGGAAAAAGAAAGACTCGCCAAAGAGGAATACGAAGCGCGTGTGGAGTTCTACGCGTTATCCTTTGTGGAGTACTTGAGTGGACCGGAGCTGCTGGAGTCCATGTTTGAGAAGGACCCTGACGGCACACTACTGCTTCAAATTGGAGGCGAGCTCATAGGTTTTTACGAACAGTAAATATCCCAAAACCGGTTTCAAATAGAGATTGCTATTACAGAAACGAAAACTACAGAATTTTATAGTTACTTGTGAAAGTCTGATTTCAAAAATGTAAATAAAGTGGCAATGTGATAACATATTAGTTACCTCTTCCCAGTTAAGAAATTTTGATATATGGCTATCTGAAGTAGCTATAATAATATACCTACATATGTGCAATAAGGAAAATACAAGATTATATACGCTTTTACTGAACTGGAATAAACAAAATCTTTCCAATAAATTTATCTTAAACTGCTTTGCATTATTTCAAGGTATAAGGAGCAATATGTAGAGACGATGGCCGGTTTGGTTGAATTCGCTCAAGAAGCCTACAATGATCGCCAAAACGAAATCAAATTGTTTAACGACCTCGTCCTGAACGCCCTAGAAGACAGTGTTAAGAAAAGCAAACAGTGAGTTAATTTGCCAAAGATCTAAAAGACAATAATTTCATGGCTTCCGCCACTACTACGGAGTCTACTGATTTGGGTCTTGTGCTTGTGTTTCTGATAGTGGTACGAGAAAGTAGATTTTACATATACACAATAACTCCTAGTTAGTTAGTTCTTCAGGGCGGTTTCCGCACTTAGTCCTAATTATTGGACCATTGTGCATTAACATAATAACTCCTAATGCTTACATATTTCCAGGGTCGTAGAAAACTTCGAGGAAAAGAAAAAGCCATTGGTAGATAAAATGAACGAGCTAATCCAGAAGTTCACAACGAAGCAAGCTACAATAGAGCTGCTGGAACCAGCGATTGTAGATCTCGGAGACGCCTTCAACGATGTGCTCTACGAACTCTGGAAAAGTCTCATGACCATAGAAATGCAACTTTATGAGCAGTGTGAGGTATAAACGAATAACAAAATGATATGATATTCCACCTATTACGGGCTGTACATTATTTTTTCACTCTAGAGTTACAATCACCCACTATTTAGCTTAACATTTTTTTTATATGTACCTTGCACACCTTCCTTTCCCCGATTATGGACTGTCTGCATCCAGTTTTTGCCCGTGACTTTGTTATATTAATATTGCCATTCTTAAAGTCATGCGATGCGGTCAGCATTACTTCCTTGTATCGCAAGAGTCCAGAAGCTACCACTCGGAGTGCTACAAATTAGTTTGGCACCTGTTTGAAACTGCGATGCCTACTTCAGCGTTAAAAACATGAGAAATACTTAAGAAAAGTCTTATTTGCAGGAATCTCGTGTACAGTTTGCGGTGAACATGACAGAAATGATCACGAAACTTCTGGAAGTTTCTCGTAATTCGTTCGGCGCATGGCGGGAGAACGAGGGTGTTTGGTCGATGCGACAGTTCGAAACGTTGTCCAAATTGCTCGGAAACAAAATCTTGCTGGGAGACGCACCACCTGAACTATTTGAGGTTTGATTTTTATAAAAAAAACTAGGGACAATGCTGGCTCTATCTTTGAATTCAACATTCAGTGAATATAACCGAGATGATCACGAAACTTCTGGAAGAGTCTCGCATGGTCAATGCGGCAATTCAAACGATTTCATCTTTTTTTTTGTTTTCATATACTTTCTTGACGGTTGTACCTAACTAACCATCTACTACTAATAAACATCAGAAAATTTGCAATGCATTCAGGTAATGATGGACAGGGATATGATGATGAATCTGGTGGCGCAGTCGTCGGACAACCACATGCGGTTCATCGACGCTAGGGAGGATCTGCTCATGACTAGAGCGAATAAATGGCGAGATGACCTCATTCAGGGAGCTAATGAGTAAGTGCTTAACTTCTTTTGCATGGCTTTAAAATCACATACATTCATGATACATTTGGTGAAACATCGTGAGACAGCATAAGAGTTAGCCATTAATTATTATCATAGTTAACATGAATCTAAATATGACTTACCTAATTGTTAAAATATTGTAACGCATTTCACACGAATTCTATTTTTTACGTTATAATCCAGAAACAATATCGATAGTACCTATGCCTTTGCCGTAAATACGTGTACGTTTTACTATCTGTGTGGGGAAGTTAACTGACGCGATTTATGTAGGTATTTCTTTCATCCATCATGTGGAAGTAAAGTTCAAAATAGATTGATTTTACAATTTTCGGAAACGTCATAATAATCATAATCACCCTATTAATCTCCGTCTGCTAGAGCACAGACCTTCCAGTGATAGTATGTTTATGGTCACCCATCCAATGACCAGCCATCGCGAAAGTTGCTTAACTTCCACGATCACAAGCTAACGCATTAACCACCTGTGCCATTGAGCTCCTTCGGTGCAGGTGCAGGACTAAATTACATTACAATTTGAATTCCAGCAACGAGATCAAACGCAACAGAGACAGGGTATTGGAGATAAACTACTTCATAGACAATCAGCGGGAGGAGTGGACGGATATGCAGATGGGGCTCACGGAGACTGTAGACCCTGAAACCGCGGCCTTGTTTGGGGATGATTTCTGATTTCATATAAACCTTTTACAATGGTAGATAAGTACTAAGTCATTTTAATATGGGTCAGAGAAGACTTCTCATTCCTTATAAATCTTTGACAACGTAAGTATTTTACTTAGTATTTTTTTAGTTATTTAATTGTATATATTTTTTCTCATGATTCAATAAACAATTGATCACTTTAAAAAGTTTTTAATCTATTAAAATATCATTTTATCAAACCTATATTGTATTATACAATTCCTAAGTTGACTCAATAATCATGTAGGTATTCATACTCATATTCTTATTAATATATTTCTTTGTGAAATAGGAATAATCATGTTCCTACGAGTGATCCTTGGGGCATTCCGATTTTGCTAAGAAACGCTGAAAAAAAATCCAGCTATGCGGTTGTGGAAATAGTAAAAAAAAGCGAATTGCTTTCATTAAAACTTCTGAGGGAAATGTATTTGTGGCTTGTGGAGAGGGATTAAATCATATTCCAAATTTTCAAATACACGGTTTATTGTAGAGGTTATATAAAACATTAAACTCTTTTACAAACATCTCAATTTCTCTCTCTTCCCAATTTTTTACATAAAATATTCAATTAATAATATGTCATAAACTGTCATACATTAAAAATGTAAAATTGTATAAATTCGGACTAACTAACTGTATATTATCTCATATATGTACCTACTTGAATACTGGCAGGTCTTACATTTTCTCTTATTGATTCTATATTAACACAGATTAAGATTTGTGTATAAAGTGTTTTATAGGATAATAATACCTTTGATTATTTACTCCTTATATAGAGCGTCACCTTTTTTTTATAGATAGGTCCGACCAATGACTCCACCCCACATGATGTTAAGTGAAGGTGAAGTCCAGACGCGAAGATAGATTAGATAAGATCCACCTAGTAAACACTGCCATCAAAAGAGGCCAGGGGGCCAATCGCCTAATGAGATTGCTATGGCTTACGATTCAATTTCTTATGAAGGTTTTGAAATGCTTCGCGCTCGTTTTTTTTTCTTTTGCATTGTTGGTAATAACAAAATTAATGAAAATGAGCGTAAGGTAAATTAAATCGTATGCGCTAGCGATAACCATAGCAATGCCGTTAGGCAAACTACCCCCAGGTTTTATATACTTGTGTGCGTGACACGCAAAACAAAACACTTGAATCTTGTATCCTTACATTTGTCATTCTTTGTGTCTCGGTGAACATGCGTATATTTATTACGATTGTTTGTTAGCAGAGGTCACATTCTCCAAAAATGGGTAAACTTAATGAAATCAAAATTAATATAAATTAGTGTGAACAAACACAATTAAATCATAGACGTTGAAACATCTGTAAAACGTTACAGTTTATACTTGGATATATATATTTACAAATTTTTATTTACTTTAACCAGTTTATAATGGAAATAACAGTCATGATAATAGAGAACAATTGGTCTTTTTTTTTAATTATGATCATGTATTCCCTGAATTTAGTAGTTTAATATTATTTATTTAAATTTTTACATATTATTCATGCCTCTCTGATGCAAAGATTTTGTTTTACAATCTTGTAAACTTTATGACTTTAAAATATAATTTTAATGGTGTAATTCTTCATACACATAAATAGGAAATAAAAGCAAGTCATGTCATACCTTGTTATATTTTAATTTTTAAGTAAGCATTTAACTGTGAGATCTAAAAATCTAAAGAAAATTTTAATAGAAAAAAATCCACACCATGTGTGTATAATATATATAATAATAGAAATGACACACTGACATCACTCTGAAAATGTCAAGATGGAGTCGATTTATTTTTAACTAATATAATGTTAGTTTTATTTTTTTAAGGTGAATAATGAGTTACTTATCGTTGGTAAGTGACTTTGTTGGTTGTTTTTATGCGTCCTTTATAATTTCGGCAAACTTTTATCGCGCAACTCGGCATTTTTAAGCAATAATTTCAACACGAAACTCGGTAATTGACGTGCGTATCGCTCAGCGTTGCATTGAACACTAAGTGACGGGAAACGACTTAAACCCCAACAGGTGGGAGATATAATTTTTCAACGCATCTGTGCTGCCACGCTCTATCTAGGGAGTAAATAATCAAAGGATAATACCATGAACGATTCTGTACGATACTATTTCAACGCAATGTTACATGCGATATCGACATACAAAATGGTAAGCGTTTTGTGCTTAAAATACTCTTAAATATGAAAAAGATACTTCCCTTACCAGGTAACAAAATTTCCATAAAATCTCTTCAGGACAACTCAGAACAAACATTACTAATTATACTATTAAAAATATAGTTGATAATTTACTTTGCAGCCTTTTGCTTCAGCATCATCATGTACATTTCTAAAGACTGTTGTACAGCAGGAGTATTTACAAATTGTAGGAACTCGTTTAAATCCTTCTGTCGATTATTGTTGAGCCACTCGAGAGCGGCGGATCGTACTCTCTGCTTGGTAAAGGCTCTTGCTAAAGGCGGGATTTTGTCGAATTTCTCTATGAACTGTTTACACTTAGCAATAGCGTCGTCTTTACCCGATGCCGTTTCATCTATGAGGCCCACCTAAAATAATAAGGTGTTCATAAATATTTTGTAGTTTAAGCTAGATATAATGTTGATTTACAGATTACAGTAGGAATTTATTGTTAGGCCGCAAACTGGACGACAGAGGCGAGCGGGGCAAAGGCGGTAGAGGCGACTTAGTTTAGTAAGCATATAATTAGTGATGTGCAGTATTATATACTTAGTCTAGCCATAAACACTGTTTCAAAAAAGAAATGGGTGTGGTGTAATGAAACCACTATGTAGTAAAAATTTTAAAGTGCTTTAAATTATTGCCTCACAAATTTTTCGGATCTTTTTAATCCTATCCTTCGTTTTTAATCCTAACTTAATAATTGGAAAATGGGAATAATAATACGAAAACAATAGTAGTCAAGTTATCCAATTAGGCATATTGCTTTATAAGCATCCACTTTAGGCAAACTGTTTGTTAGTCATTGTCCCATTTTCAGCATTCTGCTTCGGTGGCAATACGCGTTTAAGTCGAACAGTTTTCTATACGAAATGTCCATTGAGGTATAAAGCCTTCATTGTCGTCCAGCATTTTTTTAAGCAACTCGATCAAAAGATAATGAATGATCGTTACAATATAAATAACAGGAATTTCTTTATAACAATACTAGCTGTCCCAGCGAACTTCGTACCGCCATAAAAAAAATTGTGAATCTAAACCATTCTCAGATCCCCTTGAACACACACAAAAAATTTCATCAAAATCGGTCCAGTCGTTTAAGAGAAGTTCAGTGACATACACACTCACAGAAGAATTGTATATATAAAGATATATAGCAAGACTAGGTAGAGTAAGAGATTTCAAGAGCAGGGGGCGTGCGCTGGCAGAGAGACAAATTATGGTATTGTAATAGTCACAGAAAAATTATTGACTTAAATATAGTGCGTGTTATTTGGTCGCAGCAGCGTCGTGTTCAGTCGCCCTATTCGCTAACTTTTTTGACATTTACAGTGTGTAACTAAAGAGAAAATTGCATATCCATTGATGCTTTTAGAACAAGTATCTTAGTGGCGTTATAATAAAGGAGTAGTGGATCACTAAATAGCTCGGTGATTATCACTACCATCTGTCAAATGTAGTTAGCCAATAGGCCTACTGGTCATAGGGTAGCGTGTGGAGATCTCTCCCTAGTTATGACTATGCTGAGCAGTGAAAGGTCTTGGGGCACGGTGGTCTCCTTTTTGAATAGGTTATCTCGCAGAAGGAGGCCGCTGGAAGGGTTCGTAAAGAGCTCACTAAAAGGGGTAACAACCGGCTTTTAGGCAACGCCGACGGAGGCCAGCGGGGCCTGCTCTTGGGAGGACAGAGCCCTGCAGTGCGCAGGCCTTTGTCGTTAGGTGGCCTCCGATACCTCGGGGCATCCCCAGGTTAAGTGGGTCCGTTCGATTCGGACACCCACTGGTGAGGTCGCAGAAGTATCTTTACGGGTTCCCGTGGCCTCACCCAGTGCCTTAGCCTCGCCGGACCGCCTGATGGTGGATCTTTCACCCAAAGAGATGACGGCCCATCGGTGAGGTGAATGGCATCGTCAGGTTTTTAGTGGGTAGGGCCCCCTGAGCAGCCGTTGAGCCAGTCTTCGGACTGACTGAGCGGGGGAGCCGGGAGGAGGAGTCCCTAACATACGAAGACTAATTTCTCCCTGAGGGTCGCGCGGTTGGAGTCTCGCCATGACGTGAGTTTTAATGCATTTGTAGTGAGAGTGCTGATTGAACAACTGGCGACCTTTTTGACATAGGAGCTTTGGCCAAAAAGTGTGGTGTTCCGGCGGTTCAAAGGCAGGCTACCTGACACCACTCCGCGCCACATTATACTAAAAGTGTCATTTAGAAACGCATAGTCGGTAGACTCATCACCAGGTGGACTGAAACTTTTGTATGGAAACCCCTTGAGGAGACCTCTTTTTCTGGGTACAAATGAACAAATCAACACGCACCCCGTGTCTCTTGTATGGTGGCGACGGGGTCTGTATGCAATCAACGAAACAAGCAAGCTAAATAAAATTATTTAAAAAGACCTTTAACCTTTAGAGCTTCCTCTACTGTAAACATTTGGCCTGTAGTGAGGGCAATTTCAGCCTGCCTCCTTGGAACAGTATTGTACATTGAATCCATAAACCACATGGGAGCAATAATGCCCAGTGCTGTCTCGTTTAAACCAATTTTATATTTGCCTGTTGCCATTACTCTGTACTCGCAGGAAAGGGCAAGAAGACATCCACCTGCAGGAGCATGTCCCTGGAATCACTCAAGGCTTATTAATTAAGTTAGCTAAATTGAATGAAGATCATTGGTGTATTAAATTATTACTCTCCTGCAATTTTTTAAATACCTAGTACTTTAGAAAAATTCTGTATAATCTATATTCTACAATAATATAGTTTGCTTAAAATGCATGGAACTTCAAATTAGTTTGATGATTGTCAGCAGTTCTTGTGCTACCCCCTGGCTGCTTTTACTTATGTAATGAGTTTATAACCAGTAAAGTATAATAATTTGCAATAATCTCTGTTAGTATTGAGCATGATTCTGATTGGGTTTTATTTTTGTAATGATTCCATCTTATTTTATGGATGCATTGCATCAATATAAAGTGTAAACTCTATGTAACGTCACTCGATTTAACGACAAACTCCCTAAAGCGTCAATATCACTCGACTTTGGTTGGTTTAGTTTGTTTTTCATACAATGATACACTCCTTAAAGCATTACACCCACTCTCAATAACGACAACAATTAATAAAAAGTACCTTTCAAGTTACCAAAATTAGTGAAAATCGCGCAGTTGTGTATGTTCTTTTGTCGCTTTAATATCCTAGTCAGTAATAAACTTGACTGTCGGCATCATGGAAACCAAACTTTCTAAGAAATTCGTTCTTTTGTTTACACATTGGGCTTGCACGTGTAGGCTGTTGTTGATCATGACTAAAAAAAATATAATACAACAAAATTTCTGGAGCAGCAAAAGACATCAGACAAAAATAACAGAATATACACAATAGCGTTCAAATCATAACTACTAGCTTGAAATGAACTTTTTCTTTACATAATTCTGATTTTTCTTCTTTCCATTTAACAACAACTCTCTATAACGCCTTAAAATGTACAATCCCTTTAGTGTCGTTATATAGAGTTTACACTGTATAAGAGTAAATATCAGTATACAATTTATCTTTTATTCTAATGTAGATCATTACTTTAAATTACCTTGAGTCTAACTATCACAATGTATGTCTTGTCGTCTAGTGTTTGTGAAATCAATCTCCTCATATCAGTCCACTTACATTTATAGCTGCAGCTGTGGGAAACTTGGATCCAAATAGTTTTAGCCAAACTCCTTGTAGTGTAGACCAAAATAATTCAACTCTTTTAGGATCTGGCTTATACATTTCTTTTATGTCTAAGCCAGCTGAAAATACAGTAGGTGAAGCCTGTAAATAATTATCATGAATTGGATTTAATGATAATAGTGGATTATAGATATAATAGGAAATAAGAATTCAAGCATTATTTGCTCTTATATTTAGTTTAATACAATTTTATGGTCAAACAATATTTTTATCACTACATAGTATAAAGCAAAGTCGCTTCTCGCTGTCTGTCCCTATGTATGCTTAGATCTTTAAAACTCACAACAGATATTGATGCGTTTTTTTAATAGATAGAGTGATTCAAGAGGAAGGTTTATATGTATAATACATGCATAATATAATAGAGAAACACTGTTAATTTTAGAGGTTTTTAATGTAAGGTTGTAAATAAACACATTTTTTTGCATTGCAAACACTGGCTGAACCCTATGTGATAGATCAAAATAATGTACTACAGTATTGTATGTCTATCTCTTAGGTCTACCCACAATAACCATTTTTTATTCTATACTTTTTATGAGAAATAATTTATGAAGCGATTTTCAGCAATAAAACATTCATCCTCAACCAATTAAATACCTTAAATACATTGTGTATTTAATACAGATCAAATTGGCCCTTTAAAGCGTGTAATTTAAATGAATATTTTCGAAGATATTACAGATTTTAAAATGCAGGGACATAGCGGTTCCAACTGATTGGTGTGGAGATCCTTTGGGGAGGCCTATGCTCAGCAGTGGGGATCGTATGGCGGACATGATGATGACAAAAAGATGAATTAATATTAGTAAACTTACAGATGTTAGAATCATCCCCTTAGCTTTATTTTTACCAACATCAGTGATGGCTTTGTCAAGTTCTTGGAGAAGTTCAAGATTAAGGCTGTTTACAGGGAGGCGCTGCATTGTCACTGTTGCTAAACCATCATCATCAACTTTTAAATCCACTAGGGGTCCTTCTTTTGATGACATATGTCTCGCAGCTGGCAATGCTCTTCTTACATTATTTGTAAATAAGCTGCGCAGGGAAAACACTGGAAAAAGTAGTTGTATTATATATACTTAATTGAATAAATTTGATTTAACAGTGACACTTTGCAAGGAATCTTCAAAATCATTGATTTAACATTTTTGTTAAATTATAACCAATCACAACTCTACATTTTTCGAATAATAATATATAATATGCTCTAATCTGGTTCTATGCGCAGGATTCGATGCGCAAGCGTTTAATTTAATTTAAACAGCATAAGCGAACTATGTCCATTGAACATTTTAGGATATACCTATTTAAATCTACACCTACATTACAAATTATGTTTATGATTTTTAGATAAACAATAACTTACTTTTGCTATTTGTAAAAAAGTTTTCAAAATTCTCTTCTGTTTAATTGGTTTGTTAAAAAATTAATTCCAATTTGAACTGCTGAACCTTGGACCCTGGCGTCAAAAGATCAAACTATATTATACCCACAAAGACGACACACGACAGACGTCAATTAATTTCCTCAATATTTTTGGTATCGCTATCGCTTTCCTTGCAGTAACATTAGAAAAAGACAGTCACAGCACGTTATTTTAACAAACTGATTTAAATTGACGTATCTGTGTTGTCAATTAGCATGTAATGCCCGCACTTCACTTAAAAATTCGTGTTTGCTATGTATAAACTTGACATCAGTCTGTTCTTTACATTCCTTATAAGCATGATAGGGACAGATTGTTGTCAAGTTTACAAAAGCAAACACGAATAGCCAAGTGAAGTGCCGGCATATTGTCTCTCTGTCTGTCTATCCTATCCCCATCCTGTGGATGGAATGAGATTGGGCCATGACTCACCACGCGGGCCCAGTGCGAATAGGTGGGTGCTAGCGACTGCAGATGCAGCCGCGACCAACGGGCTTTACGTGCTTTCCGAAGCGCAGAGGAGCTCGAAATAGTCTGGTCACCCATCCAATGACCGACCACTGCGAAAGTTGCTTATCTTCAACGATTAACTATGGTATTGTTAAGGAAGAGCGAGGCCACCTGATACAAGCATCTTAATATACTTATTAGGTTGGTCTCCATCTTTGTCACGGTAATATTATCTATACAGTATTGTGACTTGCGCTGCGTTACAAGCGGTAGGGCCGCCCGCCTTCAGTATTTTAATTTCATCTACTTAATTGAGTTTCTTTCTAGTTTTGTGATTGTAAATATTTTATTTTATATGTAAAGATTCCCCGCAAGCCGCAAGCAATTGAGTTTCAAGATTCCACCCGAACAAACAAAGTTATACACCTACCTATATTGCAAGTTAATTAAAAGCTTGTAAAAAACCCGACTGCTGATTTTTATTCTTACATAAATCAATAAAAGAATATTATTTTAAACATACAAGTTATATTTATTTGTAAGTCATGGCGCAGTCGGGTAAGGAAATTACCTACAATGTAGGTAAATCTTACTAGGTAGGTACTGCAGGGATCGTTTCATGCAAACTAATTATTGTCATTGAAACACTTTTATTTTCAAGAAATTACATTAATATCAATAAACAAAATATTGTTTTTTAAACTCCGCACAAATATCTCTATATTTTATTTTCCAGCTATGAATTCCTGGCAACAATCCGTCTCTTTTCCAAATTACCTTATAACCTGCCAGTATACACCAAAAAGATCCGATCACTACAATACCTACCATTTATTACTCTCGTAAATTATTTCATAATGATATTTAATTTAATTCAATACTGTAGTTTAGTTATTCAGTAATGTATGTAGTTAAGTAAGTAGATAGCTTAGTCTAGGAAACTACCTACCTATTATGTAGTTTTTTTTTAACGTGAGTGTAGGTAGATTACTCGTTTGTCTCTTTTTTCACCCTAACCACTTATTTAAATATTATTCCAGATATTTTGCCCGATGGAAAAATCGAAATACCTAAATATTAGAAACAAATTACGTACTAGTAGATAGTTATATAAAAAATATTCTATAGTCTTACCTTTCCAATATTTCAGGTAATTTAAAAAATGATATCTCTGGGTGTGTTATTGAACAGTGGTGTCGATTCTGCCATGATTCTCTAAACCTAAACTTAATTTTGACAACAGTGTATCCTTGTCATTCTGTATACAGAATAAAAAGGAGAGACGGATGTTAAATTTAGTTTTAAGTTTAGAGAATCCTGCCAGAATCGACACCAGTACCATACTAAATTATGCAGGTATCTACTTAATTCAATCAAATATTTACAATATAAAACGCACGTTTAAGTACGGCTAACTGCATAAAAAATAATTCAGACCGTTCGGTCGTCGTTGCGGCGCCGGCGCGGCGCATTCGCGACTGGGTGCCCGCCGAGAGCCCTACGAACTCGAGTGGCGTAGGTATGACTCGCTTTCCGACCGTTTGTATGAAGATAGAATACTGTATAGATATTATTACCGTGGTTAAAGGTTGTCGTTGAACTTAAGCGTATTAAGCCGGTGACTTATTGCCATTAATGTCAACCCTCTGAATCCTATCCCTCAGGAATGATGCAATAAGATCGAGATAGGTATCTCTAAATCCATAGTAGTGGAGTTTCCTGAGGAATGTTTCATGAAAAACGCAATCAAAAGCCATGCATAAATCGCAAAACACACCTAGGGCATCCTGCGGGTTCTCTCAGGCGTCAAAAATTTGTTGTATAACTGCAACACCGGCATCAGTTGTTTACAGTAAAAAAAACGTTTTATAGAAAAGTTTACAAATAAAGACTACTCTTTAGTTAAAAACATCTAGCAGTTAAATGCTTATAAAATGAAAACATAAAAACGTTTTATTTACGTTATTACAGTCGTGAGTATACAATGGCACGGTAATAATATATACAGTATTCTATCTTCATACAAATGGTCGGAAAGCGAATCATACCTACGCCACTCGAGTTCGGCGGAATCTCGGCGGGCACCCAGTCGCGAATGCACCGCAGCGACGACTGAACGGTATGAATTGTTTTTTATGCAGTTAGCCGTGCCTAAACGTGCGGTGCGATTTTTATTGTAAATATTTGATTGAATTAAGTAGATACCTCCATAATTTAATATGTGTAGTGTTTGTTTTTAAACAGAGCGTGACACTGACACACGTAGGACAGCTGTTTTGTCTATGATAGCGAACCGCTTACGTCAGCGTAGCTGTCAAACCTATCATAATCAAGGTATTTCTCTACTAACCCCGGGTGAACGTGAAAAGGAACCACAGGCGAGGTTGGACCCCGACTTGCCCATTTCCATATATTTACATATACCTATATAACTGGTTATCTCACTGAGAACTAGAATTAACTAAGTTTGTCACCAATATCGATCAAACGAGCCGTAGAACCTCTGAAATCCACTCAATAGCTTATTCAGTCTAGTCTATGTGGTATTTGTGGATAAAATATATTAGTAAGGATTATATTGTAAGTACATGGTAAAGTGTTATGAATGTCTGATATTCATATAATTATAACCTTTCATGACAACTTGTTGGTTTATATACACATTAACTTTGAACTACTGTATTCAGCTTAGATATTTATAACTAGGGAAACATAGTTATTATATAAATAATAAACATAGTTAGACTTGTTGATTTATATAAGCAATAACTTAAAACTACTGAATTCCTATGCTTTGGTATCTAAAGTGGATAAAATATACTTATAACATTATCTTAATTTTTTTTTGGTTTTCTTCTATTGTTCCCCCGGTGCTCTGAGTGAGCGAAGAGAGGGCAGTAGAGGGGGATTTAACATCACATGTGGCGCCCGAACAAGTGGAAACAAGGCTTTGTAGCATTTACTTTGCTCTTTTTTTTGGTCATTAATTGCTCAAAAAAGGTTGATCGATATTGGTGATTTTTCTTTTTTTTTTTTTAAATTTTCTTTTTTCTCTGAATTATTTGGCTTATATCCAAAGATTTGTTTATCTGGTTATACTGTGTTGTAAACATAATAATTTGTAACATCGGATGATCGATATTGGCTCAAAATTTACAATCAAAAAAGTCATATTTACTTTTTTATACCCTTATTTAAAGGAAAAAAAAAAACCCTCTTGTGTACTGATTTTTGGTAGGTTAGTTCACCAACCTCACTTTTTTGAACCTAACAAGAAGAAACCTAACATTGAGAAACCTAATCCTTTAGAACCTAACAATTTTCAACCCTCAGGTGTGAAACCACACTTGTTACAACACTACTATTTTAACTGATATATCTTAACAGGTAGGTGATTTTATTATCATATTAATTACACTTTGTTATTGAACATTTCTTTATTTTGCCACACTAGGAGTAATTTTAACTTACAAAATGGAACAGAGGCCAATCACTTTTAACTTGTTACACAAAGATGAGTTGGAATATGAAGTCAGGATTAGGGGTGCGAAGCCTGTGGACGGGGTGCCTGCTTTAAAGGCACAAGTACGTGCTTTAAATAAAGATTTACCTTCTGATGAAATATTAACTTGTGAAGTAGAGATAGAATCAGAGTTGGATATTATTAGGGAGAAATTAGACAGTTTAGATGATCTTACTTCTCAAACTTCTTCTAGAGCTAGTTCCCTTAAAGCACTGAACAGAATACAATCATTAGCACATCACTTGTTTCATAGACTTAGTCGCTTAGATTCTGATAATGATGACAGCATCGCCTCTCAATTGGAGGCGCTGCAAGAACGTCTGGACAAGTTTCTGGTTAAGTTAGATAACATTATGCACCATTTTAAGAGTAGTTTAACTCAGGTGCCTCCGGAAGAGAATAGCAGAGTCCATGCTGCTTCTGAACGCACTGGGAATGCTTCCCCTGACTCTGGTGCTGCCGTACATAAACTAAACATACGGTTTAATGGGAAAACCTGTGTAAAGGCATTCTTGCAGCGTTTAGAGGAGTTATGTTTGTCTCGTGGTGTAACAGATGGTAAATTGTTCAATTCTGCAGCTGAATTGTTTACAGATGAGGCTCTTTGTTGGTATCGTGGGGTGCAATCCGAAGTACATAGCTGGTTAGGGTTGAAAACCTTGCTTCTTGATGAATATTTACCATCAGATTATGATCATCGTTTATTACAAGAGATCCGGTCTCGCACTCAGGGTTCCGATGAAAGCATAGTGAATTATCTTAGCATTATGCAGAACTATTTTACTCGGTTGTCAAAGCCGCTCTCAGAGGAAGAGAAATTGAATATTGTTCTTTTTAATATTAGACCTTTTTACACTACACAATTAGCTTTGAATCCCATAGAGTCCTGGACAGATTTGAAACGCAAATGTAGACTTCTGGAAGGTGCCAAGGAGCGTTCCCAACATTTTAGTGAACCACCTAAAATAACCCAGGCTTGCTTAGCTCCAGATCTGAGTTATAAGAATAGCAATAATAGACAACTGCCTAAGGTCTCAGCCGTGCAACTG